ACTGTACGTAAGGGAGAGGGAAACCAAGTGTCTTCGCGAACCTCGTTTGCGCCGCCGCAAAACACAGCGAGGAACCAGAGAGTGCGCGTTCTGTTTTGCCACCAATCGGTGGCAAGCTTGCGAAATCACTGACCTCTGTCTGACGTGTTCCAGTCGTAACAATCTTTGCTACATTTCCGTGGACCTTCCGCGTCCATGTGTCGACGTCACCTTTCCTTCCCTTCGCGTCACAGCACAGGCCGCCTGTCCATGTCATCTCAGTCGCCTGACAGGTTCGTCGTCAGTTGTCCAAGAACTTGCTCACCTCATCACCACCACCAGCCTCCTCGAAGTCGGTTCATTGGAATGGATAGGGTTGCCTAGAGAGTAGTTTCATTCAAATTCAGAGAGCAGTTTCGTCTTGCGAGATATACTCTCAGAAGGTTTTCGTCTCGCCGAGTGATTGGTTTGCCACCTAAGAAGTATAATCATCCTTCCGCGTTTTCATGGCTTTATTTTAACATCATTCGTTGCTTGCAGCAAGTATTTTTTTAGTTTAGGGCCGGTTTTCATGTGATTCTTTTGTACCCAACACTGCGGTCATGGCGCCGCTTTCCAGCGACGAAAATCGTAGACCTCCGCACAGCTCGCGCTCCGCAGCGCTGCACGTCGAGCCTCGCAGATTTATTGATGCTAATGCCGCTGCATCCGTAGCTTCCGCAAGCAACGCCTCGTTTGTTTCTACGACAATGTCCAATGGCGGAGCGTCAGGAGCGGCGACGTCACCTCCCCAGGTCATCCTACCAAGAGCCGTACCCGGGGAAGTGCAAGGCGTTACTCTGCGAAGCCATGGTTTCGCGTCGGAAGCTTTTCGCGGAAATTTTACGCTGTTAAGTCGTAGTTCAGCTGAGGAAGTGACGAGTCCGGCTGCTGAGACAGCAGCAGTAGCAGCCGCCGAAGCTGCGGAGTTTTATCGGCAAATGGCAGCAGACGACAACTGGCGACGGATAGAGACCCTCTTTATCCTTTTAGTGGCTTTATCGTCTCTTTATTTCAGCCGAACCGCTGCTGTTCTGGCCACTTCAGCAGTTGTTGTCGCATCCTTGATCATCCAGCATCGCACATCAATCCGAAGAAGGACGCAGATTTGCAACCGGAATCCGCACGTGAAGGCAGCCAGAGTTACCAGCTTCGCTTGTTCTCGCGAGCCGTTGGCGAAAGCTCCAGAATCTTCTGAAGCAGCTGTTGATTTGATAAAATTATCCACGCGGTTTCGAAGGGTGTTTTCATCCCCGTTATTGACCTCGGGTCAAGAGAAAGTCGGTAGTCTTTCCAGCTTGGACGTTCTCGAAGCAGATGTTCCAACCACCACTGCGAGGTTGGCAGATTCTGCCGCGGATAGTGCGACGGATAGAGCGGCGACGGGCGATGCTAGCTTCCCTTTCGCTGCAGATCGGAATCGGAGCAGTAGCAGAAAAATGGTTCGCATGTCGTCTCACCCGTGTCTCACCAGGACGTCGTCGTTCTCCCCTCCACCTCCTTCCTTCAGCGGATTCCTCAACGATCCCAGGACATGCCGTCACGGTGATCGTAACAGCAACAGTACGACAAGCCCTGTCGGTGACTGGGAGGCGCCCGAGGAGCGAGCAGGGCCCAGCTCTTCCGTCGCTGCACCAAACGACGACGAAGATTCGCAGTATGCGAGCGGAGATCCGTTTCTCTTAAGCCCCTTGCCGTTACCTGCGCGAGTGAGCACCGGCAGCGACTCGCAGCAGCAGCAGCTTGAAAAGCGAGGAGTGAGAGGCGACGGCGGCGTGGGAAGGAGCGGCGTCTACTTAGGTCACTCTCTCCCGCGCTGTCGATCCGAGGAGGCCCCCTCTCCCTTCGGAAGCTTCCATTCCACCGTGGAACGCGGCGGGAGTTACGGGCAGAGCCGAGGCGAGTCGATCGAATCTCCCGACGGTTCGTTCGCAGGGCTTTCAGTTTCAGACGAAGGGTGCGGCGGAATCGGAGTCACTTCAAGCGAGGTTTCCGAGGGGGAGGGTCATCTGAGGGAGGGTCATGTGAGGGAGGGCGTATTTGACAGTAGCAGCGGAGGAGAGGGAGGCCGGCGCGGCGGAGGGGAGTTGATTCGTGCGTTAACGGACGGGGTAGTGCAGGCGCGGAGAGCGCGGAAATTCACCATGGCTTTCATGGGTTCCAGTATGTTCCACGGCCGGGGGAAGGTGCGGAGGTCGGGCAGGTTCGAAAAAAAAGGTTCGGGCAGGGAGAAGGATTTTGAATCGAATGGCAGTGATGGTGGGCGAAAAGGAGGAGAAGAGGGGGTAGGGACTGAGGGGGAGGGAGTGGGGATGGGAGAGAGTATTGTGGTTCCATTGAGAGGCAAAGGGGGCAGAGGCATTGGGGGTTTGTTCAACAGTAGCAAGCGATCGCGGGCTGTAGGATCAGCAGCAGCAGCAGTGGCGCCTGGGGGAGAAACTCAGACGCGAGCAACGGAAGCACAAGCAGCGGCAGCGACAGCAGCAGTTTGGGCGAGGAGCAGGAGGAGATGGTCAGATGATGGCAGGAGCTGCGATCTCGCCGCTGCCTCTGATGCCGCCACTGTTGACACTGCTGGCTCGACTGACAGTGCTGGCTCTGCTGCTGTTACCTCCGCCACTGCTAATGCCACTTCTTCGGCTGCCTCTGGTGCAGCTGCTGCTGCTGCTGCTCTGAGCGCATCGAGTGGAGTAGAGGGCCCAACAATGCTGGCAGCAGGACGATCCATCACCGTGCATGCTGCACCTCCCGCCAGTCCCTCGTCCCTCTCTGCTGGAGAGGCTGCAGGGGAAAGAGGAGCAAGAAATGGGGCAGGAGGGAGGGGAAAGGAGAACGGGCTGGGGGGGGAGTGGAGAGGGGCGGGAGGGAGGGAAGGGAAGGGAGGGATGCAGGGAGGAGGGATCCAGGGAGGAGGGATGCAGGGAGGAGGGAGCGGCGGTGCAAGTGGAGCAGTGACTCCCTGTTTGCGCACCTGGCTTCAGTGGGGGAAGTGGAGCGGGGGAGTAGTGTGGAGGAGGAGGAGTCGGATGAGGCGATGTCCCCTTTCCCATCGAGCTCGTGGGAGCAGAGGCCTATGCCGAGTGGTCCAGGCGAAGCATCGTCATCATCATCAGCAGCAGCAGCAGCAGCAGAAGCAGCAGGAGACGCAGCAACTTATGTGGGCCATGATTTTCTGGCACCGATATTTTCTGGGGAAGTTTTGGACGCATTTGAACCAGCAGATTCTGCAGAACCAGTCTCCTCAAGAGCAGCGGCGGCAGCGGCAGCAGCAGCATCCCCAGGTGATATCAAATCAACGGCTGAGAACGCGAGATCTGGCGAGATCGGTCAGGCTGCAGCACCATCGAGCCGTAGAAACAGATTCGGTCGACTGACTTCCTTGAGACCCCTCACTCCGCCCCACCACTCATCTCTCCCTCACCGTTCACATGGAGCGGCGCCGGCCAATGACGGACTGACACCTGTATCGTTCGGAGCACAGCATGCAAGCAGCCAGCCCACACAGGGTGGGGCAGCAAGTCAAAGCAGACGCGGAGGTACAGGAGCTACCGGAGCTACCGGAGGTTCGGGAGCTACCGGAGCTAAGGCGGGAGATTGGACTGGTCAAGGCACGAAGAGTCAGAGTGTGTCTCGGCCTGTCACTCTCCTCCCTCCCGGATTCTCCTGGCCCCCAGTTTCCTCCGCCCCAACCTCCCCCTCCTCCTCTAAATACGCTGCTTCTGCTTCTGCTGCTACTGCTGGTGCTGTTGCTGGTGCTGGCGGTGCTGCTGCCTCGTCTGAAGTAGTTGCTCTGCTGCTGCTACTGCTGCTGACGCTCTCTTTTCTGCTGCTGGGGAGGGTGGCGGCTGTGGTTGGCGTCTCATGTGTCTTGCTGCTAGTAGCACGGTTGGACCGAAGAGGCAGAGGGTGGGGGGGAGAGAGTGAGGGAGGGAGTGGGGAGGCAGGGGGTCGGGAGGGAGACGGAGTCGCTGCAGGTGAGAGGGTTGGGAGGGGAGTGAGTCGGGAGGAGGAAGAGGAGAGGGCGAGGGGGGAGGAGGAGAGGAGGAGGTGGGAGAGGGTGAGGGAGGAGGCGAGGCAGAGACGGGTAGCAGCCATTCTGCAGCACAGCCGGGTTTCAGACCCGCGCACACTGTCAGTGATGGAGGGGCTTCTGTCTCGGTCAAACACAAGTTTGGAGAGACGGAGGTGAAGAGTTTACTCAGGAGGAGTCTGCAGCACAGCCAGGTTCGGACCCACACACACTGTCAGTGATGGAGGGGCTGCTCTTTTGGTCGAACACAAGCTTGGAGAGACGGAGGTGAAAAGTTGACTCAGAAGGAGTCAGCAGCACAGCGGGTGTTCAGACCCACGCACACTGTCAGTGATGGAGGGGCTGCTCTCTCAGTCAAACACAAGTTTGGAGAGACGGAGGTGAAAAGTTGACTCAGGAGTCAGCAGCACCGCCGGTGTTCAGACCCCTACACGCTGTCTGTGATGGAGGTGCTTCTGTCTCTGTCAAATGGGGCGTGGGGGAGACGGAGGTGAAGAGGCAGGAGGGGAGGGGGTGAGGGGCAGGCGAGGTGGGAGGGTGAGGTGGACGATGGGAGTGGCAGGGTGAAGGCGGCCGATTGGGAGGCAGGGGAAGGCGAGGGGTAGGAGGAGGAGATGTACCAATCAGGAGTGGAGAGTTTGCAGGCATCGGGCTGTCTTTGATGCCAAGTTGATAAAATGGAGGACGTGTGCATGAAATCAGTTGCGGTGCAGACTTGCAATGTTAGTGTCTCCTGGTAAAGAAGCTACGGTAGCCGTTTACCCAGCCACAACAGTCCAAGGATTCAAATTCTCATTCTTCTAGAGAAAGAAATCAAGCCTGAGGCTATTATTGACTCAGATATGGCAGAGGGAGAGGCTTCATTTGATGTCATTGCGGTAAATTTATCTTTATTGTTAATTAAATTAGGGTACAAGACAAAGCAAAATAATGCTGCTGGCGACCTGCTTTTTCAGGTAAGAAATGGAACGTCTCCCAGTGAGGCGCCAGCAGAGCGGTTGAAAGAGGCGGCAGAGCGGTTGGAGGCGGCAGAAGAGCAGTTGGGGGCGGCGGCAGAGCGGTCAGAGGCGGCGGCAGAGCGGTCGGAGGCGGCGGCAGAGAGGTCGGAGGCGGCGGCAAAGCGGTCGGAGGCGGCGGCAGAGCGGTCAGAGGCGGCGGCAGAGCGGTCGGAGGCGGCGGCAGAGCGGTCGGAGGCGGCGGCAGAGCGGTCGGAGGTGGCGGCAGAGCGGTCGGAGGCGGCAGCAGACGAATAATTACTCAGCAAGAGCAAAATTTAGAGGAATTGCAACTGCCCCCTGTTGTGGTCTCCAATAGCCTCTTGGTCCATCCAGCACGGGGTAGCAGTGTGGTTGGTGCACTAAGAGAGTGGTTGGAAGTGGCAGCAGCACCATTGGATACTGTCAGCAAGAGCCAAATTTAGGGGAGTTGCAGCTGCCTCCTGTAGAAGTCTCTACCAGCCTCTTGGACCATCCAGCACGGGGTAGCAGTGTGGTCGGTGCACTGGCAGACACCGTCGCTCCTTGCTCACCAGAGTACCGGCCCAAGTTCGGATACTGCCGAGCCTGGAACATGCCCGGGCCTGCCTGCAGCGGCCGCTGCTGCTGCTGCTGCTGCTGCTGCTGCAGGAGCTGCTGCTGCTGCTGATGTGGCAGCTGCTGATTCCCTGGCAGGGAGAATGGCATGCCGAGGGAGTGCTGCTGCTGCAGGGCTTGGGCTAGGAGTGCTGAGTCAGCACCGAGGATAGATGGTGGTGTACCACCAAGTTGAGGCCGGGCTGTGTCCTTGAGGAGGAGAGAGACTTGCAGGGCTGTCACTTGTTGCTGCAAGAGGGCGCGGGGTTAGAGCGGATGGATAAGAGAGGAGTTTAGAATGGTTCGAGGAAGCCGAAGAGCAGGACACTACAAGATCATCCATAGCAACAGGAAAATGCAACAGGAGCAGAGGAGAATAAGGGCGAGTAGCTGCGAGTATCGGCGAGTAGCAGCAAGTAGCCATGATATAAGAGTGTGAAAGTACCTTGAGTCCCTCCACATAAGCCACAGCCTCGTCCAGCATCGTAGCCGTGTCGCCCGTGCCCTTCACCGAATCCCGCAGCCGCTTCAGCCCGTCGCTGATACGCTTGCGTCTTTGGCTCTCCACGTGGCTCTTCATCTTGATCTGCCGCTTCTCCGCCTTCACGCCCAGCCCGGAATCCGCCGCGCTGCCGCCGCCCACCTGCCGAGAGTTGCCGCCCGGCACATGATCTTCCGCAAACTGGTCCATGTGAGCTCCTCCCTCCATCTCATCAGAGCTCTCTCCTTCGCTGCCGTGCGCGCCTCCTTCTCCCGAACCTCTCGCTTGAACCCCTGCACCGCCCGCCTCGCCGCCGCTCGGAGCGTCACCCTGCCGCCCGCTCTGCCGAGCCGGGGAATCCTCGCCGGCCGAGGCTCGTGCCGCCCGGTCCGCCCGGTCGCCGCTGTTGGACCCACTCCGCCGGCTCGCACCTGCGCTGCCAGCGCCGGCAACGCCGGCAGTGGCTGTAGCGGCTGGAGCAGGGCCGGCTGTAACTCCTAGCTTGGAGGGTCCGAGCCTGGACGCAGCTGCAGCAGCAGGGGGGCTGCCGAAAAGCCTCTGGGCCGGCTGGCCAGCTAGAAAAGGCGAGGGCAGGGTCGGCGTAGAGGTAGTACTGCCAGGCAGGGGCCCCCCGGGGCGGCGTGGTTGGGGTGAGAAGGACTCCCACGCATCCTCCATTTCGTTCTTGAGTTTCTCGCCCCCGCCTCCGCCGCCGCCGCCGCCGCCGCCGCCGCCGTCGCAGCCGCTTTCGGAGAAGGCGCTCTCGCCAAAGTTGCTGCTGGAGATGACGTCAGCAGAGGAGTTATACGGGGAGCTGTTTCCGTTGGTTACTAGCCCGCCAATGTGGCGCGCCGCGAGCGAATGAGCGTCGAATGAGGCTCCGCCCCCAGCGGCGCGGAGGGGGAAGGCCGCGGTTCCGAACGGCGTGGTTCCATTGCTTTGCAGCTGCGGGGTGGCCTGCAGCGGCTGTTGCGCCGTGATTTGCGGCGTTCCGGCCGCCGCTAGCGCCATGATGTCGGTCTCGAGACTTCTGTATGGCGCCGCGCCGTTCACTGCTGATGCGAGAAAGGAAAGAGGGGGAAAGGAACAGCGAGAGGGGAGGGATACATAGAGGGAAGAGGATTAATCACGGCGTATGTCCCGTAGAAACAGTTTTGAACAATAAAAACAAGTTTCAACGCAGCCACCGCGGCGTTAACCTAATTAGGTTTCGGGCATAAATGATTTACCTGGCAGCGAAGCCGCTGTCTGGGGGTTTCCGTTGTTGTTGTTGGACCTCAGTTTCTCCAAAAAGGAAGAAAGCTCCTCCGTGCTGCAATTCTCGAGAAAGCTTTCCCATTCTGAATCCACCACAAGCGGCGGAGCGGAAGCCATGATGATCGAGACGCAGTTGAAATCTGATAGCGTTTTGAGTCGCGAACCGTCTGGGATGACCTCGGGAATTACGAAATCTGATAGCGCAACCAAGTCTGAGTGAAGGGTGCTTCAAGGCAGTGGCGTGGCAGTGTGAACGGTTCTCGAAATGCAAGCTTCACTGTAATTCGGCGATGTGTGAAGCGAGGGCCAGGCAGGTGGTATTATAAACTCGGAGCAGCAGGTGAGTTGCGGCCATGGGTGAACAGAACGCAGGGGATATGAAGTTGGTTTCCTTGCGGCGATGGTCATGATGATGAGTAGTGTGGCGCGCACTGAAGCAAGCCTGGGTCGTGCGTGGTTCAGCTTGGTCCGGGGTCGGCTCGGTTACGAACCAGATCAGCTTCTGGTTCGGAGTTTTGCCCGACCACTGTCAGGACACCTCGCGAGCCTCTTTTTATTTTTCTTCCAAAGAAAGTTGATCTACGACTTCTTTGTTTTTTCCTCGTAAATTTCACGACTTCTTTTTCTCTCAAGTCCTGACGACCTATTACAAAGTCATGTCAAGTGCACCTCTCTTTTGGTCGTATTTCTGAGATATGCGGAACAAGTGGGCTCCAGTGTGAAAACATTGACATGTCAAACCGCACTTTGCAAAACAGCGCAGCAGAGATTGTTTCGCAAAACAACTGCGTGAGGAAACACGCCCGCTTTTGCTGCCAGGCCCTCAACGAACGCTATCTGCTTTTGCCAGGCCCGAATTCCCCAGCTGGGACGTACAGATTTGTTACACGGGCCAGCTGTCTTGCCTTGCCAAACGCGTTGGGCAGTTGCCAGGGTGGCCAATCGGAGACCTCACTGAACACTCGCAGGTTTGCGCAGTTGCCAAGTACAGTTCGTACAGTTCTGGCGGGACTGCCGGAACATTGGCTAAGAAAACAGTTTCTTGAGTTAGATTCAGGTGCTACCCTGCTGAACTGGGTTGTTGTCCTCCCTGTTACAGCAGACAGTTCGTATCAACGTCGCCCAGCTAAATTAGAGGGTAGCCCCAAACCAAACGAGAAAACTGACAGGGAGTCCTTGCTGACATATTCTGCACCACATCCTTCCGTTCCGTCATTCCTCCACACCACACACACTCACCGGGGGGTCCCCCTCCAGATAGAAATCATGAATTCACGTCTGATGATGTGTCCTTTTTTTTCTTCTTTTTTTTCGCGGTTGCAGCCGTCACTTCGTCTGTCGCTGTGGCGTCCGACCCGAAAGCCATCCACGCCACGACATGGTGCACACTGCACCGTGCAATGCACAACCTTTGCGCACAACTCTAGTGGGGAGGGGAAACTGGAGATTGATCGATTTGGGCAGTGGGCAGTCAAACACTCAAAGGGTTCCGATGAGCACCCCAATCTGTCTAGTGTACAGTACCACTAAAACTCCCGTTAGGTGCCCACCCCCAAAGTTTTTGGGGCCCAAACCCCGATGCCCAGCCTACGCTGTGCTGTGCGCCACCGAATGATGCTACACTGTATTGTATCCTCTTCCCTTAATGATGCTGCGCTGTGCCTTCGTGCCTCTCATAAATGAAGCATCACGCAGGAACCGAATCAAATGTTGGAATAGTAGATCATGGATACACCTGAAGCTCGTTTGACTCTCCCATGGTTGCCTTGTGAAGTGATTTTGCAATTCGCAAAGGTTTCGTCAATTCGCAGCTAGCAAAGTTGGGCTTATAAAAAACTGTAACTTATCCGTTGACATTTTGACTTTGGTCTCTTCAGGTCTCTTCATTACTATTGCTTCATGACCACTGCAACTTGCTCGATGGGCTAGTAATGTGGGTGCAACTTGCTGGTCCAACTTACACGGGTGCAGACTTTCCATCCGTTGCAGGGCAAATTTGCGCAAAAATCCAGAATAAACAAATAAGGATATTCAAAGTAAAGGAAATAAGGATATTTAAACAAATAGTAAATCATGTAAATCCAGAATTATGTATCAATATGATGATATAATATCCGATCCGTTACAATCCTTATTACACTACTTTTTCTCACTCAGCAAAGTTTGGGCGGAAGAAAAATATGTGAAGAGTCAATATCATCAATCGTTAAACATGAATATTGACCCTTTCTATCCAATTGGAGAGTGTCTAGTTTTCAAATCAACAAAACAGAGTAAGAATATATTAAAGATAACCAATTCTGAAAGCGTAAAATAATGTGCTCGTAAAACACGTTAGACGCTCCAATGAACATTACCATATGTAGCACAATGACAATGGTGGACATCTGTGCAATGACAATTTACATGATAAACTTAAAACCTATGTACACCTAGCCCGCGCCAAATTCACTAGGGCCATTTTCACCACCCTTTTGTCATTACGTGGGTCAGTGAGGTTGGGTGCTGGACAGGGGCGCTCCCTACAAACCCCCCTACACAAATTTTACGGCCAATTTCACCCCCCCTCCACTACAGACAAGATTGACCCCCTCGATGGGGGCGTGAAATTGCCGAGGACTAGGTGTACGTAGAAATCGTGTAGCATTTATGACCAGGAAAGCCAAGAATCGCGATCTAATCCCGCATAGAATCCAACTCCTCAACTGGACTCGTTTGATTTGACAACGAGACCTTGTTTCTGTGCTCCACGATGCCAGAGCGTCGCGTGTCAAACCATGATTCCGTTCCGACGATTGAACAATTCCTCCATCGACCCTCAGCCTCAAGTCGAAGATGCGAGCCGCGTTTTGCTTGATCGCGGGCAGCTGGAATCACTGTTCAGGCCCACATGGGATTGCAATAGGGACGGCCCTGCAATTGGATAAGGACAGCGTGTAGGTTCGGAGATGGTGGTGTTGGAGAAGGAGCACACACGTCGGTGGTCCACATCCAAGACAAGTCCATGCCCTTGATCCCTGTCACGTGGATAACGTCATCGGTGCAGAGATGGGCTGGAATAGTTGACCCTTTCCCACTCTCGCATGGTCTCGTTGTTAGACATTTCGTTACAATGCCACCTTCGGAAATGCTAGTCATTCCAACAGATACAGTGGTCTCGCAGCTTGTTTTTCTATTAATTTTTTGCCCTACTTCTGATATATATGTGATCAAGATGTCTAAAGCACGCATAAGATAAATACAGAAAAATATCTTGCTAATGTTTTTTTGCCAGTCACATGTCATAATAATCCACTAAATAATGGAAGAATAACCATTTGGTTAGCCCCTCTTTGGCCAGAGGCTTAGATTTCGACGTGTACATATGCATGATCCATGTCAGTTCGGTCAAATTTTAGCGAGGCAAAAGGGTTTCGATACGGGTACGACACGACTCACGAAACGGACAGTGACAGCTGTTTCGAGGCCGTTACTTCGGCGGAGGTGCAGCAACTTGTCGCGGTGTACGTGGCCTTGCGAAGGAAAGGTTCCCCCATTTTCCCCTTTCCCCCCACACTCCCCCCCACTCTGAATCGCAGAACAAGCTGTCCGCCCTTTGTACCGTAACCGTCAAATTAGGTCATTTCACTTTCTTCCGGTTTCGTTTGGTAAAATGAGTTCCTTCGGAGTTCAGAGCCTTTGTTGCAGATACTACAGCGGTTAGATGGTTTTTATGACGCATTTCAAGTTCTGGCATCCCTACTCCAACGGATACTGTATCAACAGACGAGACGGGAAGGAGGTAAAATCGAAGCGCGTAACCTCGCGGGCCGTTTGGTCCCCCGCTTAGGGTATGTTCGATGGAGATTCGTCACGGTTGTGTACCTTTCGGGCAAGTTATCTCTAGTTTTTGTAAGGGTTGAGTACGGTACATAGAGGAAGTAATTGATGCTGTCCCGTGCTGTTTTGGACCAATTTCGTTTTGTTCTGTTCTCATTCTTGAACCTGCATTTTCCCTGGAACGTGTTTCAGCAAGAACAGGTATACCCTCGGAGCATCACCGAGCAGTTCCTTTCTAATTACAAGACAGCCATGGCCTCCCAGACGCAGACATGCACAGGAGCAACGTTCGACCGTTCTCACTTCGCACATCTGTCTATTGACACGACGGCAGACGACCTGTGGCCGTGCTCGCCGCTAGTTGAAGAGATCGCGTTGCATACAGCACCATCCGACTTCCCTCCAGGCCATGGCAGACCCAACTCCAGTGAATGGGATTATTTCAGCGGAGTTTATCACACTCTTATGTTCCTCCCGGGGCTCCTCTCCCGCCACTGGAGAGCGCATCGGCGCAGAAGGCGCGGGGAGTCCCCTGGTTCCGCCTCCCGCTCTCCCCAAGCCGAGCGCATCGTGAGCCCCAAAGGCGCGCGCGAGTTCTCCGCGGCTTACTCTCTCGGGAAATTCCTTGGTCGGGGGAGCTACGGAGTCGTGCGGGAGTGCATCAGCCGGCGTACCGGCCGATCGTACGCTTGTAAGGTGATACGGAAAGATGAGATGCGAAACCGTCGCGCGGAAGAGGCGGCCATTCGGCGAGAAGTGAAGATTCTCCAGCAGCTCGTTGGACATCCACACGTGGTCTCCCTCGTGGACGTATTCGAAGACAGGGCGGCGATTTTTGTCGTAATGGAGAAGTGTAACGGCGGCGAGCTGTACGACCTGCTGTGCGAAATTACTGCAGGCGGCCGCGCGAATCAGAGTGCAGACGACCCAGGTTACTTCAAAGATAACGATGCTCACAGCTTATCGTCATACTCGTCTTCTGAAGACGGCGAGCCGGGGGGTACGTTCGGGGAAAGAGAGTCACTGTGCTCGCCCCGAGTTAATGGAGGGATGGAGGAAGAACAGGCAGCAGCAATTTTTGAGCAAGTTGTACACGCGGTATCTGCGTGTCACTTAAATGGGGTTTTACACCGCGACCTGAAACTTGAGAATATACTGCTGTGTTTTTCAGATTCTCCGACAGACAGAGTCTCCAGCAAACTCTGTTGCTTTCCACTCGTCAAGCTTGCGGATTTTGGCTCTGCAATCTCACTCTCCCCTGGAGAGCTTGCGTCAGGTGTAGCTGGCAGCAGGCTATACCAAGCACCAGAAGTCCTTCAGCAGTGTAAATATGGGTTCAAAGCTGACATGTGGTCCCTTGGGGTTATTCTTTTCTCTCTCCTTTCGGGCTCACTCCCATTCATGGCTGACTCTCGGCGGTCTCAGGCCCGTCTGGCGAAGAAAGGTGTGGGAGGGATGGATTCAAGTGCTTGGGAGGGAGTCTCACCAGAAGCCAAGGACCTGGTTACAAAGCTACTGGCCGTGGAGCCAGATCAGAGGCCGTGTGCTGAAGAGGTGCTGAAGCATCCGTGGGTTGTCCAATACAGGAGGCAACCAAGCACCTGAATAAACGGCTAGACTGGCTAATACCGGTATATACCAGTGTACCCCCTTGCTGTCAATTTCACAAGCGTCTTCATTTATGACAAATAAAAGGAGGATTTCCAGCAAGAATGTTTGCAGCACCCATGCCCGGAAGATAGCTCATGCACACGATATTAATCAATAGAACATATGTTCCACCTGCTGATGGGGGGCTGGGCCAAATAACCAAGACTTACAAAAGCAACTGGATCTACCGTAGGTAGAATGGCCTCAACTCCCTATCCAAAGAAGCCAACTCCACCATATCTAACTAGGGTGGGCCCACTGCAACCTAGACAAATACATATCCTAAACATGCAGCATCTCGCAGCAATCATACAAATGCTCAGCCCTAGATGCTAGCAAGTGTCAATAACAGTCCTTGTCATCTAAAGCCACATATTGATGCCCCACGCCCCAGTAGATTGAAGCTGTTGGGAGTTACTTTAGCTCCAGAGCACTAGCATTACCAAACCAAATACAACCTGAGGAAACCAATGGGCCTCAAATCAGAAAAGTGGAAAAGGGCATACACATGTAGACACTGCATCGAATTCCTAGTTCGCACCTGTTAAAAGGCAGTGCATGCTGATGAGGAACCTAGAAACTTCGAGTCCTGGGAAGGACAATTTGAGGCGACTTGCCCGACTTAGGCGTACCCAAAAACGAACCCAGTACATGTTTCCGCTTCATAATAATCTCCATCTCGCTTCGACTCCTTTCCAGTTGCAGCCTCGGCACCATAGATATCAGATCCTCCATCTGCTGCATCAAACTATCATTCATTGACACACTCCGGACCTCATGCGGCTTCCCATCACCTTCTCTGCTATCTCCATTGTCTGGACTAACGATTGCATCGTTGGCGCTGCTTGCACAAGTTGCGTTGTCCTGGCCCCATCTGTGGTCCGTCAGATCGGTCGGCAGCTGAATCGCGAGGCCATGGCTCACATCAGATGAGTTCTGATTTGCAGAAACAGAGGCTTCGAAGGATATAGATGAAGGAGGGTCCGAATCTTCAAGAGATTGTGATGGGGAGTCTCGCTCGTGATCAGATGCTGGTACGGCGGTTTGGCGGTTTTCAAAGTCAGAGGTAGACGCGTCCGTCGGCATGGCAGACGCAATGTATTCAAATATCGTAATCCGTCCTGAAAGGTCAGCCGAAGACATCTGCTTATCCGAAGAACTGTCTTCCAACAAGCATTTTCCCACTCCGCCGGGCTTATTAGCAGCATCCCCTACACCGCTAGCATGATTGGAAAAATCTGTCGCTGCGACTTTTCCCGAACTAGTGGGTGCGCCAGCGTGCACTCGACCTCTGTTTGCCAACGAACAAACTCGGCCGTAGGTGAAGGAAAGGCCTGACCCTGGAGCAAATGAATCGTCTACTGATGGCTCTGCTCCCGCGCCTGCGAACCGCACTCGTTTTCTGCTTGGAGCTGACGACGTTGTGCCATCTTCTGGAGTCGCCTTGCCTTTCCCTTTTTGTCTCTCCAAGGAAGAAGCCATTGATATCACCTCAACTCAGTAGACACCTGGAATTCCTCCTCGGGATCCTCTTAACCATTAAAATTAATAAACCCTACAAATGCATCTGAATACTTCACGACTTGGCCACCAGATCATGTGTTAACTGCTGATTGGCTAGCATTCTGGCAGTAGGGGTTAGCTGGCTGGTGTTAGGGAGTGGCCTTCCTTGCACCTGTGGAGTGGGACAGTAGAGTAGGGTGGTGGTTTGGGTGGGTAATCTGGAGGGGGGGAGTGGGATGAGGGGAGGGAGGGGAGGGAAGGTGGGGAAAGGGGAGAAAGGGGGAGGAAACAAGGCTGGCTGAGAAAGGGGGAGTAAAAGGGGAAGGAAGGTGCTGGCGGTTTGGGCGGAGTGGACGGGAATGGCGAGGAAGGAATGTGTGTGTGGGGACTTGGGGGAGAGACGGGAGGGGGCTGGGGGGTAGGGCGGGTTTGGTTGGAGGGTCGGAACGTGGGTGGGGGCGGCGGAGGCAAGGGGGTGCTGGTGTGATGTGAACCTGCAGCTGGCGGAGATGGCAAGGAAAATGTGCGCGCAAGTAGGACGGATGATCCAGGGGGAACCAGAGGACGAAAGTGGTGGCGCAAGAAGAGTCCGACTTGATTGGTTTAGCAGATTCCGCAAATGCTGCTTGTTGGGGTCTCACGTCACGCACCACGCTGCCGCAGCCCATTGACAGCAAACAAGGGAGAAGCAATGACGTGTTGCCACGACAGCAAGGCTTCATCATTTTTGGGAGTTACGAAACTCGTTGGAATATATATTGCACTGCCTGCGTCAGCAGGCAGTGCAATGGAGTCAGCGCGGGCAAGAAAAAAAATAGACCCCAGTCGGGGGCATGCCATCCGAGGGAGCCTCAACCCAAAAATCTTAGGGTTGAGGCTCCCGAATGGCATGCCGTAAGCCATGGGTTTATTTTTTTTGCCCGCGGGCAGCGTGCTGACTCGGTCGGTAGCGCTACCGGGCGCTACCGACCGCTACCAGCTGTCGAAAGTGAAATATATTTAGAAAAACGCTGGTGGCGATCCACATCTCCAATCATTCACCAACACCAAACCAGAATTTCCCCACGAAACCACCAAGGTACAGCTGTGTATACACCCTCTTCAGAACAAAACAGCGCCTGTTCCTTCCCACTTCAGCTCCAAAATTCCACCTCCTCATCTCCCCACAACCACCAGCTTCACCCTCCAAGTTCCCTCCTACATTCAACCCCCCATGTTTTCCAGCTTTCTTTCCCCTTTTCTATTCCCCCCTGGGGTCGAGGAAGGGAGCCATTTCTTACTGCCTCAATTATCCCTTTTGTCTCAACTAAACTGCAACTTCTCGTCGCATCGCATGTCATACTAGCAGAGCTACCCTGAGGCCTCCATCACCCTTAGGGTGGTCATCGTGTGCTTGTGTAGCTCCGTCCGCAGCTCCGTTGCGTCACGGGTACCCCGGCTTTTGATGACACAATCTTGCAGCCAAAGCAGCACATGAACGGTGGAGTTGAACCTTGCTGCGCGGTAAGCAGGAGGCTGTATTGGTGACTGAAGCGTAACGGATAGGTCTGTAGAGACTAGTACGATGGGAAATTCTTCTGGGGATGATACTCCGACGAGCCTCTACATTGATCCAGAAGCTCCTGCCGACAGCCCTTCACAACCATCAGCAAATAGCTCTCTTCCATCATCATCAACCCCTGCCGAACGTCGATGCGCTGTTTGTTCATGCAAGCTTCCAACCTCTTCTCTCCGCTCCGCAAAATCTCTTCCCGCGCCGAAGCATTTTAAATTCGATCTACGAGAGCGTGGCGATGACGATGACGACGACGACGACGACAGCAACGCGCCGTCTGATCGAGGAATGAGCCGAGGGGAGGAACAGCAGCCCATTGGTGCATCGTCGCCGTCCGATTCGCCTAATATTGTTCCACGTCGCATTTCTCAAGTTTCCGGATCGCCTCTTCTCTGCAACCACTGCGCTCCAAGAAAATCCCGACAAGTTCACTTCGCGGACCTAGACGAAAAGTTTTCGAGACTGACTGTGAAGACTAGGGTTTCTAAACCTTCTTCATTCTCCAACGAAATAGAACTCGATGACCCTGACCCAGATTTTTTTAACATCCGGGACAAAAGGTTGAAGAGCGAATCTGGAGCCGCTCTTATCCGTACGAGGTCATCCAGCTCAGCAGGGAGCTTGGGCTACGACTCAGAATCAACAGGTGCTTTATCAGCAGATAGAGCCCGGCGAGACGAGAGTTCCTATGCTGACAGCTTTTCAGAAGGGTGGGAGGGGCCCAGCAGCTGTAGCGATTTCAGCGGCGGTGCTTTCAGTCGGTCCAGCAGTGTAGGAAGCGGAGTAGAGGGAATGGGGGAAGGAGGGAAAACGGTGCAGGAGCGGCGGGGTAAGAGCAAGCTAAAATCGGTGACTCTGGATCTTACACGGGCCAACAGCGAGTCACTAAATGAGAAGCGGGAGCAGGTGTTGGGCACGTCTTGTGGGACGCCAAAGCTGGAGAAGAGTGAGACCCTTTGATCAAGTGAACGCTGCTCTGCATGGGCAGGGGAATGATTGGTTGTGAATGTATGGTTGATAGGCCTTTCTTACCCTAGGATTCAAAAGTCTGCTTACACCGTATTAATACATTTTGCAGAGGGGCTGTAGGATAATCTTCCTAATGGGTTCTTGATTTGTGTGCCCTGTGGTAACACATGGTTCTCCCATCTTCGGAACGTAACTCGATTAACATGTCACATGCTTCAAGTCAAGCTTATCAACTCATCTGTCAAGCTCGTCTGGCTAAGATTATGGTACAAACAGCGGACATACACATGGTACACAGGTGTCTTGCTAGTCTACAGGATGCATGCTCAAGGCAAAAATGAACCAATGGAACATCAGGCCTGAGGATTCTCTTCTGGATTTACAGGATTTGAGTTGAGTTGAGAGGCATCTAAAGCAAAATGAACTGACGTGTGGGTGTGCATCTCATCATTAGCACCTCAATTACTGAGGGTGCAGCTTCTTTAGCCCATCCATCACCCATACCCTAGTCATCATCACCAGGTCATCTTCGGCATCATCTTGGAGAGCATAATCCAGCAATTGTTCGCCACCTGTAAGTGTAGATCGCATACACCCATTTTATCGTTACAGTGCCACCCCTCTTCAGTAACCTCCCTTCCGGATAACTTACCGTTCTTGACTTGCTGCGCCACCGCCACCCCCCCGCTTCCGCCAACCCCTGTGCCTGCTGCGCCCGCATCAGCGCCCGAGCTCCCCTGGAATTCCGCAAGAAGAAACTTCAGCACCCATGGATGCTTTAGCAGCTCCGTAGCGGACGGCCGTTCGTTCGGGTTGACAGTCAGCATCCGACGGACGAGATCCTTTGCGTCGTCGGAGATCGACGGCCAGGGATCACCGGAAAAGTCAACGTGGCCATTCAGGATCTTCCGCTCGAGAACAGCTTTCTTAGGCGAATAAAAGGGCCACCGAGCGGAGAGCATGGAGTAGAGAATAACTCCCAGGCTCCAAATGTCCGCCTTCTCGTTGGACCGACCCTTCATTATCATCTCTGGCGATTTGTACGGCAGGCTTCCAACCGCGCCGCTCACGTACGACCCTCTGCGACGGCGCGCTGCCAGAGTGAAGTCGTTCAGTCGCACGAAGGGGCCCTGAAAATTGAACGCGAAAAAGGCTGGGGTTGACGACGGGAGGGTTGCGTCGGGTACGTCGTCTGCAGCTACTGCTTCTGCTCCTCCGGCAGCGGCGGCGCCAGCGGCGCCGGAGGAGGAGGCGGAGGCAGAGGCGGAAGAGGCGGAGGAATCGGGGGGCTCGGAGCTGGATTCAGAAAGTGTTCCGGAATCTGGGTTCTGGATGCGCGAGGAGGTAGGTGCTGCGGACGGCGAGGGGGAAGGGAGGGGAAGTCTGGGGGAAGAGCCAACGGGGGAGGGCGAGCTGGATGGGGCGGGGGAAGCGGCGGTGCTTCTGCTGAAAGGAGCGGGGGAAGGGGGATTAAACGAGGGAGAGGGGGAGGCGGAAGCGCTTGCATGCCGCACGGGGGAGCTTTGCGGGGTGGAGAAGGCGGATAGGGACGGGGAGAAGATGGAGAACGAGGAGGAGGAGGAGGAGAAGGAGCTACAGGAGGAGAGCGCGGGCGACGCGTAGTTTAGGTCGTCCGCCGTTCCGTATGTCAGAAACACGTTCTCGGGCTTCAAGTTACGATGCAGGATCCCATAGTCGTGACAGAAGGCGACAGCAGATGCGAGCTGCCGAAACATAATAGCCGCCTGCGGTTCGGGAATCGCGCCCATTTTGCTGATGTACTCGAGTAAGTCGCCACCTAAGCAGCGCTCCATGACCACGTAGATTGCACACGTGTCCTCGAACACGCCGACGAGCGACACCACGTTCAGGTGCGCGCCGGCCTGCTTCATGATCTCCAGCCGGCGCCGCAGCCCGTTTTTGTCGGCTTCTGTTCGCAGCGCGTTCTTGAGCATCACTTTGCAGGCCAGCCCCTGGCCTGTCTCCTTGTCTGTGCATTCTAAGACGGCGCCGCTGGATCCGTTGGCGATAACGTCACCTAGGGAATACCGGTCTCGCGGGAACTTCGCAGCCCAGCTTATGACGCGCGGGAAATCCGTCGGCCGCTCCCACCATTGGAAGATACCCATAGCGACACGATATAAGCAACTAGAAAGCTCGGACTCGGACTGTCTTAAATACCAACACGACGCTTTGAGGACTAGTTTTATTATATTCCTGAAGCCAGCACACCGAAGCGCTAGGCAGCCGTTAGCACGTCAATAAACTGCTAGGTGGAGGGGATAGTTTTGCGGATGTGGAAGCGTGCACAGAAAGTCGACAGGTTGGGCGGTCAGAGGAACAGGTTTCGCTGACTAGTGAAAGCGACAACCTAACGAGGATGGTCACAAACAGTAGTGTGTCATAAAAAGCCTCACCTTGCCTTGCAACCAACGCCAACCCTACCAGAGAGTGGGAAAGGGGGTAGGGGAAGGGTGGGATCAGCTTGGCGGGAGGAGGCGCAGCGGTGTGGGGAAAGTCTAGGATGGAAGATGCTGGGATGAAGTGTGAAGAACGGGAAGTTTGAAGAGGAGGGGAGAGTGTGCGGTGCTGTGCGTTAAAGGGAGAGAACAGGGGAAGGATAAATGGGTTTAGTAACCTCGTTGCCGCCATAATTGCGAGCTTCGCTTTCGGGCCCAACAGTTGGCTCACATTCAGGGCTGAGCGAGAACTCGGTTTCCCCTGGATTTCGCATGCGCGCTCGCACAAAAGCAAACGAAACAGCGAGGCGAGAAAGGGACACGACGAATGCGGCGACCCCAACATCTCTTGAGCACCCTGGCGTCGCATCGCTATTTGTCAGATAGGATATCGTGTCGCATGTGCACCTGGTGGTCGCAGAAACGCGTTTTGGATCCTATCTGGCACCGATTCGCAGGTCATTGGCGCAACAGAGGTTTCTTCCAGGACAAAGCGCTGCTGGTGTCAGAATGAAAAGACCTGTGGGAGAGACAAGTGGCACCGCCGCCACGCCATCACTGCCCCAAGGTGACGTGACGTCGATATCGCTGCTTGGCACCACTGCCAACACATATCCCTGACAAAAAAGTGCAATTCTACCACTTGCTTCGAGAAGATAACCTGCACCAGCAAGGGAGAACTATATGAATACAGCACATATGTATCAATACCAAGCCCCTAGTGTTCCATGCACCAACAATCCATCATTAAGTCTGATAATGTGAAGTCCACAATGTCCCATACAGTTGTTGCTCCTGTGAGTAGGAGCTCAATAGGCCATTGCGGAATGACGTGAAGCATTTCTCATAATAAAACAAGTTTATGGTGCACTTTCATGTTATGCCAAGTGCGGGGAGGTGCAAAGCATGGTTCAACATATAGTTTTGGGTATGGATTGCCACGTCATGCTGCCTAACCTTTCCACTGGCTTGGACAAGATATTGTGGCCAGGTGTTGGCCATGTGATCTATCAGCTTCCCTGGCCTTATTCCTTTCACCTGATTATGGCTGAACAGCCAATATAGGTGGTCGCGGCAGCTTCAGTGGCAGTGGTGGGCGCTGGGAAATAGACTGCTGCTTCCGATCCAGATGGATCACAGGCGACAGTGGGGGCAAGCCACGCGCCTCCCTCAGCTGGCTCAGTTGCTGCAGGCTGCGCTGCTCTGCCACTAATCCTGTTGCTGCTCCAGACCTTTCAGATGCAGTGGCTGCTACAGCTACCAAGGAACTACCAGGATTGTCGAATGTAGCTAAGCTACTCGTTGTGTTGTTACCACTGGAGTTAGATCTGCACGAAACCAGCGAGGAGCTGGTGCGACTACTGCGCCGCTTTCTTGCCACCACAATCGCTGCGGCTGGCACTCGATCAACCTGAAAAACCCTGATCTCTTTCTGCTGCCCCTGCAGCTGCAGATGCTCCTGCTGCTGCAGCTGCCCCTGCTGCTGATGCTGCTGCAGCAGCTGCTGCTGCTGCTGCTGCTGCTGTTGCAGCAGCTGTTCTTTCACATGGCCTTCACGCTGCAGCTCGAGTGGTTCTGGAGCCTCCTGGTTGCCCCTCTGCGCCCGCCCTCTTTGCCTCCTCCGCATCCATTTCACCACCCACGGGTGCTGCAGCACGCAGTGAATATCCAGCCGTTTATTCGGATCCACCACCAGCATCTGACGGATCAGATCCTTTGCATCCTCCGAGATCGACAGCCACGGCGTCACCGTCAAATCCTCCTGCACCAGCTCTCGCTTTCCATCCGGGAATTCTGGCCACGTGGCAGAGAGGAGGGTGTGCAGGAGAACCCCCAGGGACCACACATCTGCCTGATGGTCGTACTTTTTCATTTCCACCATTTCAGGAGCCTCGTACGGTTCACTTCCAGCCAGGCCTATGATTGCCGAGCCTGGAGGCACCTCACACGCCATCCCAAAATCCGCGAGCCGAACCTCAGGCTCGGCAGACCCACCAAACAGGCTCGGATAGATCGCCTCCTCTGATTCCTCCCCTTTGTTCCCCCCGCCATGCGGGGAAGCGGCTGCTGCACTCTCGCCAATGACTTTTCCCGCGGCGGAATGACACGCGCGCGGACTGATCTCCGCAGCGGAGTAAGCGCGCGGAATCGCGACCTGGGGTCGCGGGATCGCTGGCCTCAGTGCGTGCGCTGGAGGGGCAGTGGCGGCAGGGGCAGCAGCGGCAACGGTGACAGGGGAAGCAGCGTCGGCAGTTCCAGAAGCAGCATCTGCGTTGCTGCCTGACGGATCGCTACGGCTGTGCGGAAAGATGGACGCGCGCGCGGACTTCTGCAGCGCGTTTCGCGGCGAGTCCCACGGCGCGGATACTGGCGGGACGGAATTGCTGTTGGAATGAAGTGCCTTGGCGGCGGAAGGATGCGAAGAAGCAACGGGAGAGGGAAGGGGAGAAGGAAGGGGAGACGAGGCGGCGAAAGCGTGGTAGGGCGAGGAGGAACAGGAATGCGAGGAGACAGAGGAGGAGGTGGAAGAGGAGGGGGAGGAGGAGGAAGGGGAGCAGGAGGGGGAGGAAGGGGAGAGCAGCGCTAAGTCTTGAAACGAGGATGAGGTGGGGATGGAGGCACAGGAAGAAGTAGCGGGGCGAGTAAGGAGGGGAGGAGCAGGGGCAGCTTTGGCGGGAAGTGAAGTCGGGCAGAAGGACGGGCAGAATGTAGAGACTGGGTTACAAATGGGAGAGCACGACGAGTAAGACGACGACGGCCCGCAAATCCCGTTCTTTGCGAAGATGCTTCGCCTATCAGAAGCTCGCTTGGACGCCGGCGACGAGGACGGCGCTTGACCCGTTATAAGCACGTTCTCGGGTTTTATATCCCGGTGGACTATATCGTGAAGGTGGCACCATTCCACGGCACGTGCGATTTGGACGAAAATTCCCGCCGCGGTTAGTTCGTCCACGCCGTGTTCAAATTGGTCAATCAAATCAAACAAGTCGCCTCCAGTACACAGCTCCGTAATGAGATACACACCAGGCCACGCGACGAGTTCTCGAATCGCGACAGACACATCTTCCCACCCCGAACCAGAAGAACCCGAACCACGCGATTTTGTTTCCGAACCAAGCCCCTCCAATGCGCCGCCGTCACCGTCGCAAATCGCATGCAGTCGCAGCACATTCGGGTGGCCCTGCAGGCGCCGCAGAGTGGCGATTTCGCGGTGAAGCGCCAGCCGTTGCTCCGCCGTGAGATGAGCGGTGAGGATTTGCTTGCACGCGAGCGGCTCGCTGGTGGGGCCGTGGCGGTCCAAGCAGCGCCAAACGCGGCCGAACTTTCCCTCCCCTAGCAGATCCGTGAAGACGAAGCGGCGCGTGAGCTCATGCGCGGAAATCACGGGAACAGAATCGCTGCGCCGCGGCGCGTCTGCTGCTGCGACGGCGACGGCGTCTGCTACTGCGGCGGCTGGAGTTGGTGCTGCCGCGCGGCGCGACGAAGAGGAACCCTGTGCGGGGGCGCGGCGCGTCACGGAAGGTTCCGCGCAGCTCATGACGAACGGAGTGAGAAGCGAAATTGAGACGACAAATCTACTCTCCGCGTTTATATCGTACGAAGCGTCGCAGGTCCCGAAACGCAGGCGACAAGTAAACAACGCGTTGGACTGTAACGGATGCGCGGCTCGACGACAATGGCGCGAAGCACGCACGAACTAGCAAACGATTGAGCGCCGCTGGTAGGCCCACGGCAGCCGCGGATGCCGTTCGTCGCGATCAACCCTATCAGCTTCCAAGGCTCTTTTTGAGGCGCCTAGAAAATCGCTCCGAATCTTCCCAGCTTGGATGTAAGATGGCGCTCCGCCCGTCCAAAGCGCCTCAAAAACCGCACGCCTTAGCTTAAAATGCACCGTTGCATTTTCCGTGGCATCCCCGTTCCATTCTCGGCCTGCCGCTACGACTTGGAAACCTTCGAGGCGCGTCAAAAGTTCGGAATCTGCTACGAGCTGAAAACTGCGTTGGAGAATGCAGCTTTACGCTCGCCGAGAAAGTTCCCCCACAATTTCTTGCACATGGAGGACATTTAGAAGCTATCCAAGAGGAAATAGAGGCTCCGAATATAGGTGAAAAGCAGGGGACTTTTGAGGAGGCTGAAAATTGTTGGAGAGACAGTACCTCTACTGAGAGACCGAGGAGGGAATATGGACGCGGATGAAAATTTCAGGCGGAAATATGGAGGACTTTGTAAAGGCCTTGCCGAGTGATTGAATAGTCCGTGGGCTTGGGTGAAGCCTCGCGGGCGAAACGGTTTCTTTTGGTATGGTACCAGTCGAATGCAATTGCGCGAGCGAGAGGGAGGTGGGTATGGTGGGCAATGAGTGACTGCAGTTCCTGCTGTAGGCATGGTTGAGCAAGCACGGGGAGGGGATGTGGTGCTTCAACCAGACGGGTAACTGTGGCTCAATCGTACTGTCAAGCAGAAGTTGCTTGTTGGCTTTTGCGAGGTGTTGCGAAGACTGACTGCTGCAGCAAGAATAACGACGTGTTGCGACCCACCCGGGTCGGTTCGGGTTGGGTCGACCTGGTCGACCGTGGTCGGGCAGACCCGATCCGACCCAACCAAACCGCAAGGCGACTCGAGAAATCGAAGAATTTCTCATCGCCTTCCACCCAAATTCGTCGTCGTGGGGGCGCAACTTCTGTGCGGGTGGATGGGGGTCTGGGCAATGCTTGGCGATCCTCACCACGTCGCGAACTTGTTGTGCGCGATATTACCGGGTATCAAATTGTTGGACGAGATACAGACGACATGCACGCGAGAACCACAGTTTTCGTGGGATCTGGTAACCTGCTCCAGCTCGGTGGGGTTGGGTTTGGTCGACCCGGGTCTACCCAACCTGGTCGACCCGGGTCGAACCAACCCGACCCAACCCGGGTTGGGCTGGGTCGGGTCGGCCTGGTCGGGTAGGTCGGCACTGCGGGCTTCCTGGAAATTCGGGATCGGGGGGCAGTCGACCCGACCCGGGTAGGTTGCAACACGTCGTAAGTAACGACAGGGGAGGGGAATGAGAGGATGGTGCTGAGTTTATATATAAATGTAAAAACAGCGGTTTTGCGCGTTTGAGTTCGGTTTTCTAGATAATACTTCGATATTCCGGATGTGAAAACTGGGGCCGGACGCGGAGCATAGCGATTCAGCATGGGTGCAGTACGGTTCGTCGAACTCAAATCTGGAGATCTTCTTGAGCTGTGCTGTGGATACTGTATCAATTCCTGCGCTGCGGCGCAGAAATCAGGGATTTGGCGCGCATACGCGAACCGCGTCTCTGGAATGCTGCGGTGCGGTGAACCCTGCACTTGCACGGCTGTTCAAGCGTCTTGTTTACAGTATACTGTACATCCACTAGATACAGTACAGTTTTGTCAGCTATGGGACTTGGAGGCAAAGCCGTTTCATTTTCTCTTCGGGTGTTTGACGGTGTTCTCCGTTCTGATTGCCTATCTCCGGCGTTGTTGGAAGGATGTGGTTGAGCAGACTGGGGGGGATGAGTTGAGATGTTGCAACTTGGAGTCAATGGTTCTGTTCCGATTGACAAGGCAAGCGGCATCGACCGTTTGTGGTGCGGAGCTGGTGCGCTGTCAGGCACCGACCGAAGGCATCCATCCTCCAACCAGCAGAGAAAGGAGACGGCCAGTCATCAGTCAACGGTGCCATCGTTCGTGTCAGGCCTGTCGAAGTGTTTGGGGCCAGAACTTGGAGCCCTCAGCTGCTCCAAATGTTGCCACTATTTTCACGGGCGTAGGCCATAGCCAAAACTTGAAATCAGGGCTACGGAAGAGAGTGTAGTTGAGGTTGACGAAAAAACAACTAATTTCAGATGTTAGCCAAATGGGATAGAGCGTACACTCATAGCCTAAGGGAAAGATTGTCTGTCGCCACTACTCCCACACCACACTGCCACTCGTGAATCAGAGGAGGGGGTTGGGCCGGGGGGCAGGGATGGGGCATCCTTCAAATCAAAATCACTACTTGAACTCAGGGGAACCCAAATGGAGTCCTTAACCGTCACGGGTTCTATGCAAATCAAAAACTTTAAATGGTCGAGGTGCTCTAAACCTAGCCCGGAATGTTCAGGGCATTAAGGGCAAATGCCCTTACTTCGTCAGCCCTGGTCAGAAGCTTGACTGCCGAAAGGACGGGGTCACAGGGCCACGCCCCGCACGATTACGGTTCGGGCTGGTGAGTAGCTGTGCAAGGCGGTGAATTGAGAAAAAAGCGCTCTAGATTCTGCACCCCACATCGTACTCAACCTCAATCATGAGAGTAAACTGGGACCAAATGTACAACACCAAGGTTTCAATATAACTTTTAAGATAAATGCTCTTGTTCTTCCAATAGCATTACACCTGGACCTGCTTACCGTATCTCTATGTACTTTAAAAAACACACTTCTTCAGGTTGATTTCAGTCACGAAGAGCTTCTAACCATATCTTGCAGCCACGTATAAACTCAGTCTAGTTATTCTGACTTGGTAGGCCAATTTCACAATGCCATTTTTCTCACCCCTGTAGATAGACTTTTAGGTCTCATGGCAAACATATGTATATTTTCAAAAGCTGTAACGCTTTTCAAAATTATGTATTTCGAAAACGAAGCTGCTTGTAATGTAGGATTTGGCAGCGTCGAGCCGCGCTAAACGCCCGTTTTGGAGTACAAAACGTGGGCTGGAGGTCATTTCCCTCCACCCACGTCTCTCATTTTCAAACGGTTTAGCCGATTTTCCCGCCCCCTCGCCCCCTCGAGAACAGGATAGTTTTAGTAACATAGAGACATATTATTGTAATGTTACTCCATGGATTTCAATTGTACTAAAACCATTTGAAATGAGACGATGCCAATTGCCACAAGCAAGAAAGCAAGCTTTCTAAATATACTAAATAATTGAACACACCACTCCCACTTAGAAGTGCAGAGGTAAATGATATTGTAACATAGTCGAGAAGGACCTGCATGTCATGATTTATTATATTACCTCATGAATCAATATGTTATCTCTTCGCGAGCCGATCAACCAGCACTTTCACCTGATCTGGCGCCAGGTATCTAGCCTGCAACGGAAACCAGGGACAGTGGAGCGCCAGCAGGCAGCACCATTCACATTGAGGATTTTACCAAGCTGATTTACAATTGCAGTGCCAACTACGGTAGTTGAAATTTGGCATGGAACAACAAACATGGCAGAAAAGTTGGGTGCTTCTGCTGGCTAACTCACACTGGAAGAATCATTGGCACTCCCTTACATCCACTCTCACCTGAAGAAACATCCTGTCAGCCTCTGCCTGGTTGCCATTATCCTTGAGGAACAAGCCCTGCAAGTCACACCACACATGGACACACACAGACACACAGACAGAACACGCATGCACACACGCAGGCACACATGCGCGCAGACACATACGATTTTTGAGGCGCCTCAAAAAACACACATTCGCACACGCCCCACATGCGCGCACACACATACACACGAAAGGCGAGACTTATCCTGACAGACTCCTTAGTGATCTTAAGTCACCGAGAATTCGAGAGAGGTAGTAGTGTAATCAGCTGGTTGACAACACCCTCCAGTTTCAGGAGTCAGCTCGACAGATAATGAAACACATAGACTATACACATAAATGTCATCATACAAAAAAATGAAAAACTTATGAGATAAACCTTGGCAAAGTAGCCTCAGAAGTCGTCTGGGCGAGAGGCAATGAGCTCACCATACACTGCAGCAGCTTCCTTTGGTATTGTTGCATTGACCCATTCATATTGCAGTGTTGACCCTATGGTATTGTTGCATTGACCCATTCATATTGCAGTGTTGACCCAGAAAGTCATCCCACACAAACCCTGGCCAGGTAGCTCTGGAAGTTATTTGGGCAAGAGGCAATGAGCCCACCATACACCGCAGCAGCATCCTTTGATGTTGCTGCATTGACCCATTCATATTGCAGTGTTGACCCTATGATGTTGCTGCACTGACCCATTCATATTGTTGTGTTGACCCGATGATATTGTTGCGTTGCCCCATTAAGCCATCTCATACAAGGATTGCCCGAGTAGATTGAGGCGACTCGAAAGTCATACAGACCTTGGCCAGGTACCCCCGGAAGTCATCAGGTCGGGAGGCAATGAGCCCATCATACACCGCAGCAGCATGCTTTGATGTTGTCGCATAGACCCTTTCATGTTGTTTGACGCATTCATATTGCCGCATTGACCCCTGAGAGGCATCCCTTACAAACAGACCTTGGCAAGGTACCCTCGGAAGTCATCAGGTCAGGAGGCAACGAGCCCATCATACACCGCAGCAGCGTCATTGATGGTTGTTGCATCGAATCAATAAGACAATCCCTCACAAACAGACCTTGGCCAGGTAGCCTCGGAAGTCGTCAGGGAGGGAGGCAATGAGCCCGTCGTACACCGCAGCAGCATCCCCCGGCCGCCCCCATGCCGCATACGCCTTCCCCAGCAGCAGCGCCACCTGCACCTCGTCCGCTACCCCTTCCTGCTCCGCCTCCGCTTCCCCTGCTACTGCTGCTGCTGCTGCTGATGTCACCCGCTGTCGCGCTGCCAGCAGCTCGTCCACTGCCTGGGAGGGGGAGAGGGAGCGAAGTGGGAGAGAGAAAAGAGATTTGAGGTGAGTCGAAACCTCCCACAGCTGCTGCTGCTGAGATCACCCGCTGCCGATCTGCCAGAAGCTCGTCCACTGCCTGGGAGGGGTTGGAGTGGTGGGGAGGAAGCAGGAGGAAGGAAAGGAGTTTTGTGGTGAGTCAGACACTCCCACTGTGCCATGCCATGCCATGCCATGCCACGCCATGCCACGCCATGCCATGCCATGCCATGCCATGCCATGCCATGCCATGCCATGCCATGCCATCCCATCCCATCCCACCGCACTGCACCGCACAGCACCACACGCACCTGCTGCGGCTTGTTGTCAGCCAGCAGAGCGCCCGTCAGTCCCTGCAGCACCTCCAGCGACTCCACAGGCGACACCTGGTGGAAGGGAGTACAGAGGGCGGGGGAGGGAGGGTGGGAACCAAGGGTCACTTGATTCAGAAGAGCGCCTGTGAGCCCCTGCAGCACCTACAGAGACTCCACAGGGGACACCTGGTGGAATGAGTAGAAAGGGGTGGCGGGGGAAGGTGCTGGGGAAGGAGGTCGGTGGGAGAGAAGGGCGGTCGGAAAGAGGGGTTGGTTGGTTCTTCTAAGAGCAGGTGCAAGGGAGGGAGGGAGGGAGGTGAGGCGAGGAGGGGCGGGAGGCAGATGTGTCGTGATGAGATGTGGTGTGATGTGATGTGATGTGATGTGATGTGATGTGATGTGATGTGATGTGATGAGATGTGATGTGATGTGATGTGATGTGATGTGATGTGATGTGTTGTGATGTGATGTGATGTGATGTGCTGTGATGTGATGTGATGTGATGTGATGTGATGTGATGTGATGTGATGTGATGTGATGTGATGTGATGTGATGTGATGTGTTGTGATGTGACGTGAATACGGCAATGTCACCTTGCTGCACTCCTCCCCACCTTGCGTCTCACCTTGACTGCGCGCCTGTACGCAGCAGCACTGGCACCATACTCGCCCAGCTCGAATCGCACCTCCCCCAGAAGGCGCTGCACCTCGGGGTCCTCCGGGGCGACCTGAGAGGCAATAAAGCGGGGGAGAAGCGAAGGGCGTGCGTGGTGGGGTGGGGAGAAGCGGAGGGCCCAGGTGACACCACAGGCATTCTCAAGTGTTTCCCCAGCTCGAATCGCACCTCCCCCAGGAGGCACTGCACCTCGGGATCCTCCTGGGCGATCTGAGAGGCAACAGAAGGGGGACGAGGTGGAGCCGAGCGTGGTAAGTTCACAAGTGAGGGGAGGAGAGTGAGGGGTGGGGCTCTCAAGTGAGGGGAGGAGAGTGAGGGGTGGGGCTCTCAAGTGAGGGGAGGAGAGTGAGGGGTGGGGCTCACAAGTCCACAAATCCTGTGTGTCCACAAATCATGCCCCCCCCTCAACTCACTCCACAGGCATATCAAGGTGCTTTTATGAGCCTTAGTGCCAGACCAGTGCCCAAGTTCGAATCAATTTTTGAGGCGCCTCAACGATAGACACAAGGTGCTTTTATGAGCCTTAGTGCCCGACTTCAAATCGCCAGAAAGAGCCTCCCAGGTACCCCTGCTGCTGCCCCTCTGTATCATGCCCCACCCCTCACTCCTCACCCTGCACATCCCACCCTCATTTGAGAAGCAGAACGGACGAAACAGGCAGGGAATAATAACAAGACACACGTCCACGTGCCTGGCTGAACTGCTCCAGGCGTTGAGCCGCCTGTCCATACTGCCCCAGTTCAGCATACAGCACCGCAGCTCCCTCCAGTGCTTCCCAATCGCTCGTGCTAACCATTCCCTTCCGTGCTACAACCCCACCGTGCCCAACCCCACTGTGCTACAACCCCACCGTGCCCAACCCCACTGTGCTACAACCCTACCCTGCTACCGTCCACGTGCCTGGCTGAGCTGTTCCAGGCGTTGAGCCGCCTGCCCATACTGCCCCAGCTCAGCATACAGCACTGCAGCTCCCTCCAGTGCTTCCCTGTTGTCTGGTGTGGTGGCCAGCCGCCCCTCAAACTCCTTCAGCTGGTCCTGGAGGGGGTGATGGTAGAAGGGGGGTTGGCAGGGGGAGCAGAGATGCGATACGTGAAACGCCTGCCCGTACTGCCACAGCTCCGCATACAGCACGGCAGCTCCCTCCAGTGCTTCCCTGTTGTCTGGTGTGGTGGCCAGCCGCCCCTCAAACTCCTTCAGCTGGTCCTGCAGGGGGTGATGGGGTGATGGTAGAAGGGGGGTTGGCAGGGGGAGCAGAGATGCGATACTTGAAATGCCTGCCCGTACTGCCACAGCTCCGCATACAGCAGGGCAGCTCCCTCCAGTGCCTCCCTGTTGCCCGGTGTGGCCGCCAGCCGCCCTTTTTAGTTGGCCCTCTGGGGTTGATGGGGGGGAAGGGGGAAGCACCAGGCGCAGTGATGCAGAGGCGAATGTGGAATGACTGAAGGCCGATCCTGTAGCTGGTGCTGCGCGGTTGATAGCGCGAGCAGGGTTTTACTATTCCAAGACGAGCGCCTACGTTTGAGGAGCCTCGAGGGATTACAGGAGTGGCTACATTCACACAGGTATGCATGCCCCATGCATGAGAGGGTAGAGTGGGGGGCAAGGGAGGAGGGCGCACCTCTCGCTGCTTCCTCTGCGCGTCGGTCATCTTGCCGACTGCAATGCCACTCGCGTGTTTGAGTCGGCTCAAAACATGGGTATGTGTAAGGGGGAGAGCAGCAGGGGGGCAAGAGAGGGAGGGCGCACCTCTCGCTGCTTCCTCTGGGCGTCGGTCATCTTGCCGACTGCAATTCCACTCGCATCCACCGTCTGCTGCTGCCTGGAAGAACAAGGGTGAAGGGTCGGTTGAATGCGGTTGGACAAGGTTGGGTTGGGAGCGAGACTAGCGGAGGTGGATGCTGAACGTGGGCGTTTCGTATGGTGAAGCGGATGAGAGTTCTCAGAAAACGCCTGCGACAAGAATGAGGATGGGTCTTTCTCCTTTACCGAGCAGCGGGACACAACACACATGCAACGTTTTTTCTGAATTGACTAGAAAAAAAAAGGAAGCCACAGGCATGCAGCGGACGGAACCTATAGGGCCAGTAACATACGCGGGGGGAGAAGGGGCGGGGAGAATGTCTCCGAAGGCGAATATGGCAGCAAACACCGTGGCCGCTATGCCAATGCCGATCTGCACACACCGGGGGGAGGGGGGGGATGAAAAGGGAACCGAAGGAGGCAGCAGGAATTATGATTGGTATGGGAGGGGGGCAGGGGGGAGGGAGAATGTCTCTGAAGGCGAATTTGGCAGCAAACACCGGGGCAGCAATGCCAATACCGATCTGCCACATGCACATGGGAGGGGACTGAGTGGCGACAGTCAGAGAATGATCGCTCGCCACTTAAGCTGTGTTTCTTTCACCCATTTCGACACAAGCACACCCCAACCAGGTCAGGTGGTCAGTCGTTGGCGAGAGCAGCAGCGTCCACCAGTGGCGGCTCTGTCCACACTGCAATGAGTGCGGTGAGCAACGCCAAGGATGACGGCCCGTGCTTGCTCAACTGCAACGCTTACTTCCTTGCTTTGTGCCGCTGCACCACAGCAGCGCGCCTCACCTTAGTGGGCAGGTCCTTGGTGAGTTCAGCCGTGTCCACCAGCGGATCTGTGTGCACTCCTCTGCCCCTGTGGGTACACTACAGCACAGCAACGCGCCTAACCTTAGTGGGCAGGTCCTTGGTGAGTTCAGCCGTGTCCACCAGCGGCTCTGTCTGTGGGTTGTCGTAATCGATGGCTGCTGTGCTTTGCACCGCTTTTGCCCGCTTCTTCTCCTCCGCTTGCCTGAGAACGGGGAGAACAGTGGAAGCACGGGCTTAGAATGGGATGGAGGGTGTGTCCAGTCATGTCATGCGCCTGGCAGTTGTTGTCGTAGTCGATGGCTGCTGTGCTTTGCACCGCTTTTGCCCGCTTCTTCTCCTCCGCTTGCCTGCGAATGGAAGGGCAGAGACCAGGGAAATGCAGGGAGCAGAGAGTGGATGTGTGGTGATGCGTTCGTCTGGCTGCGGGTTGTCATAGTCTATGGCTGCTGCACTGCTCACCGCTTTTGCCCGCTGCTTCTCCTCCGCTTGCCTGCAAACAGGGCGACAAGTGGAGGCAAGCAAGGGCATAATGTGGGAAGGAGCATGTGCGGGTTCAGTGATGTCATGCGTCTGTCTGTCTGCGGGTTGCCATAGTCCATGGCTGCTGTGCTTCGCACTGCTGCTGCCTGCAGCTTTCCTTCTCCTCCGCCTGCCTGAGAGCAGGGATGGCAAAGACCAGGCTGGAGTGGCGAGGCGAGAGAGGCCAAGACAAAGAGACTGGCTGGGGGAAAGAAGAAGGAATAGTGGGCAAATCAAAGGCGCCACTAAGAGAGGCCAGAGCTGCCCGCATCCTCACAAACCCGTAAGCTCACACACACACGCACAAGTTCTGGATCCTGTCTGTCTCTTACGCACCTCCCACCGTTTCTTTCTTCCCCCACCTACCCCACTCATCAACTCAACGCCTCAGTTCCCTCAGGCGCTCTGCAACGAGGCAGGCAGGCATCATCGAGGCAGGCATCATCGAGGCAGGCATCACCTGAGGCAACACCAACACCCTCCCCACGCTTGGGCAACACAAGGGGTCGGAGCTCCACTCTCCCCAGGAACCATTACCCGCCCCTCCCACACCCTTCAGACACAATACCCTCCCTCCCTCCCAATACCCGCCCTCCCCACAATCTTCCCCCACCCCACTCATCTGCTCACCGGCGCACTTCTCTCAGGTGCTCCTCAAAGAGCCGGTTGTCATCCGAGGCAGCACGGGAGGGCGGAACAAACGACTCCCCCCATGACCCATTCCTTTCACACGCCTCCCCTCTACACCCTTTCCCACTACTCTTTCCTCATCAACTTACCGTCGCACTTCTCTCAGGCGCTCCTCAAACAGCCGGTCGTCGTCCAAGGCAGCACGGGAGGGCCTCTGCAACGCCTGTTGCGCTGCCGACACATCTGGCGCCCACTCTGGCCGTGCAGGCAGTGATGAGAGGGTGAGGGGGAGAGGTGTGTATAATGGGAATAAGGGGAATAAGGGGAATAACTTTGGTGAAAGGGCCTTTGAGACGCACATCTTGCGTCGCCGATACATCTGGCGCCCACTCTGGCCGTGCAGGTAGTGATGTGAAAGGGCCTTTGATACTCTGGCCGTGCAGGTAGTGATGCGAGGGCGGGGGGAGAGGTGTGTATAGTGGGAATAAGGGGGGTGAGTTTGGTGAAGGGCCTCTGCAACGCCTGTTGCGCTGCTGAAACATCTGGCGCCCACTCTGGCCGAGCAGTGCAGGCATGGCACAGCATGGCAGAGCATGGCACAGCATAGCAGAGCATGGCAGAGCATGGCACAGCACGGCAGAGCATGGCAGAGCATGGCACAGCATGGCAGAGCATGGCACAGCATGGCAGAGCATGGCACAGCATGGCAAAGCATGGCAGAGCATGGCACAGCATGGCAAAGCATGGCAGAGCATGGCACAGCATGGCAAAGCACAGGGAGTCTGCAATGGGTTGGTCAGCTTGATTCTTGAAACTTTGCAGCAGGAATTAACGTTTTTTTTCTGACTAGGGTTCGACTGAGGGCAAGAAATGATTGTGATTAGGTGGGCTGGCTGGAGGTTACCGTTTTCACTGACGCCAGGAATGGCCGCATCTTGCTTGGGAGCCCCACTGCCTTTGTTGGGAGTGGGCTTCTGAAGACGCATTGTGGAATGACACGCGGGGTAAAAGTGAGATGATATGCCGCATGAGAAGTCAGGATACGGCATGTGTTGGGGTATGTGCGGTGCTAGATTAGGGTATGTGCGATCCCGCGTGTGAGGTTCCATGATTTGAATGCAAGACGCCATGCGATGCGACAGCACCACACAAGCAGCACAGCACATGGCATTGTGAAAATGCGTGCCATGGCATGCCGAGACGCTGCACATGATGGCATGGCATACAATGTCCGTGCATGTCATCACTGCATGGTCATCAGTGCATGATCAGTTAAGCATGAACGGTCATCAGCAGCAGGTTCACAAAAACGGCATGCCTGCATCCCTCTGATCCTTGAATACGTCCTATTCTAAAGCTTTCCAACAATGCGTTGAGCTCGTTGAGGAGAGAGGAAGCTTTATAAATTTAAGAATTTTCAGAAGCAACGCGTCGCATCGCACCCGGCTCTTGCTGTCGTCCGCCTTGCCGAACCCCTTCGCCCCGCCTGTGGCTGCTGTCACCAGCAACGCTCTCCTTCGCCCGACTCCACTCCCCAATCGCCCGGTCCTCGCGAACGAAATGCTGCGAGCCCCAGCTGGCGCCCGTTGAATTAGCGACGACGACGATGACGACGCTGATGGCAAGGAATTAGCTGCCGCTAGCATGGCTGACGAGCTGCAGGAAACGGCCAAGGACTGCATTGCTGAACCTACTCTAGAGGCCTCCGAGAGCCAATCGGTTCAACAAAACACTGCTCTTGCTCACTGCTGCTGTCGTCGGCTCGCGCTCCTGACGGCCGTCGCCTTGAGCGATCACCGTTACTAACTAGTGGAATTTTGCTGTACAATTGAGTGAGCTGGACAGGCCGGGAGTACACTAGCTGAAGGAGCTAGCTGTGTGCGTTTATTTGGGAATATGACGTGGACCTACCTAGAGCTTTGCTGTGATGATCAGGGGACAATCAGGAACACTTTGGATAAGGCGAATCTGCGAGCATCGCGGGGCAATATCTTTTGCGAGGGTCGTGAAGTACGAAATCCAAAACTAGGGAAAGTGATGTGGGTGTGGGTCTTCACCTGTGTGTCCCATTTGCGAAACGCGAGATATTGTTACATTGCCAGAAAGAGTTCGCATTATTGGGTAACTATCTGCAAATGCTGATTTCTTCGCAGAGCTTCTCAAGGGTAAATCGATATTATTTGACTAGAAATCGTGCAGTTCCTCTTTCCAACCTAGAAATCGTGTCAGCCTATTCTGTTGGTCCTTGTCAGCAATTTCTCATACTCGTCAGCAATCCCGCAAGACCAGTCAGCGATCTCTTGGGCGTTTAGTATTTCCTTCTCCGCTGCCTCCTACACATTGTCGCGAGGTTTGCGTTTATTAATTAGTGTTCGTTTCAAGGACGTCAGGTTGCCTCTCTAAACGCGTACTAACAAGTATATTCGACCTCGAGCTAGTGTTAGCGCATTGTTTGGCATACGCGGTTGTCGCAGTGCTCGTTCGACGATGACAACGGAGGTCGCGGGTCGCAACATCGTAGTCGCAGTTGACGAGTCCGAGCAAAGCTTCTACGCCTTGCAGTGGTATGCCTGCTGCCTGTCACTTTCCCGCTCAAAGATCTCCGCTGCCTTTTTTGTGCTCTATGCCTTGAAAGCGCTTTCACTGGCTGCTTGCTTTTTTCCTGTCTCTGTCGCTCACTCCGCGCGCATTGTTCTACAGGGCGTTTGACCACATTATCCGAAAGGACGCCGATAAGACGATACTCGTCACAGTGGAGACGCCCATTACCAGTAGCGCAGGAGGTACAAAACGCTTAGCATTGTTTTCCGCATTTTGCATTGCGAAGAAAGAAAAAGAAAGAACAAATCACAGCACTTTCATGCCTGGCTCGTTTTTCTCCTATCTCAAACGTCTCAAGAATATATCGGCTCTGAGCTATATTTTCCTGTATTTTTCCGCCAGCATTCGCTATTCCCGAGGATAACGAGCTGAGCGTGGAGGACGACAAGGAGCAGGAGACGAAGAGCGTCGCTGAGAGGGCCGAGGCCATCTGCAAGGAGAACCAGGTAAGCTGTCCTCTCAACGAGGAGGGCTAGGTTATGAACGGGGTGGGTGGCGTTAAAAGAATCATAGAAAAGAGGAACACAAGCACATAAACCACGGCTGACTGCTGCACTGTCGTTAGAGGCGTGTGGTTGCAGCTGTTAGCCATCCCACGTTTTCCAAACCCTTTGACTGAATCTTTGAAGAAAGCAGAATAAAAATATGGGAAGGCCCGGGAAAACAAAGAAGAACTTACTGAATCTGTGTCGTGCGTGTGTCAGGTGACGAGCGTGACAAAGGTGTATCAGGGCGAGGCGAGGGAGGCGATCTGCCAGGCGTGTGAGGAGAACGAGGCGAGCATGCTGGTCATCGGCAGCCATGGCCACGGGCCCGTCAAGAGAAGCTTCCTCGGCTCCGTCAGCGACTACTGCTCCAAATACGCTCGGTCAGTGGGAGCTGTATGCTGTGCTTCAGTTGAACGTTGCACTGTGCTTCCACTCCGACTCTCCCCTCCCCTGTGTGCTTCCGACTTTTGAGGCCGCAAAAGCTTCCTCGGCTCCGTCAGCGACTGCTGCTCCAAATACGCTCGGTCAGTGGGAGCTGTGTGCTCTGCTTCAGCTAGTTGGACCTTGTGCGGTGCTTCCATGAACGTCTCAAAAGACTGGGAGCTTCCTCGTCTCCGTCAGCAACTATTGCTCCAAATACGCTCGGTTAGTTGGGGTTGTGCTTTCGTGCTGTAAGATATGTCAACTTTAGTAGATTAGAAGCTTCCTCGGCTCCGTCAGCGATTACTGCTCCAAATACTCACGGTCAGTTGGACCTTGTGTATGCCGCTTCTCTTCTTTACGAGACATGTGGTGACTTCACTCCCCTTGTCAAGGCCCCCCCCTCTTCCCCTCCCCCACCCAACCACCCCCACGTTCCCCTCCCCCACCCAACCACCCCCACGTTTTCCTTTCCGCTCTCTTTCCCTCTCTTGAATTCCACCTCTCCCAGTGTCCATTCGCTTTCCTTTCCCTTAACCCGATTTTTTCACAATGCATCATCCGTCTTCCATTGCTCTCATCCCCGCCTTCTTCCACCTTCCACTTTCTACACCCCTGCCTGTCCTATATTTCAGGTGTCCAGTGGTTGTAATTCGACCTATAAGCTAACCCCGCGATCTCACACATGCCATCATTGCGAGTTGCTATTGAAAGGATTTCTTTTCTTGGTAAAATGCCCTCATTTTCAACGTAGTTCCATCTTGGAACCATATTATACGATAGCACAACTGGGTCGTTTAGGGCCTAATGATAACGCATAGAAGTCCGACAGAATTCATCTTAGATATAAATTGGCCCACGGGTACTGGTAGTTAAAGGATTGTCTTGTTGAAGATGTGTAACATGTGTATAACCTCAATGATGCTGTCATGCCATCTGCCTCTTGGGGAAAGCCTGCAATAGTGGAACCCGAACAAAAAAAAAACGACTCGCACGTACCCGAACTTACCCGAACTTCGGGCGGAACTTACCTGTAGCTTCAGAGCAAGGACTCGCGCGTTTCGCGCGTTCCATTGTTCGCCAGTAGTTAACTGCACTCTCAGAAGTTTTTAGGAAACCTGCGCTGGAAGCTCGTCTGATGTCACTCTGTGAGACATACTGAAGGTGCAACAAAACAGACGCGACTTCTGAGAACTGGTTTTGAAAAAGCTGGTTTCGTCTTTTGAGAATAATGCTGCGGTTGGATTGCAGCGGAACACTGTTTAGCGGAACATCCGCCGGTCCACCAAGGACCAGCGGAATGGCATTGGCCCAATCATTCCGCCACACACGGAAATTCCATTCAGCGTTTGCGCTTCCCGCGCGCGCGCTTTCCGCTGGTGGTTCCGTCGCCTCAGGGCAGAGGAAGGTTCCAGGAAAGCCTGCTCGAGCGCCTCTAGCACGCGCAGCAGGCGCTGACGGCTTGTTTGACGGCCAGCGGTTTGTGCTGACGCTGGAAGTGACGGAAGGCAAACAGGTAATGGTTACAATTACAGTGAACATTTATAACTCGTCTCAGCCAATTTACCGTTTGAATGCCCCTTGTGACATGATGTCTTTGTTGCCACGTCTCCCTTGCGATCTCTCCCATGCCACGTGGCAGGCCCAGGCCAAGGACGTCCTAGCTTCGGGCAGGTTCCATGCCACAGTGCTGCCGGACCTGCCTGCTCCGGCCGGCTTCAGAGATTTCTTGCAGCTGCCCCTCTCTCTGCTTCCACTCCCCTCCTCTTCCTCTCTTCCTCCTTCCTCCTTTCCCTCTCCTACTCCCTACCCTTCCAAACGTCCTGTCTCCTCCCTCAAACCTGATATAGGCACTCTCGATGCATCAACTCACAGTCAAGTTATTCCCCTAGCTGCCAGTGCTGGTAACCCGTCTCTTACAGGCAGCACAACGGGTAGCCAAGCCAATCTTCAGGATCCAGACAGCTCTGTTGCGGCTCAGGCGGTTGCCCAGGTGCTGACGGTGGCGGCTCAGGTGAAAACAACAGAGGCGGTGAGGCAGCAGATGGTGGAGAAGGCGGTTCAGGTGGCAGGGGGCAGGGAGGGCAGCACTCCAGGTGCTCTTCTGCTGCTGTCAGGAGGTACGTGTAACTGCTGCTGCTGGTGCTGCTGCTGTCCGAACTTATACAATCCTTCCATTCGCCTCCCAGCACATCCCGGCCCAATGCTCTCCACACCACACCCCACCGCTCACTATCCCCCCCCACCTATGTCGTCACCCCACCCAACCCGTTTACCTCATGCGGACTTGGCCTGTCGTGAACAGCCCCGTGCCCACACTCCACTTGCTCACCCACCCCCCTCCCCCTCCCACTACCACTCCTCTCTCCTCAACCCCCCAGCCCACCCCATGCGCTCCTGGCCGCTATTGAACCGTCTCATGCCCACCAACTCCAACTCCCTTCAACACCTTTCAATCCCTTCTAACCCTCCTTATCCCTCCCATTCATTCTCATCCCTCCCCCAGCCCACCCGATGCGCTCCTGGCCGCTCGTGAATCGCCTCATGCCCACAAACTCGCTCCACATGCTGCGAGACGCTCACAGGCTCCGTGCGGCAGGCCGAATCCCGCGCTGTAAGTGCGGTGCCGCTTGTGCTGTTCACGTGAATTGTGAGGAGCGGTGGAATTAGTTCTATGCTTTGAGTGTGGTGCGTTTTGAGAGGCGCCTAATAAATGCATCTGGCTGCGTTGTTTGTATCGCCGTCTCGGACCCGTGTAGAGAGTGATTTTTTGGTTATAGAATGCATGAGACGACTCAAAACTTCACTTTCTACACGTGACCTCAGAAATGCATCTGGCTGCGTTGTATCGCCGTCTCCGACCCACCCTTCCACTCCCATCCCATCCCCAAACAACCCGTACCTCCCCTGTCATTCGCTCCCTCCCAAGGTGTTCAGTTGTGGGCTGTCGAGAATCCTATCACTGGCTCAGTTGACCGCCTGGAACAGAAGGTAAGAGCCGTGTGATAATACTAGATAAGGTTCGTATGTTCTGAGCCACCGTAAAATCACCGTTTAACCTTATGGGGGATGCCTTATCGGGTTCTTATTGTCTAACCGCATATTTGAAGCCACGCCACACCATTGATGCCATCAGATATTGCTGCAGGCATCGATGGGGTGGCGTGGCGTGGCTTTTGAGGCGCCTTCAACAATGGCCTCAAAAGCCATCAATGGTGTGGTGTGGTGTGGTTGGCTCCATTGTTCTCGCATTTGCAGCCCAACAGAGGTGCCCTCTGTTGTTCTTGCATTTGCAGCCCAACAGAGGTGCCCTCTGTTGTTCTTGCATTTGCAGCCCAACAGAGGTGCCCTCTGTTGTTCTCGCATTTGCAGCCCAACAGAGGTGCCCTCTGTTGTTCTCGCATTTGCAGCCCAACAGAGGTGCCCTCTGTTGTTCTCGCATTTGCAGCCCAACAGAGGTGCCCTCTGTTGTTCTCGCATTTGCAGCCCAACAGAGGTGCCCTCTGTTGTTCTTGCATTTGCAGCCCAACAGAGGTGCCCTCTGTTGTTCTCGCATTTGCAGCCCAACAGAGGTGCCCTCTGTTGTTCTTGCATTTGCAGCCCAACAGAGGTGCCCTCTGTTGTTCTCGCATTTGCAGCCCAACAGAGGTGCCCTCTGTTGTTCTCGCATTTGCAGCCCAACAGAGGTGCCCTCTGTTGTTCTTGCATTTGCAGCCCAACAGAGGTGCCCTCTGTTGTTCTCGCATTTGCAGCCCAACAGAGGTGCCCTCTGTTGTTCTCGCATTTGCAGCCCAACAGAGGTGCCCTCTGTTGTTCTCGCATTTGCAGCCCAACAGAGGTGCCCTCTGTTGTTCTCGCATTTGCAGCCCAACAGAGGTGCCCTCTGTTGTTCTTGCATTTGCAGCCCAACAGAGGTGCCCTCTGTTGTTCTCGCATTTGCAGCCCAACAGAGGTGCCCTCTGTTGTTCTCGCATTTGCAGCCCAACAGAGGTGCCCTCTGTTGTTCTCGCATTTGCAGCCCAACAGAGGTGCCCTCTGTTGTTCTCGCATTTGCAGCCCAACAGAGGTGCCCTCTGTTGTTCTCGCATTTGCAGCCCAACAGAGGTGCCCTCTGTTGTTCTCGCATTTGCAGCCCAACAGAGGTGCCCTCTGTTGTTCTCGCATTTGCAGCCCAACAGAGGTGCCCTCTGTTGTTCTCGCATTTGCAGCCCAACAGAGGTGCCCTCTGTTGTTCTTGCATTTGCAGCCCAACAGAGGTGCCCTCTGTTGTTCTTGCATTTGCAGCCCAACAGAGGTGCCCTCTGTTGTTCTCGCATTTGCAGCCCAACAGAGGTGCCCTCTGTTGTTCTCGCATTTGCAGCCCAACAGAGGTGCCCTCTGTTGTTCTCGCATTTGCAGCCCAACAGAGGTGCCCTCTGTTGTTCTCGCATTTGCAGCCCAACAGAGGTGCCCTCTGTTGTTCTCGCATTTGCAGCCCAACAGAGGTGCCCTCTGTTGTTCTCGCATTTGCAGCCCAACAGAGGTGCCCTCTGTTGTTCTCGCATTTGCAGCCCAACAGAGGTGCCCTCTGTTGTTCTCGCATTTGCAGCCCAACAGAGGTGCCCTCTGTTGTTCTCGCATTTGCAGCCCAACAGAGGTGCCCTCTGTTGTTCTCGCATTTGCAGCCCAACAGAGGTGCCCTCTGTTGTTCTCGCATTTGCAGCCCAACAGAGGTGCCCTCTGTTGTTCTCGCATTTGCAGCCCAACAGAGGTGCCCTCTGTTGTTCTTGCATTTGCAGCCCAACAGAGGTGCCCTCTGTTGTTCTCGCATTTGCAGCCCAACAGAGGTGCCCTCTGTTGTTCTTGCATTTGCAGCCCAACAGAGGTGCCCTCTGTTGTTCTCGCATTTGCAGCCCAACAGAGGTGCCCTCTGTTGTTCTCGCATTTGCAGCCCAACAGAGGTGCCCTCTGTTGTTCTCGCATTTGCAGCCCAACAGAGGTGCCCTCTGTTGTTCTCGCATTTGCAGCCCAACAGAGGTGCCCTCTGTTGTTCTCGCATTTGCAGCCCAACAGAGGTGCCCTCTGTTGTTCTCGCATTTGCAGCCCAACAGAGGTGCCCTCTGTTGTTCTCGCATTTGCAGCCCAACAGAGGTGCCCTCTGTTGTTCTCGCATTTGCAGCCCAACAGAGGTGCCCTCTGTTGTTCTCGCATTTGCAGCCCAACAGAGGTGCCCTCTGTTGTTCTCGCATTTGCAGCCCAACAGAGGTGCCCTCTGTTGTTCTCGCATTTGCAGCCCAACAGAGGTGCCCTCTGTTGTTCTCGCATTTGCAGCCCAACAGAGGTGCCCTCTGTTGTTCTCGCATTTGCAGCCCAACAGAGGTGCCCTCTGTTGTTCTCGCATTTGCAGCCCAACAGAGGTGCCCTCTGTTGTTCTCGCATTTGCAGCCCAACAGAGGTGCCCTCTGTTGTTCTCGCATTTGCAGCCCAACAGAGGTGCCCTCTGTTGTTCTCGCATTTGCAGCCCAACAGAGGTGCCCTCTGTTGTTCTCGCATTTGCAGCCCAACAGAGGTGCCCTCTGTTGTTCTCGCATTTGCAGCCCAACAGAGGTGCCCTCTGTTGTTCTCGCATTTGCAGCCCAACAGAGGTGCCCTCTGTTGTTCTTGCATTTGCAGCCCAACAGAGGTGCCCTCTGTTGTTCTCGCATTTGCAGCCCAACAGAGGTGCCCTCTGTTGTTCTCGCATTTGCAGCCCAACAGAGGTGCCCTCTGTTGTTCTCGCATTTGCAGCCCAACAGAGGTGCCCTCTGTTGTTCTCGCATTTGCAGCCCAACAGAGGTGCCCTCTGTTGTTCTCGCATTTGCAGCCCAACAGAGGTGCCCTCTGTTGTTCTCGCATTTGCAGCCCAACAGAGGTGCCCTCTGTTGTTCTTGCATTTGCAGCCCAACAGAGGTGCCCTCTGTTGTTCTCGCATTTGCAGCCCAACAGAGGTGCCCTCTGTTGTTCTTGCATTTGCAGCCCAACAGAGGTGCCCTCTGTTGTTCTTGCATTTGCAGCCCAACAGAGGTGCCCTCTGTTGTTCTTGCATTTGCAGCCCAATAGAGGTGCCCTCTGTTGTTCTTGCATTTGCAGCCCAACAGAGGTGCCCTCTGTTGTTCTCGCATTTGCAGCCCAACAGAGGTGCCCTCTGTTGTTCTCGCATTTGCAGCCCAACAGAGGTGCCCTCTGTTGTTCTCGCATTTGCAGCCCAACAGAGGTGCCCTCTGTTGTTCTCGCATTTGCAGCCCAACAGAGGTGCCCTCTGTTGTTCTCGCATTTGCAGCCCAACAGAGGTGCCCTCTGTTGTTCTTGCATTTGCAGCCCAACAGAGGTGCCCTCTGTTGTTCTTGCATTTGCAGCCCAACAGAGGTGCCCTCTGTTGTTCTTGCATTTGCAGCCCAATAGAGGTGCCCTCTGTTGTTCTTGCATTTGCAGCCCAACAGAGGTGCCCTCTGTTGTTCTTGCATTTGCAGCCCAACAGAGGTGCCCTCTGTTGTTCTCGCATTTGCAGCCCAACAGAGGTGCCCTCTGTTGTTCTCGCATTTGCAGCCCAACAGAGGTGCCCTCTGTTGTTCTTGCATTTGCAGCCCAACAGAGGTGCCCTCTGTTGTTCTCGCATTTGCAGCCCAACAGAGGTGCCCTCTGTTGTTCTCGCATTTGCAGCCCAACAGAGGTGCCCTCTGTTGTTCTCGCATTTGCAGCCCAACAGAGGTGCCCTCTGTTGTTCTTGCATTTGCAGCCCAACAGAGGTGCCCTCTGTTGTTCTCGCATTTGCAGCCCAACAGAGGTGCCCTCTGTTGTTCTTGCATTTGCAGCCCAACAGAGGTGCCCTCTGTTGTTCTTGCATTTGCAGCCCAACAGAGGTGCCCTCTGTTGTTCTTGCATTTGCAGCCCAATAGAGGTGCCCTCTGTTGTTCTTGCATTTGCAGCCCAACAGAGGTGCCCTCTGTTGTTCTTGCATTTGCAGCCCAACAGAGGTGCCCTCTGTTGTTCTCGCATTTGCAGCCCAACAGAGGTGCCCTCTGTTGTTCTTGCATTTGCAGCCCAATAGAGGTGCCCTCTGTTGTTCTTGCATTTGCAGCCCAACAGAGGTGCCCTCTGTTGTTCTTGCATTTGCAGCCCAACAGAGGTGCCCTCTGTTGTTCTTGCATTTGCAGCCCAACAGAGGTGCCCTCTGTTGTTCTTGCATTTGCAGCCCAATAGAGGTGCCCTCTGTTGTTCTTGCATTTGCAGCCCAACAGAGGTGCCCTCTGTTGTTCTTGCATTTGCAGCCCAACAGAGGTGCCCTCTGTTGTTCTTGCATTTGCAGCCCAACAGAGGTGCCCTCTGTTGTTCTCGCATTTGCAGCCCAACAGAGGTGCCCTCTGTTGTTCTCGCATTTGCAGCCCAACAGAGGTGCCCTCTGTTGTTCTTGCATTTGCAGCCCAACAGAGGTGCCCTCTGTTGTTCTCGCATTTGCAGCCCAACAGAGGTGCCCTCTGTTGTTCTCGCATTTGCAGCCCAACAGAGGTGCCCTCTGTTGTTCTCGCATTTGCAGCCCAACAGAGGTGCCCTCTGTTGTTCTTGCATTTGCAGCCCAACAGAGGTGCCCTCTGTTGTTCTCGCATTTGCAGCCCAACAGAGGTGCCCTCTGTTGTTCTTGCATTTGCAGCCCAACAGAGGTGCCCTCTGTTGTTCTTGCATTTGCAGCCCAACAGAGGTGCCCTCTGTTGTTCTTGCATTTGCAGCCCAATAGAGGTGCCCTCTGTTGTTCTTGCATTTGCAGCCCAATAGAGGTGCCCTCTGTTGTTCTTGCATTTGCAGCCCAACAGAGGTGCCCTCTGTTGTTTTCGCATTTGCAGCCCAACAGAGGTGCCCTCTGTTGTTCTTGCATTTGCAGCCCAACAGAGGTGCCCTCTGTTGTTCTTGCATTTGCAGCCCAATAGAGGTGCCCTCTGTTGTTCTTGCATTTGCAGCCCAACAGAGGTGCCCTCTGTTGTTCTTGCATTTGCAGCCCAACAGAGGTGCCCTCTGTTGTTCTTGCATTTGCAGCCCAATAGAGGTGCCCTCTGTTGTTCTTGCATTTGCAGCCCAATAGAGGTGCCCTCTGTTGTTCTTGCATTTGCAGCCCAACAGAGGTGCCCTCTGTTGTTCTTGCATTTGCAGCCCAACAGAGGTGCCCTCTGTTGTTCTTGCATTTGCAGCCCAATAGAGGTGCCCTCTGTTGTTCTTGCATTTGCAGCCCAATAGAGGTGCCCTCTGTTGTTCTTGCATTTGCAGCCCAATAGAGGTGCCCTCTGTTGTTCTTGCATTTGCAGCCCAACAGAGGTGCCCTCTGTTGTTCTCGCATTTGCAGCCCAACAGAGGTGCCCTCTGTTGTTCTTGCATTTGCAGCCCAACAGAGGTGCCCTCTGTTGTTCTTGCATTTGCAGCCCAATAGAGGTGCCCTCTGTTGTTCTTGCATTTGCAGCCCAACAGAGGTGCCCTCTGTTGTTCTTGCATTTGCAGCCCAACAGAGGTGCCCTCTGTTGTTCTTGCATTTGCAGCCCAACAGAGGTGCCCTCTGTTGTTCTTGCATTTGCAGCCCAACAGAGGTGCCCTCTGTTGTTCTTGCATTTGCAGCCCAATAGAGGTGCCCTCTGTTGTTCTTGCATTTGCAGCCCAATAGAGGTGCCCTCTGTTGTTCTTGCATTTGCAGCCCAATAGAGGTGCCCTCTGTTGTTCTTGCATTTGCAGCCCAACAGAGGTGCCCTCTGTTGTTCTTGCATTTGCAGCCCAATAGAGGTGCCCTCTGTTGTTCTTGCATTTGCAGCCCAATAGAGGTGCCCTCTGTTGTTCTTGCATTTGCAGCCCAATAGAGGTGCCCTCTGTTGTTCTTGCATTTGCAGCCCAATAGAGGTGCCCTCTGTTGTTCTTGCATTTGCAGCCCAATAGAGGTGCCCTCTGTTGTTCTTGCATTTGCAGCCCAATAGAGGTGCCCTCTGTTGTTCTTGCATTTGCAGCCCAATAGAGGTGCCAGGCGCATTTCATCTGTCCACTCATTTCCCTCTCACTTCTCCCCCCCCATCTCTCCCTCTCCCCATACACCCCCTCCCCCTCCCCATGCCATACGCCTTTCCATCCGCTCACCAAGCAAGCAGCTGGAGGCGGGAGCAGAGGCCATTATACTGCAACCCCCCGTGGTGCCAGATACATTCCCATGAGTTTCCCCTCCCACTTCACTCCCCCATGCCCCTCAACCTTCCTCCCCACACGCACAAATTCCCCCAAGCAACCAGCTGGAGGCGGGAGCAGAGGCCATTGTACTGCAGCCCCCCGTGGTGCCAGAAGCTTTTAAACAATGGTGGTGTGCGGCTGAACAGAGAGGGTGAGGGAGGCAGGGAAGGGTGAGGGGGAGAGGTTGAGGGGAAAGGGAGAGGTAGATAGAAGGACGCCAGAGATGACAAGGGGGGGAAGGGTGTTCCTTATCGATAATAATTGGCACTGCAGAGATGATGAGAAGGGTAAGGATCACCCTTCCCCGGGAAGTGAGGAAAGTGCGGGAAGTGTTTTTCTTCCCCCAGTGTCACCAATGCCTTTTCTTCCCCCAGTGTCACCAATGCCTTTTCTTCCCCCGTCCCTCTACCTCCTCCCTTTTTTCCCCAGCCTCACCGCTGCGGTTCCCTTGATGATCTAAGTCCCTTGATGATCAAAGTCCCTTGATGATCAAAGTCCCTTGATGATCAAAGTCCCTTCATGATCAAAGTCCCTTCATGATCAAAGTCCCTTCATGATCAAAGTCCCTTCATGATCAAAGTCCCTTCATGATCAAAGTCCCTTCATGATCAAAGTCCCTTCATGATCAAAGTCCCTTCATGATCAAAGTCCCTTCATGATCAAAGTCCCTTCATGATCAAAGTCCCTTCATGATCAAAGTCCCTTCATGATCAAAGTCCCTTCATGATCAAAGTCCCTTCATGATCAAAGTCCCTTCATGATCAAAGTCCCTTCATGATCAAAGTCCCTTCATGATCAAAGTCCCTTCATGATCAAAGTCCCTTCATGATCAAAGTCCCTTCATGATCAAAGTCCCTTCATGATCAAAGTCCCTTCATGATCAAAGTCCCTTCATGATCAAAGTCCCTTCATGATCAAAGTCCCTTCATGATCAAAGTCCCTTCATGATCAAAGTCCCTTCATGATCAAAGTCCCTTCATGATCAAAGTCCCTTCATGATCAAAGTCCCTTCATGATCAAAGTCCCTTCATGATCAAAGTCCCTTCATGATCAAAGTCCCTTCATGATCAAAGTCCCTTCATGATCAAAGTCCCTTCATGATCAAAGTCCCTTCATGATCAAAGTCCCTTCATGATCAAAGTCCCTTCATGATCAAAGTCCCTTCATGATCAAAGTCCCTTCATGATCAAAGTCCCTTCATGATCAAAGTCCCTTCATGATCAAAGTCCCTTCATGATCAAAGTCCCTTCATGATCAAAGTCCCTTCATGATCAAAGTCCCTTCATGATCAAAGTCCCATCATCATCAAAGTGCCGCTCATCCCTCGGCGTGCAACCTTGCATTCTGGGTGCTCTACACCCACCATCTCAAACCCCATGCACCCTCCCTCCCTCCTGTTCACCTCCACCCGTCCAGCCTCACCACAGCAGTCCCCATCATCATAGGAGTGCCTCTCATCACCTCGGCGCGCAATCTCGCCTTCTGGATGCTTCTCACTGACGCCAAGGGCGTTCAAGCCGACGCTGAAGTAGCCAGGTTCTGGCAGGCAGAGGAGCGGGTGGCAGGGACGGGCGTGGTGGATGTGGATGAGTTCAGGGCATTCCGCCAGCACTGGACAGAGCAGTACCTCTCCCTGGCGAAGCAGCTCAAAGGTGGGATGGTTTTTTAGGGTTCTAATCGCCAAGTTCCGGCAGGCAGAGGAGCAGGTGGCATTGACGGGCGTGGTGAATGTGGTCAGTTCAGGACATTCCGTCAGCACTGGACAGAGCAGTACCTCTCCCTGGCGAAGCAGCTAAAAGGTGGGATGGTTTTTTAGGGTTCTAATCGCCAAGTTCCGGCAGGCAGAGGAGCAGGTGGCATTGACGGGCGTGGTGAATGTGGTCAGTTCAGGACATTCCGCCAGCACTGGACAGAGCAGTACCTCTCCCTGGCGAAGCAGCTCAAAGGTGGGATGGTTTTTTAGGGTTCTAATCGCCAAGTTCCGGCAGGCAGAGGAGCAGGTGGCATTGACGGGCGTGGTGAATGTGGTCAGTTCAGGACATTCCGCCAGCACTGGATCCAGCAGTACCAGTTCTGGCCTTGCGGTACCAGTTCTGGCCTTGCAGTACCGGTTCTGGCCTTGCAGTACCAGTTCTGGCCTTTGCAAGGCCTTGCAAAGCAGCTCAAAGGTATGGAGGTGTGGAGGTGAAGCGGTGAGCGGCTGGCAGGGAGCGAGGTGGATGTGGTCAGTTCAGGGCGAGGTGGATATGGATGTGTACCCTTTGACTCAATTTGACTTCCCCAATCACTTCGACTTCCCCACTCATCCCCCTCTGTTGTCCACTCACACGCCCCTCCCCTGCCCTTCGCTCTGTTCTTTTTCCGAGGTGCTTACAGGGGCATCAGGGATACATTTTATGCCCATTAACCCCCGTGGATGGAAGGACCTGCGTAGACTAATCGCCACTTCACATGTATTCTCCAGTCTCTGATGACCTCTGACAATTGAATCAGTTCGTGTCTGGAGATATGGCGCTTATCACGGCCTCTGACAATTGAATCAGTTCGTGTCTGGCGATATGGCGCTTGTTTTGTGTGCATGAACACGCTGTTCTCAGCCCAACACACACATAGGCGGGCAAGTTGAGCAGAAGTGCTATGCAAAGTGATCTGTTAGTGTGTTAATGCCGGGGTACAGAGGCGGGCAGAACAAAGCGTGGACAAAAATCTTTCCATGTGAAAAGTTTAGGCCTGGAGGTGAGGGATATCGATCCCCTTACCTATCGCATGCGAAGCGATCGCTCTACCATGTGAGCTACACCCCCATGTCTGGAAAACTAAAAACAGATCCTTATCCTCGGTACAATGCACCTAGCCGTTTCATGATCGATAAGCATGCGGAATTTGTCCTCACAACTGCTCACGGAGGTCTTTCGGATTACCTTGCCCAGGTTCTTTAGAAGGCTGGCGTCAAATTAGTGCGACGCGATGGTGAAAGCATACTTGCGCTACGAGCAGGAGGCGGTATTCGGCCTCGTAGTCTCCCCTTCCTGCGGCAGCATATGTTTCGACCAATCAGGTCGCTCCATTCTAACCGGCGCGCTCGAACGCTTGCTCGTATGGGACGTACGGAAGGGCACGCTGCTGCAGCAGCTCGCGCCACAGCCGGCCGGCGCCGGCTACAGCCAGGGGGGCGGCGCGGGCGCGGCCGGCGGCGCAGCCAGCAGCGTGCATGATGCCGTCCCGGCTGTAGCGGACGTGACGGCGATTTGCCCGTCGCCGGCCGACGCGACGCAGGTGGCGTCGGGGTACACGGACGGCACGGTGCGCGTGTGGAACATGGTGGACGGCACGTGTAGGACAAGCCTTGCCGGCCACCGGTCGGCTGTAGCGGTGGTGCGGTACAACGCGGCCGGCGCGCTGCTGGCGTCGGGCGGCAGAGACGCGGATATCGTGGTGTGGGACGTGGCGGGCGAAGTGGGACTCGTGCGACTGAGGGGACACAGAGACCAGGTAGGGTTCGGGGTTCAGGGTTCTGGGACCTGGTTTGAGTCGTCTCAAAACACGGACCTTGCCCTGCATCGCTGCGTTCAAACCGTTGCCTAAACAACCCCTTCCCCCAACCCCACTCCCCTCGCCCCTTCTCCTGTTCTGTATTGAAATCACGTTGGATTTCAATTCTCAAAAGTGATTTCAATCTTCCCCCAACCCCACCCCCCTCGCCCCTTCTCCTGATCTGTCGCTCCCTCCACTCCCCCGATCCCCAGTGCGTCGAACTTCTCAGGTCACAGATCTGACTTTCCTGGAAGGTTCCATGGTCCAGCACCAGTCACTTCTAGTGAGCTGCAGCAGGGACGCAGCAGATCAAGGTGTGGGACCTCGCCCTTCACCACTGTATCCAAAGCCTTCCCCTCCCTTTCCCCCTTCCCCTCCCTTTCCCCCTTCCCCTCCCTTTCCCCCTTCCCCTCCCTTTCCCCCTTCCACTTCTTCCCCCCTCCACTTCTTGAACTCCCCAGGTCACAGACCTAACCTTCCTGGAAGGTTCCATGGTACAACACCAGTCACTTCTAGTCAGCTGTAGCAGGGACGCCCAAATTAAAGTCTGGGACCTCGCCCTTCACCACTGCATCCAAACCATCGCCGAGCCTCGCGGCGAGCTTTGGACGCTCGCCGTCCACCTGAGCCTGCCGAGGCTCGTCGCCGCCGGCACTGAACCTGAGGTCCTGGTTTTCCAAATCAGGGCGGAGAGGGGGGTGTTGGGGGAGGGGGAGGGGGGAACGCCTGGGGAAAGCGCGGAGGGGGAGGGGGAGGGGGACGGGGAAGGGGGAAGGGCTGCTGCGGGGGTGGAAGGAGGAGGAGCAGGAAGGGGAAGCAAGGGAGGAGGAGGTGGGGGGGTGGCAGGGCGGTGGGACGTGCTTATACCGCACGGCAGTATAAGGAGGGTGGTGGGCGTGGGGCAGGGCGCAGAGCGGGCTTTAAGTGTGCGTTTCGACGGACCAGGGAAGGTTCTAGCCTGCCAGAGTGCTGGGAAGGCTGTTGAGTTGTTTCGAGTGAGAAGCCCTGGTGAGGCGGTTAGGCAGGCGAAGAGGAGGAGGCGGAGACAGGTGGAAAAGGGGAAGGGGAAGGGGGGTGAGGGGGAGCGAGAGGGAGAAGCGGCGGGAGAGGGAGCGGTGGAGGGGGAAGGAGGAGGGGAAGGAGCAGGGGAAGGAGCAGGGGAAAAGGAGGGTGGAGGGGAGGAGGGAGGGGAACAAAAAGGGGAGGGAGGGGCGGGGGTGACTGTGGAGGGGGCAGACGAGTTTGCTTCGATGTTCACCATTCGTTTGAAGCACAGAGTGCGGGCGATTGCGTTTGCCCCCAAGGCAGGGGGGACAGGGGGGAGGGGAGGAGGGGGAAGAGGAGGAGCAGCGGAGCCGTCACTGGCGCTGGCGCTGCACAACAACAGCGTGGAGGTGAGATGAGGGGAAGAGGAAGGTTGTTTTCCATCTTTTAGTTGGAAAAGGTTGGGGGGGGGGACGGGACGGTGTTGTTGTTGTTGTTGTTGTTGTTGTTGTTGTTGTTGTTGTTGTTGTTGTTGTGGGTTTTGAGGCGCCTCAGGAAGGAATGGAAAACAGTGAGCGGTTTTGAGGAAGCAAGCTGTGTGTGGGTTTTGAGGCGTCACTGGTGTGGCGCTGCAGAACAACAGTGACGGTGTCCCATCCTTTTAGTTGCCTGTCCATCTTCCAACCACTTCACCTCCCAACCCATGCTCCCTCCCTCGTGCCTCCCCTCCTGCCTCCCCGTCCCCCCGTCCCTCCCTTCCTGCCTCCCCTCCTCCCGCCCGCCCCCCCGTCCCGCCCTTCCTGCCTCCGTTCTGCCTCCCTTCCTGCTTCCCTCCTTCCTTGCCCCATCCTCCCATCACCACACCTGCTTTTAGATCCACACTATACACGCGGACAGCAGCACCCGGGCGGCATCGCTGCAGTCTGCCGGCCACCGATCAGACGTGCGCTCGCTGGCGCTCTCCTCGGATGGCTCGCTTCTTTTGTCCGTTTCCAAAGGCTCTGCCAAGGTGGGCGGCGGTGCGATCATATCACAGCAAAGAAACATCTCTTATCCTCTTACGTGTCAGTTCCCCTCTTACTACGACACACTCTCCTCTCTCTCTCACTCCCCGCCCCCATGCTCCTCCACTCCTCTCTCACTCCTCTCTCACTCCTCTCTCACTCCTCTCTCACTCCTCTCTCACTCCTCTCTCACTCCTCTCTCACTCCTCTCTCACTCCTCTCTCACTCCTCTCTCACTCCTCTCTCACTCCTCTCAATCTAACGCTTCTTCATGCCCTTCCTCCCCCCCCCCCCCCCGTGCCAGTCTGGAACCCTGTCAGAGGAGCCTGTCTCTCCTCCTTCGATTCTGGCTACGGCCTTTGCTGCACATGCTCACCCCTTCTCGTACCCCGTCTCTCTCTCCCTTCCTCCCCCTGCACCCCTCCCTTCAGGTCTGGAACCCTGTAACAGGAGCCTGTCTCTCCTCCTTCGAATCTGGCTATGGCCTTTGTTGCCTCTTTGCCCCTGGGGATAGATATGTGAGTGACAGAATGTGGGATGGATTTGAGGGGAGATGTGGGGAAGCGAGGGACAGAGGAAGAGGGAAGACGAGGTTGCGTAAGTGTGGTACACTGTGAGATGTTTTCTAATCCCTTTCATTCAAAAACTAGTCCCTTGCGTCACTTTTCCTTTATCCTGGCTACGGTCTTTGCTGCCCGTTCGCTCCCCGGGGATGGATATTTGAGTCGGAATGGGGCAGGAAAGCAGGAAGAGGGGTTGAAGAAGGAGAGTGAGGCATGGGTGTGGTGTGACCTCTTTCGTTGACTCTGGCTGTGCCCCCTGCTGCTGCCGCCGCTGCCTCTCCTCCTTGCACTCAGGCCATCAAAGGCACTCAATCTGTCGTCTTGGAGGATCCAAGTTCTTAGTGTAGTAGCTTTGAGACGTCTCAAAGGATCCAAGTTCATAGTGTAGTAGCAGCAAACCTGTAGAAAACGCTAAAGCAAATTAGCAGCGTCGTGGAGGTCTTGGAGGCCATCATAGGCAATCACAGGCCATCACAGGCCATCACAGGCCATCACAGGCCATCACAGGCCATCACAGGCCATCACAGGCCATCACAGGCCATGGCAGGCACTCAAGCTGGCGACCTGGAGGTGTTTTCAGTGGCAAGCGCTGAGCACACTGCTGTGATCCAAGCAGCACATGACAAGGCAGTGTGGGCCATGCTTTTCCTTCCATGACTCACCTCTCTCCTGTTCCTTCCTATGCTCTCCTGCACGCAGGCCATCGCAGGCACACAAGCAGGAGACCTGGAGGTGTTCTCAGTGGCCAGTGCTGAGCGCACTGCCCTCGTTCAAGCAGCTCACGACAAGGCAGTGTGGGCCATGGCTGCCCTGCCGGATAACACGGGGTTTGCAACCGCTTCCGCTGACGGCTGTGTGAAGGTGCGTGAGTGTGTGAAAGTATGCATGAGGGTGTGTGTGGTGTGGTGGGCATGGCAGTGTGGGCCATGGCTGCCCTGCCTGATAACACGGGGTTTGCGATTGCCTCTGCTGATGGTTGTGTCAAGGTGTGTGTGTGTGTGTGTGTGTGTGTGTGCGTGTGCGTGTGCGTGTGCGTGCGTGTGTGTGTGTGTGTGTGTGTGTGTGCGTGTGCGTGTGCGTGTGCGTGCGTGCGTGTGTGTGTGTGTGTGTGTGTGCGTGTGTGTGTGTGTTGTGTGTGTGTGTGTGTGTGTCTGTGTGTGTGTGTGTGTGTGTGTGTGTGCGTGTGTGTGCGTGTGTGTGTGTGTGTGTGTGTGTGTGTGTGTGTGTGTGTGAAGGTGACTGTAAGTGTTTCAGTTTCCAAAGTTTTCTGTTTCTGTTTTTTTTTTTTTGTCTTCCCCTTCCTCTTCCCCGCACCTCCCACTCCCCTCCTTCCCTCCCTCTACTTCCCTCTACCCCCTGTTTGATCCCTCTCATCCCAACTTTCCCTCTTTTTTTTCCTCCCCGCAGTTTTGGGAGTACCAGATGCAGCTCAAGGGATCCGAGGCAGACAAGGTGAGAGAAACAACTTGCAATATCTGATTCTTGTGTTCAAGAAAAAAAACTGGGTTGAGAAAAAAAGAAAGAAACAAAGAAAAGAAAAGAAAAAAGAAAAAAGAAAAAAACATTTTCTGAGCCTGCTATTTTGGGTCCGTTTTCTTCGGTTTCTGAACATTTCTGTGTTACTCTTAATATGATCTGTCAAAATCGAACGTCCTTCTTTCACAGGATGCACTAGCAGCAGGGAGGGGAGAGAAGCACTTGACAGTGGTGAACACGCGGACACTCAAGATGTCTGACGACGTGCTCAGTGTGGCTTTTAGCCCCGACGGCCGATACATTGCACTCTCGCTCCTCGACTCCACCATCAAGGTACATGGAGAACGAAAAACTGCTGTCCAAGATGTGCTGAAAGCACAACAAAACCCTTTTTTTTTTTATTTTCCAGCTGCAATCCCTTTTTTAGAATGCTCCTGCCCCCCCTGTTTCTCGTCTTGATGAGCGTAAGAAAAAGAACGTCTTTTCTCCCCGTTCCCTTCCGGTCTTCCCCACCCCACTCTCTGTCGCAGGTCTTTTTCGTCGACTCTCTCCGTTTCTTCCTCTCGCTGTACGGCCACAAGCTGCCAGCCATCTGCCTTGACATCTCCTCTGACTCTCAGCTCGCAGTGTCGGGCTCAGCAGACAAGAGCGTCAAAATCTGGGGACTCGACTTTGGCGACTGCCACCGGTCATTGTTTGCTCACCAGGACAGGTGCGTTTTCTTGCTTGTGGGTACTGGTTGTGGGTCAGTAAGGCGTGGTCGAAAAGGTGTGGTGGGCAGGCCTTAGTGGGGAGGGATGGGACTCTCAGCTCGCAGTATCGGGTTCAGCAGACAAGAGCGTAAAGATCTGGGGGCTCGACTTTGGGGACTGCCACCGCTCGCTGTTCGCGCACCAGGACAGGTGGATACGTGTATAAAGTGAATTTTTGAGACGTCTCAGTGATTCACTTTATACACGTACCCACCTCGACAGGTTGGTTTCTCTCAGGCGCCAGCACACGTGCTGGGACAATACACGGGTTGCGTTCTTTCCTTTCTTTTCTAGTAGCAGGACAATAGGTTCTGGGCTGGATTTTTGAGACTGCCACCCGCCCGCCCGCCCGCACTCAGTGCTTTGTCTGATGCAGCAGAGCATGGTGTTGGGATGCTGACAAGTTTGCTTTTGACTCACTCAACCCCCTTTTGAGAATTCTCAAAAGTGATTTCTCATTTGAGAATTCTCAAAAGTGATTTCTCTCTCCCTTTATTCCCTCCCCTTATCCTCCTCTCGATGCAGTGTCATGTGTGTGAAGTGCGTCCCGTCCCGCGCACACACTTCTTCTTCTCATGTGGTGGTTAGAGTGGACAAGTCTAGTTTTGAGGCGCCTCAAAACTAGTCCCACGCACACACTTCTTCTTCTCATGTGGTGGTGAGAGTGGACAAGTTGCCCTTGACTCACTCATCCACCCACCCCTCGTTCCCTCCCTCCCTACCCCTTCCCTCCCCCACCCCCTCCCTCCATGTAGGGTGCGGTGCTGAGACGCTGACAAGCTGGCTTTGACTCACCCTATCCCCCCTGTGCCTCTCTCTCCTCCCATTCCCACCTCTTCTGTCCCTCCCATTCCCAGTGTGATGTGTGTGAAGTTCGTCCCGCGCACACACTACTTCTTCTCATGCGGAAAGGACAGAAGAGTGAGGTACTGGGATGCGGATAAGTTCCAACTCCTGCTCTCACTGGAGGGACACCACGCGGAGGTGAGCGATGCTGTAGCTGTGGTGTGGACAGAAGGCCTAGTGTCTGTGAAAGACAGAAGGGTGCGCTACTACTGGGATGCGGATAAGTTTCAGCTGCTGCTTGCTTACGCTGGAGGGCCACCACGCTGAGGTGAGCTTGAATCGACTGCATGCACGTGGAAATTGTCTGCACTGCATGTGCTGCACTTGTCAGCACTGACGACGTGCAGCGGTGCGGTAATGGATGGGTGAGAGATGCAGTGCAGACAATTTCCAGCTGCTGCGCTGCTCACATCACACTAGTTTTGAGACGTCTCAAAAGTTATGTTTGGAGACGTCAAGACAAGTTCCAGCTGCTGCTCACACTGGAAAGGCACCATGCTGTAGTGAGATCTGATACATTGCTTAAACCTACTCCTACGCGAGTGCTGCTCACTGGAAGATGTCACAAGAACTGGAAAGGCACCATGCTGTAGTGAGATCTGATACATTGCTTAAACCTACTCCTACGCGAGTGCTGCTCACTGGAAGATGTCACAAGAACTGGAAAGGCACCATGCTGTAGTGAGATCTGATACATTGCTTAAACCTACTCCTACGCGAGTGCTGCTCACTGGAAGATGTCACAAGAACTGGAAAGGCACCATGCTGTAGTGAGATCTGATACATTGCTTAAACCTACTCCTACGCGAGTGCTGCTCACTGGAAGATGTCACAAGAACTGGAAAGGCACCATGCTGTAGTGAGATCTGATACATTGCTTAAACCTACTCCTACGCGAGTGCTGCTCACTGGAAGATGTCACAAGAACTGGAAAGGCACCATGCTGTAGTGAGATCTGATACATTGCTTAAACCTACTCCTACGCGAGTGCTGCTCACTGGAAGATGTCACAAGAACTGGAAAGGCACCATGCTGTAGTGAGATCTGATACATTGCTTAAACCTACTCCTACGCGAGTGCTGCTCACTGGAAGATGTCACAAGAACTGGAAAGGCACCATGCTGTAGTGAGATCTGATACATTGCTTAAACCTACTCCTACGCGAGTGCTGCTCACTGGAAGATGTCACAAGAACTGGAAAGGCACCATGCTGTAGTGAGATCTGATACATTGCTTAAACCTACTCCTACGCGAGTGCTGCTCACTGGAAGATGTCACAAGAACTGGAAAGGCACCATGCTGTAGTGAGATCTGATACATTGCTTAAACCTACTCCTACGCGAGTGCTGCTCACTGGAAGATGTCACAAGAACTGGAAAGGCACCATGCTGTAGTGAGATCTGATACATTGCTTAAACCTACTCCTACGCGAGTGCTGCTCACTGGAAGATGTCACAAGAACTGGAAAGGCACCATGCTGTAGTGAGATCTGATACATTGCTTAAACCTACTCCTACGCGAGTGCTGCTCACTGGAAGATGTCACAAGAACTGGAAAGGCACCATGCTGTAGTGAGATCTGATACATTGCTTAAACCTACTCCTACGCGAGTGCTGCTCACTGGAAGATGTCACAAGAACTGGAAAGGCACCATGCTGTAGTGAGATCTGATACATTGCTTAAACCTACTCCTACGCGAGTGCTGCTCACTGGAAGATGTCACAAGAACTGGAAAGGCACCATGCTGTAGTGAGATCTGATACATTGCTTAAACCTACTCCTACGCGAGTGCTGCTCACTGGAAGATGTCACAAGAACTGGAAAGGCACCATGCTGTAGTGAGATCTGATACATTGCTTAAACCTACTCCTACGCGAGTGCTGCTCACTGGAAGATGTCACAAGAACTGGAAAGGCACCATGCTGTAGTGAGATCTGATACATTGCTTAAACCTACTCCTACGCGAGTGCTGCTCACTGGAAGATGTCACAAGAACTGGAAAGGCACCATGCTGTAGTGAGATCTGATACATTGCTTAAACCTACTCCTACGCGAGTGCTGCTCACTGGAAGATGTCACAAGAACTGGAAAGGCACCATGCTGTAGTGAGATCTGATACATTGCTTAAACCTACTCCTACGCGAGTGCTGCTCACTGGAAGATGTCACAAGAACTGGAAAGGCACCATGCTGTAGTGAGATCTGATACATTGCTTAAACCTACTCCTACGCGAGTGCTGCTCACTGGAAGATGTCACAAGAACTGGAAAGGCACCATGCTGTAGTGAGATCTGATACATTGCTTAAACCTACTCCTACGCGAGTGCTGCTCACTGGAAGATGTCACAAGAACTGGAAAGGCACCATGCTGTAGTGAGATCTGATACATTGCTTAAACCTACTCCTACGCGAGTGCTGCTCACTGGAAGATGTCACAAGAACTGGAAAGGCACCATGCTGTAGTGAGATCTGATACATTGCTTAAACCTACTCCTACGCGAGTGCTGCTCACTGGAAGATGTCACAAGAACTGGAAAGGCACCATGCTGTAGTGAGATCTGATACATTGCTTAAACCTACTCCTACGCGAGTGCTGCTCACTGGAAGATGTCACAAGAACTGGAAAGGCACCATGCTGTAGTGAGATCTGATACATTGCTTAAACCTACTCCTACGCGAGTGCTGCTCACTGGAAGATGTCACAAGAACTGGAAAGGCACCATGCTGTAGTGAGATCTGATACATTGCTTAAACCTACTCCTACGCGAGTGCTGCTCACTGGAAGATGTCACAAGAACTGGAAAGGCACCATGCTGTAGTGAGATCTGATACATTGCTTAAACCTACTCCTACGCGAGTGCTGCTCACTGGAAGATGTCACAAGAACTGGAAAGGCACCATGCTGTAGTGAGATCTGATACATTGCTTAAACCTACTCCTACGCGAGTGCTGCTCACTGGAAGATGTCACAAGAACTGGAAAGGCACCATGCTGTAGTGAGATCTGATACATTGCTTAAACCTACTCCTACGCGAGTGCTGCTCACTGGAAGATGTCACAAGAACTGGAAAGGCACCATGCTGTAGTGAGATCTGATACATTGCTTAAACCTACTCCTACGCGAGTGCTGCTCACTGGAAGATGTCACAAGAACTGGAAAGGCACCATGCTGTAGTGAGATCTGATACATTGCTTAAACCTACTCCTACGCGAGTGCTGCTCACTGGAAGATGTCACAAGAACTGGAAAGGCACCATGCTGTAGTGAGATCTGATACATTGCTTAAACCTACTCCTACGCGAGTGCTGCTCACTGGAAGATGTCACAAGAACTGGAAAGGCACCATGCTGTAGTGAGATCTGATACATTGCTTAAACCTACTCCTACGCGAGTGCTGCTCACTGGAAGATGTCACAAGAACTGGAAAGGCACCATGCTGTAGTGAGATCTGATACATTGCTTAAACCTACTCCTACGCGAGTGCTGCTCACTGGAAGATGTCACAAGAACTGGAAAGGCACCATGCTGTAGTGAGATCTGATACATTGCTTAAACCTACTCCTACGCGAGTGCTGCTCACTGGAAGATGTCACAAGAACTGGAAAGGCACCATGCTGTAGTGAGATCTGATACATTGCTTAAACCTACTCCTACGCGAGTGCTGCTCACTGGAAGATGTCACAAGAACTGGAAAGGCACCATGCTGTAGTGAGATCTGATACATTGCTTAAACCTACTCCTACGCGAGTGCTGCTCACTGGAAGATGTCACAAGAACTGGAAAGGCACCATGCTGTAGTGAGATCTGATACATTGCTTAAACCTACTCCTACGCGAGTGCTGCTCACTGGAAGATGTCACAAGAACTGGAAAGGCACCATGCTGTAGTGAGATCTGATACATTGCTTAAACCTACTCCTACGCGAGTGCTGCTCACTGGAAGATGTCACAAGAACTGGAAAGGCACCATGCTGTAGTGAGATCTGATACATTGCTTAAACCTACTCCTACGCGAGTGCTGCTCACTGGAAGATGTCACAAGAACTGGAAAGGCACCATGCTGTAGTGAGATCTGATACATTGCTTAAACCTACTCCTACGCGAGTGCTGCTCACTGGAAGATGTCACAAGAACTGGAAAGGCACCATGCTGTAGTGAGATCTGATACATTGCTTAAACCTACTCCTACGCGAGTGCTGCTCACTGGAAGATGTCACAAGAACTGGAAAGGCACCATGCTGTAGTGAGATCTGATACATTGCTTAAACCTACTCCTACGCGAGTGCTGCTCACTGGAAGATGTCACAAGAACTGGAAAGGCACCATGCTGTAGTGAGATCTGATACATTGCTTAAACCTACTCCTACGCGAGTGCTGCTCACTGGAAGATGTCACAAGAACTGGAAAGGCACCATGCTGTAGTGAGATCTGATACATTGCTTAAACCTACTCCTACGCGAGTGCTGCTCACTGGAAGATGTCACAAGAACTGGAAAGGCACCATGCTGTAGTGAGATCTGATACATTGCTTAAACCTACTCCTACGCGAGTGCTGCTCACTGGAAGATGTCACAAGAACTGGAAAGGCACCATGCTGTAGTGAGATCTGATACATTGCTTAAACCTACTCCTACGCGAGTGCTGCTCACTGGAAGATGTCACAAGAACTGGAAAGGCACCATGCTGTAGTGAGATCTGATACATTGCTTAAACCTACTCCTACGCGAGTGCTGCTCACTGGAAGATGTCACAAGAACTGGAAAGGCACCATGCTGTAGTGAGATCTGATACATTGCTTAAACCTACTCCTACGCGAGTGCTGCTCACTGGAAGATGTCACAAGAACTGGAAAGGCACCATGCTGTAGTGAGATCTGATACATTGCTTAAACCTACTCCTACGCGAGTGCTGCTCACTGGAAGATGTCACAAGAACTGGAAAGGCACCATGCTGTAGTGAGATCTGATACATTGCTTAAACCTACTCCTACGCGAGTGCTGCTCACTGGAAGATGTCACAAGAACTGGAAAGGCACCATGCTGTAGTGAGATCTGATACATTGCTTAAACCTACTCCTACGCGAGTGCTGCTCACTGGAAGATGTCACAAGAACTGGAAAGGCACCATGCTGTAGTGAGATCTGATACATTGCTTAAACCTACTCCTACGCGAGTGCTGCTCACTGGAAGATGTCACAAGAACTGGAAAGGCACCATGCTGTAGTGAGATCTGATACATTGCTTAAACCTACTCCTACGCGAGTGCTGCTCACTGGAAGATGTCACAAGAACTGGAAAGGCACCATGCTGTAGTGAGATCTGATACATTGCTTAAACCTACTCCTACGCGAGTGCTGCTCACTGGAAGATGTCACAAGAACTGGAAAGGCACCATGCTGTAGTGAGATCTGATACATTGCTTAAACCTACTCCTACGCGAGTGCTGCTCACTGGAAGATGTCACAAGAACTGGAAAGGCACCATGCTGTAGTGAGATCTGATACATTGCTTAAACCTACTCCTACGCGAGTGCTGCTCACTGGAAGATGTCACAAGAACTGGAAAGGCACCATGCTGTAGTGAGATCTGATACATTGCTTAAACCTACTCCTACGCGAGTGCTGCTCACTGGAAGATGTCACAAGAACTGGAAAGGCACCATGCTGTAGTGAGATCTGATACATTGCTTAAACCTACTCCTACGCGAGTGCTGCTCACTGGAAGATGTCACAAGAACTGGAAAGGCACCATGCTGTAGTGAGATCTGATACATTGCTTAAACCTACTCCTACGCGAGTGCTGCTCACTGGAAGATGTCACAAGAACTGGAAAGGCACCATGCTGTAGTGAGATCTGATACATTGCTTAAACCTACTCCTACGCGAGTGCTGCTCACTGGAAGATGTCACAAGAACTGGAAAGGCACCATGCTGTAGTGAGATCTGATACATTGCTTAAACCTACTCCTACGCGAGTGCTGCTCACTGGAAGATGTCACAAGAACTGGAAAGGCACCATGCTGTAGTGAGATCTGATACATTGCTTAAACCTACTCCTACGCGAGTGCTGCTCACTGGAAGATGTCACAAGAACTGGAAAGGCACCATGCTGTAGTGAGATCTGATACATTGCTTAAACCTACTCCTACGCGAGTGCTGCTCACTGGAAGATGTCACAAGAACTGGAAAGGCACCATGCTGTAGTGAGATCTGATACATTGCTTAAACCTACTCCTACGCGAGTGCTGCTCACTGGAAGATGTCACAAGAACTGGAAAGGCACCATGCTGTAGTGAGATCTGATACATTGCTTAAACCTACTCCTACGCGAGTGCTGCTCACTGGAAGATGTCACAAGAACTGGAAAGGCACCATGCTGTAGTGAGATCTGATACATTGCTTAAACCTACTCCTACGCGAGTGCTGCTCACTGGAAGATGTCACAAGAACTGGAAAGGCACCATGCTGTAGTGAGATCTGATACATTGCTTAAACCTACTCCTACGCGAGTGCTGCTCACTGGAAGATGTCACAAGAACTGGAAAGGCACCATGCTGTAGTGAGATCTGATACATTGCTTAAACCTACTCCTACGCGAGTGCTGCTCACTGGAAGATGTCACAAGAACTGGAAAGGCACCATGCTGTAGTGAGATCTGATACATTGCTTAAACCTACTCCTACGCGAGTGCTGCTCACTGGAAGATGTCACAAGAACTGGAAAGGCACCATGCTGTAGTGAGATCTGATACATTGCTTAAACCTACTCCTACGCGAGTGCTGCTCACTGGAAGATGTCACAAGAACTGGAAAGGCACCATGCTGTAGTGAGATCTGATACATTGCTTAAACCTACTCCTACGCGAGTGCTGCTCACTGGAAGATGTCACAAGAACTGGAAAGGCACCATGCTGTAGTGAGATCTGATACATTGCTTAAACCTACTCCTACGCGAGTGCTGCTCACTGGAAGATGTCACAAGAACTGGAAAGGCACCATGCTGTAGTGAGATCTGATACATTGCTTAAACCTACTCCTACGCGAGTGCTGCTCACTGGAAGATGTCACAAGAACTGGAAAGGCACCATGCTGTAGTGAGATCTGATACATTGCTTAAACCTACTCCTACGCGAGTGCTGCTCACTGGAAGATGTCACAAGAACTGGAAAGGCACCATGCTGTAGTGAGATCTGATACATTGCTTAAACCTACTCCTACGCGAGTGCTGCTCACTGGAAGATGTCACAAGAACTGGAAAGGCACCATGCTGTAGTGAGATCTGATACATTGCTTAAACCTACTCCTACGCGAGTGCTGCTCACTGGAAGATGTCACAAGAACTGGAAAGGCACCATGCTGTAGTGAGATCTGATACATTGCTTAAACCTACTCCTACGCGAGTGCTGCTCACTGGAAGATGTCACAAGAACTGGAAAGGCACCATGCTGTAGTGAGATCTGATACATTGCTTAAACCTACTCCTACGCGAGTGCTGCTCACTGGAAGATGTCACAAGAACTGGAAAGGCACCATGCTGTAGTGAGATCTGATACATTGCTTAAACCTACTCCTACGCGAGTGCTGCTCACTGGAAGATGTCACAAGAACTGGAAAGGCACCATGCTGTAGTGAGATCTGATACATTGCTTAAACCTACTCCTACGCGAGTGCTGCTCACTGGAAGATGTCACAAGAACTGGAAAGGCACCATGCTGTAGTGAGATCTGATACATTGCTTAAACCTACTCCTACGCGAGTGCTGCTCACTGGAAGATGTCACAAGAACTGGAAAGGCACCATGCTGTAGTGAGATCTGATACATTGCTTAAACCTACTCCTACGCGAGTGCTGCTCACTGGAAGATGTCACAAGAACTGGAAAGGCACCATGCTGTAGTGAGATCTGATACATTGCTTAAACCTACTCCTACGCGAGTGCTGCTCACTGGAAGATGTCACAAGAACTGGAAAGGCACCATGCTGTAGTGAGATCTGATACATTGCTTAAACCTACTCCTACGCGAGTGCTGCTCACTGGAAGATGTCACAAGAACTGGAAAGGCACCATGCTGTAGTGAGATCTGATACATTGCTTAAACCTACTCCTACGCGAGTGCTGCTCACTGGAAGATGTCACAAGAACTGGAAAGGCACCATGCTGTAGTGAGATCTGATACATTGCTTAAACCTACTCCTACGCGAGTGCTGCTCACTGGAAGATGTCACAAGAACTGGAAAGGCACCATGCTGTAGTGAGATCTGATACATTGCTTAAACCTACTCCTACGCGAGTGCTGCTCACTGGAAGATGTCACAAGAACTGGAAAGGCACCATGCTGTAGTGAGATCTGATACATTGCTTAAACCTACTCCTACGCGAGTGCTGCTCACTGGAAGATGTCACAAGAACTGGAAAGGCACCATGCTGTAGTGAGATCTGATACATTGCTTAAACCTACTCCTACGCGAGTGCTGCTCACTGGAAGATGTCACAAGAACTGGAAAGGCACCATGCTGTAGTGAGATCTGATACATTGCTTAAACCTACTCCTACGCGAGTGCTGCTCACTGGAAGATGTCACAAGAACTGGAAAGGCACCATGCTGTAGTGAGATCTGATACATTGCTTAAACCTACTCCTACGCGAGTGCTGCTCACTGGAAGATGTCACAAGAACTGGAAAGGCACCATGCTGTAGTGAGATCTGATACATTGCTTAAACCTACTCCTACGCGAGTGCTGCTCACTGGAAGATGTCACAAGAACTGGAAAGGCACCATGCTGTAGTGAGATCTGATACATTGCTTAAACCTACTCCTACGCGAGTGCTGCTCACTGGAAGATGTCACAAGAACTGGAAAGGCACCATGCTGTAGTGAGATCTGATACATTGCTTAAACCTACTCCTACGCGAGTGCTGCTCACTGGAAGATGTCACAAGAACTGGAAAGGCACCATGCTGTAGTGAGATCTGATACATTGCTTAAACCTACTCCTACGCGAGTGCTGCTCACTGGAAGATGTCACAAGAACTGGAAAGGCACCATGCTGTAGTGAGATCTGATACATTGCTTAAACCTACTCCTACGCGAGTGCTGCTCACTGGAAGATGTCACAAGAACTGGAAAGGCACCATGCTGTAGTGAGATCTGATACATTGCTTAAACCTACTCCTACGCGAGTGCTGCTCACTGGAAGATGTCACAAGAACTGGAAAGGCACCATGCTGTAGTGAGATCTGATACATTGCTTAAACCTACTCCTACGCGAGTGCTGCTCACTGGAAGATGTCACAAGAACTGGAAAGGCACCATGCTGTAGTGAGATCTGATACATTGCTTAAACCTACTCCTACGCGAGTGCTGCTCACTGGAAGATGTCACAAGAACTGGAAAGGCACCATGCTGTAGTGAGATCTGATACATTGCTTAAACCTACTCCTACGCGAGTGCTGCTCACTGGAAGATGTCACAAGAACTGGAAAGGCACCATGCTGTAGTGAGATCTGATACATTGCTTAAACCTACTCCTACGCGAGTGCTGCTCACTGGAAGATGTCACAAGAACTGGAAAGGCACCATGCTGTAGTGAGATCTGATACACTCTGCTCGCCCTGCTGCCTCCCCAACGCTTTCCCACTCCTCCTTCCCTTTCCCACCTACTCCCCTCCTACCCTCCCCTGCACTTCCCTCCGCCCCTCCTCCCGCCACTGGCAGCACATGATCTACCACGTGTAATGAGGTTATTTTTGAGACGTCTCAAAAATAACCTCATTACACGTGAGATCTACTGCACCACCTTTCAACCCAAACCGCTTTGCCCCTCCCCTGGACTTCCCTCCGCCCCTCCTCCCCACACAGGTGTGGTTGCTAGCCATCAGTCCGCTGGGCGACTTCCTCGTGTCTGGCTCTCACCATCGCTCCAGTTTTGAGGCGCCTCAAAACTAGACTTCTCTCACGATCGCTCCATCCGCCACTGGAAAAACATGAGCACTTTCCAACTCACCACGTTTCACTCCAAACCGCTTTGCCCCTCCCCTCCTGCCACACAGGTGTGGTCGCTGGCAATCAGCCCCCTCGGTGACTTCCTTGTGTCCGGCTCCCACGACCGCTCCATCCGCCGCTGGCAACGCACCGACGAGCCCTTCTTCCTCGAGGTTAGCCTTGCGGAACAAAGAAAATGGTTTTTTTTTTTGGGGGGGGGGGGGGGGGGACGCATTGTTGTTCCTATTACTGATATGATCATTGTTGATTTGTTTCTCTTTTCACCGGTCCATCTCCAAACGTCCCTTCTCTTCACCAGGAAGGGCAGGAGAAGCAGCTTGAAGCCATGTTCGAAGCACCTTCCTTCCCTTTTCCTCTCCAACTTCCCCTTCCCCGCACATCCCCCCACCCCCTCTCCCCCACCTCCCCTTCCTCAGGAGGAGCGGGAGAAGCAGCTGGAAGCCATGTTTGAAGCCCGAGCCGTGGCACTACCAACCGATGCACGCCGCCCTGAAGGGGACGACGAGGAGGGCGGGGAAGGGGCAGAGGCGGCGGGGCCGGGCGGCGCTGCTGGGGAGCTGGGCGGTGTGGGGGGGGCTGCGAGGGGCACGCAGGAGACGGTTTGGGCGGCAGACTCAATCATTGAGGCGGTGGAGTTGGCTTCCATGGAAGAAGCTCGGATGGTTCCCTTCATCAAGGTGAGTCTCAGAATTTTATACGTCACCTTTCAGTATAGTAGCCCTACCTGTATTGAGGCGGTGGAGCTGGCATTTATGGAAGAAGCTCGGATGGTCTCCTCATCAAGGTGGGCTTCGTGGAACTCTGCTGTACAACAAAATTCTGATGATGAAAGGGTGGAAGCCGACTTGGTGACAGACAGCCATATTGCTGCTGCCTTTGAGGTGCCTCAAAATCTGCCCTCCTTCCAGCCCCACGTGCTCCGCCTCGGTCACTCCCCCGCTGCCTTCTGCCTCGGTCACTCCCCCGCTGCCTTCCGCCTCGGTCACTCCCCCGCTGCCTTCCGCCTCGGTCACTCCCCCGCTGCCTTCCGCCTCGGTCACTCCCCCGCTGCCTTCCGCCTCGGTCACTCCCCCGCTGCCTTCCGCCTCGGTCACTCCCCCGCTGCCTTCCGCCTCGGTCACTCCCCCGCTGCCTTCCGCCTCGGTCACTCCCCCGCTGCCTTTGTGCTCCACACCACACTGCTCAGTCACTACATCCCTCCCGGCATATGCTCTCTCCCCATTTCCTCCCTTCACCACCGCAGGACCCCATCGACCCGACCTCGCTCCTCCCATCCTTCCAGCCCAACGTGCTTCTCCTCGGCCACGCGCCCGCGGCCTTTGTGCTGCGTGCGCTCGCCAGCGTCAAGCCCTCGGAGCTCGAGCAAGCGCTGCTGGTGCTGCCCTTCACCGTGGCTCTGTCGATTCTCCACTGCCTTTGAGCACCCTGTCTCACTGCTCTTCTCTCTCTCTGTTCTCTCTCCGTCGTCCCCTTATGTCTCCACCGCAGGACCCAAGCGACCCCACCTCGCTGCTGCCATCCTTCCAGCCAAACGTGTTGCTCCTCGGCCACGCGCCCGCTGCCTTTGTGCTGCGTGCGCTCGCCAGCATCAAGCCTTCGGAGCTCGAGCAAGCGCTGCTGGTCCTGCCCTTCACCGTAGCTCTGTCGATTCTCCACTGCCTTTGAGCACCCTGTCTCACTGCTCTTCTCTCTCTCTCTCTGTGCTCTCTCCGTCGTCCCCTTATGTCTCCACCGCAGGACCCAGGCGACCCCACCTCGCTGCTGCCATCCTTCCAGCCAAACGTGTTGCTCCTCGGCCACGCGCCCGCTGCCTTTGTGCTGCGTGCGCTCGCCAGCATCAAGCCTTCGGAGCTCGAGCAAGCGCTGCTGGTACTGCCCTTCACCGTGGCTCTGCGGATTCTGCACTTCGCCCCCCACTGGCTGCACCGCCCACTTCCGCAGCTGGAGTTTGCCGCCCGGGCGCTCGTCTCTCTCGTGCGCATCCACCACTCGCAACTCGTTGCTACCCCCACCGCCCGCCCCCTGCTAGCTGCTGTGCACACACTTTTACGGGCTTCACTCAAGGTATGCTACACTTCACCCACCTGCTGGGGAAGGATGGAGTTTGCCGCCCGGGCGCTAATCTCCCTCGTCCGCATCCACCACTCCCAGCTCGTCGCCACGCCCACCGCCCGCCCACTGTTGGCTGCCGTGCTGGGCCTGCCCACGCACACACTGCTCAGAGCATCGCTCAAGGTGACTTTTGAGTCGACTCAAAAGTCACCACGCACACACTGCTCAGAGCATCGCTCAAGGTATGGCATTGGAGAGGGTGGGGAGGTGGGAGTTTGCTGCCCGGGTAAGCACTGGTCTCCCTCGTCCGCATCCTCCACTCACAACTCGTCGCCACGCCCACTGCCCGCCCGCTATTGGCTGCTGTGCACACACTGCTGAGAGCATTGCTCAAGGTGTGAGGGGTGGTGGTGCGCGATGGAAGGGGGTGTGCGCTGCACATACTCATGTGGTTGTGGATATGTTTATGTTTGCATATTTCTGTATTTGCACGTCTGCATATCTGCTTGCGGAAATGTTCTTGGTGATCACAATTGTTTCCCTAACTTGTGTACATGCTGATGTGCTATGGAATGGCTTGGCATGGGATGGTGCGTGTAATTTGTACAATGGCATGCCATGGCACGGTGTGGCATGGCATGTATGTTGTGAACTGGCATGGCAGAACGCAGTAGCAACCGTGGGATGCAACTTGGCTGCTATAAGCCACATCAAGGTCAGTTGCTCCCCTCTACTTTCTTTGGAGCCATACTTCAGAATTCTTTGAAGTCGCAGCTGTGGGATGCATCCACCTTCGGCGAATGCACCTTGGCTATAAGCCACTGCAAGGTCAGTTGCGGCTCTCTTCTTTCCTTTAACTTCCCCTTGAAGTTTCGCTAATGTCTCCCTCGTGTTTTTATGCGTTTGTGATAGGAAAATAATGTGCGGGAAAAGCCAAACATATTCCCCCAATCCCCTCCACCTGGTCGTTTTTGAGTCGACTAGAAAACCGAGTCGACTAAATAAAAGCCAAGCAGCTGGCTCACCCACATATTCTCCCAAATCCCTCCCCCTGTTCCCTGCTGCAGTCCCTTCTGGCATCGTCCCAGGCGTCCATAGAGGGGGGAGATGGCACGGGCATGGCAGAGAAGGTGAAAGAAATCAGAGAACGGCTGGCCAAGGGACGCAATGCAGTGGTTGCAGAGAAGCTGCAGCGGAGCAAAGCAGAGAAGCGCAAGCGCAAGGCGGAGAAGCAAAAGGTGAAGAGCTGAGACCAGATAGGTACTAGGTAAGTGCAGACGTGGCCACGGGGCGCAGCATGGTGAGTGCAGACAAGCTGCAGCGGAGCACGGCGGAGAACACACAAGGGGTTGAAGGTGCTCAAGGAAGGAAGCTACCATGCCTACTGTACTGTATTTGAATATTTTTTTTCCTCTCTTTTTGAGATAAACATCAGTGTATAATGTAACATGGAATATGCCTCTGTTGAGAGTCAATTTACCAAATCTTACCCAGAAGCCCATGAACATCTTGTACGGTGTTGAGACAGGTGGAAGGGGCGAGGCTCAGCCTACTGCTCACCCTTGATCCGTACAGTATGTGGCTTACACTGTATTACAACATGTGGTATCTACAAAACAATAAGGCCTCGCACAGCAAACAGAAGCATGACACAACAGGCAGCAGCAGCCTGTGGAAACAGCATTTTGCTGTTTATGCAGCAGCAACCATAGCTCATGAATCTCGCTGCATTTATGTCACAAAAAAAAGAGGCATCAAGAAAATGCGCGCTATATACAGCGGGCGGCAAAACGGGTCGGCGACTTGGGAGTTTCAGATCGAAATCCTTGACCTCTAGAAGGCGAGAAGGCTAGCAGCAAACTAACTGGCGCAGTGCATGAGCTGACTCACACGCCCAACTGTCCCAACAGACCATTGCACAGCAGCAGCTCATCTAGGGAACACCCTCCCCCACGCAGCAGCACAGCACCTGCTCCCTGCCGCTCCCCTTGTCGTTGACCCCATACCCTCTTACGGCAGGCGAGCAGCCAGCTGGCGAGCCCAATGCATGAGCTCCCACACGTCCAGCTGTCCCGACAGGCTGTTGCAGAGCACAGCAGCAGCACCTCGTCCAGCTCCTCGCAGCACAGCACCTGCTCCCTGCGGCTCACATTGCTGCTGACCCCATACCCTCTTAAGGCAGGCGAGCAGCCAATTGCCTGGCGCAGTGCATGAGCTCCCACACGTCCAGCTGCCCCGACAAAGAGTTGCACAAAAGAAGCACCCCGTCCAGCCCCTGGCAGCACAGCACCTGCTCCCTGCGGCTCACCAGAATAGCCGCCACCACAAAGAGCAGGAAGTCTGGGCGCGGGCGGCACTCCTGCCACGCCTTCTTCCTCCTACTGCCACTCACCCTGCTCGCATCCCTGCTCATGTCTCTACTTGTATCTCTGCTTGTAACATTTCCTGCAGACTTGTTACGAGCACTGATGCTGCTGCTGCTGCTGCTGCTTGTGGCACTGGCAGCAGCAGCAGTGGTGGTGGTGGTGACGTCAGAGCGAACAGAGCTCTTATCACCAGCCGCCCAGCCAAAAGCGCCGCCCCATCCGTTGTCCAGCAGAGGGGCACTCTCGTCGTCCCTCTCCCAGCCCTCCCTTTCCCCCTCCTCTCCCTCCGCTCCCTTGCGCTCGCCCTCCCCACGTCCCTTGTCCTCTGCCTCCTCTGCTTCTACCTTCTCCCACTCGCAATCCTCCCCTGCCTCTGCCTCATTGCGAGTACCCCCTGACGAGTCTCCACCATTTGCCTGCGAGGCCCCACCTTTAGCTGCTTCGTTTCCACCGCCTTCAGTGCCAGCTTCAGCCACAGTACCCACCGCAGCCGCATCGGCTCCAGCAGCAGCAGAAGCAGCAGCTGCAGCAACAGTGGGCGCAGTCGCAGCAGCGGTAACAGGAGCGACGGCAGCAGCAGCGGCACGGGCAACGTTCACAGCAGCAGCAGCGGCAGCGGCATCAGCCCACATGACTTCCCACAGACACATTGTGTGTTCAAACGACAACTCTCGCCTCATCAGCACCACAACACATCTATACGCGAACATGCAGCTCTCTGCCCCTACTGCCTCTAGGTGTGCGTACAACGGCGGGTCTGCTGTGCGTAATAGTGCTGCCACCCGCGCCAGCTGGCGCCGGATGCCCCGCTCGTCCGTTCTGAAGTTGTGCCGAGCGCCGCCGCCCGCACTGCAGGTGGTAGAGATGGTGGTGGGATTGTTGCTTCCGCTGCCATCGCCGGCCGTGCTGCTACCGCTGCGCCGGTGACTACTGCTGCTGTTGTTACTGCTGCTGCTGTTACTGCTGCTGCTGCCATTGCTGCTGTCAGCAACGCCAGAGCAGTCGCTGCTGCCCACACCCCCTCGCTGCATGAACGCCACGAAGCACCAAAACGCCTCCGAATCCTCCTCCAAAAGAGCTACAAACGGGGATAGCAGATCGCTCATGCCCTGACAATACCCCACCTCGGGATCATACACCGCATATGCCTCCAAAATCGCCACCAGCCGGGCGGCATGCAGCCGTTGGGGCGGAGACAGGTGTCCGTGTTCCGGCAGGCCAGCGGCTGCTGCCGCCTCCATTGCTTCTTCCGGGGGGAAAGCCTTTTGGGTGGAGTATGGAATCCACGCGGCGTTCATTCGCACCGCATCCAACCGCATTATTCGCTGCCAGGTTACAAAATTCTCCAGAGACCCGCTGCCTCGCCCGCAGGTGCTGCCTCTGCCGATTCCTGCCTCTCCTCCTGCTGCTCCTCCTCTGCTACTGCTGGTGCGCGGGCGAAAGCACTCCGGGATCTTGCAGTCTAGCGGGTGCTCTTGGCGTTGATCACGTGAGGCATCATCACCATCATCATCAGCATCATTATCATCATGCTTGTCATCTTCCTTTTCATCATCGGCCGTGTTGCCACCATCTCCTCCACAGCTACCTCCAGAGGCTTCTCTGCCCTCTGAACTAACCGCCTCCTCCCCTTCGCCTGCTCCCGTACTCGCGACTGTTTCTGCTTCTGCTTCTTCGCCTGAAGAGACGACATCAGCAGCATCAGGGGCAGAACCAGCAGCAGCGTCAGCAGCAGCGGCATGAGCAGCCTCCTCTCGAGCTACATCCACGAAAGACTCGGTGGACACGGACAGGCTGGCGCACGCGGAGTCAACGCACACCGCATCACTGAACTCGTCGTCGCTCGCGTTACCAACACCACTGTTTTCGCCACCATTGCTACCATTACCGTCGCCATTTCCACTCTCACTTCCATCACCAGCGCCGCCATTATCCCCTCTGTCGCTGGACCTGACCTCCCCCTGACTGCTGCCGCCTTCGTTGCTCCTTCCTCTCTCCGACTCCTCCCCCTCCCTTTCCCCTCTCTCCTCCCTCTCCCTTTCCTCCCTTTCCCTCTCCTCTCTTTCCTTCCTCTCCCTCTCTTCCCTCTCCCGCTCCTCCCTTTCCTCCCGCTCCTCCTCCTCCTTCATCCTCCTCGTCGCCTCTTCTTCCGCCTGCCGCGCAATCACCGCCACGCGCGCCGCAATCGCGCGGATCTCCTCGTACAGCACGCGCCTTTGCGCGCGCAGCTGCGCTCTCTCCGCCTCCGTGCTCTCCGCCTCGTACCTGGAGCAAATAACAAATAGGTTTAGTTATGAAAACTCTCAAAAGTGGCACAAGAATCGCCTCGTACCTGGAGCACATAGCGAAACGGTTTAGCGACAGCTCTAACGAATCAGCGCTGGGACAGGAGCCTTGCGGAAATGAAAACACGAGGGGGTGAATCTACTACTGAATCCCTCACATCCTGCGCGACTATGTACACGTAATGAGAAGAGGAGGGGGGGAGCTAGGAGGCTGGCAGGAGGGAGAAGTGGTAAGAGAACGAGAGAGGGCGAGAGAGAACGAGAGAGAACGAGAGAGAACGAGAGAGGGCGAGAGAGAACGAGAGAGGGCGAGAGAGGGGAGGATGGAGGAGGATGGGGAGAGAAATGCTTGCGGATGAGCTTACAGGCCAAGGAGGAACGGCCAGACCTCGGCTCTGATCTCTGCGTCGCATCCCTGCGTTCACGGCGCCAGGCACACAAAGTGATATGGGGGGGAAGAGAGAGGGGAGGGTAAGAGGAAGGGTAGTGCAACAACAACACCCAGAAAGACGATACGGAGACCCGTTAAATCTGAACGAGAAGAGCGCAAGAGCGCGAAGCGAGGTCGCTTACCCCAAGCCGGACACGGCCGATAGCCGTCTCGCCGCCGCCCTTCAAGCGACCGGTGGCGTCGTCAAAGCAGTCCCTCCACTGCTGCACTGTCAGCGGCGCTGGCCTGACAGCCTTGGGTTTGTCCTCCCATGGCAGCATGAACTGGCCCCTGCAGGATGACAACCAGACGGAAAAAAAAAAAAAAAAGAAAAAAAAAAAGAAAGAAGTAGACAAAGTAGACGCGTAACACGTCAGACGGGACTAGCTCGAGACCGGAGCTGTAGCTTAGTTCTGACTTACAAGGATTTGAGCAGGCTGGAAGACGAGGGTACTGAAGAGACGCTGAGATAGTACTGAAGCGACAACGACGCTGAGTCAATAGGCGATAAGTACGAAACGTACTGCTCTCGGAGAACGATGATGCCTCCCACCGTCACTGCTGCAGCGACGCCGCCGATCGCGGCGACCCCGACGGCGACGGCTAAGCCCGCCGCGACCTTGAAAGGATCGACATCCGACCCCACCGATGGCATGCTGATGTTGTTGAGGTTCCCCGAAATTCCGTCGATGAACCCCATAATTCCGCGGCTCATACTAAACTCGTCCCTAGATATCAGCGAGCTTGGTTGCACCATTCAGGAAGATGCTGATGCAGAACACATTAGGGTTCGAAATAGTGCGCAGGCATTGAAGCCTGAGAGAAAGATACGAGCGGAAGAGCTAGCATGGCAGGAACAGAAGAAAGTGAGGCTGGAATTTTGTTCCCGAGACCCGAGGAAGTCTGCACAAGCGGCAGATTCTAGGCGTCAAACATGCATCAGGCTTCAAGTTTCGGACAAACAGAACCAAGGATGATTCATAGGGGCGGAGAAGGGGGAGCTTTACAATGTTCTGATTCAACAAATATCCCGGAAGTTCACAAGCTCATCGGTTTGTAAGCCTCGATACCACGCAAACAAACCATATCACCGCACTGGAGTGGACGATATCATGCTACGTTCATATAGGCGGAGAACTACCCTTAGAAAAATGTTGTTGGCGGCATGGAAAACTGGCGGCTAGGTGTGAGAGCTGGGAGGAAGAGGAAGTTTATTTTTACAGGCGGATGGCGCGAAACTGGGGGTGCGGGCAGTTGTTGAGATCCTCCAGAGACGGGGGAAAAGCGTTCGGGCATTGCGAGGATAGTGCTGGTTGGCTGGGTGGATTTCAGAGTCATTCTTGTTTGATCGGACGGTCATGACGGTGCTGCTCATTCAATGGGCGGTCGGTGGTACCCCAAGCATGCTTCTGACAGCATTGCTGTCATTCAGAAAGCGGGACACTCGACAAGTTTTGACTCAAAACCACGTCAGGTGGGTCACGGATGACGGCTACGTTCGGCAGACATGAATCAGACCATGCGTGTGAGTGTTTGGCGAGCAGGCCTAGGCGGCTGGGGCAGGATACCCTTCAACTAAACAGTCTATCCGACTGCAAACACATAAGAGACGACGAGTTTCTAGCCGCCAGAGAACAATTGACACACATCTCTGCTGGGTGGTGGCTCATTAGCACAATTATATGTATATGTTCATGGTTTCAGCGATGGTTGCATTTACCACCTAGCGATGCTAGGTTACCTCCGCTACGAAATGTGCTGGATTTCGTTAAAAGAGGACAGGTTTGTAGGCACTTCTGCGGCGAGGCCTTGACCATTAGCTACTTTCCACGTCGCCTCCAAGCCCACACATCCTGGCGCCCAGGGAGCCCGTTGAACCACACAGGGAGGGGGCAGCGTGGCCTCACACGAGCTGAGTAGGCTTGCCGCGTCGTAACATCCCGTCATCGGGAATTCCACGGCCTGTCAGCGCCTGGTGGGCTGAATGGATTTCCTCAGCGGCTAGACACACGTGGCTCGTTATCACAGCCACAAACCCATCAATTTATTCCTACAGCGCCTCGATTTGCTGAACTGCTGCCTTGTGAATTCCACACTTCCTGGTGCTTTACTAAGAGGCGTGCTTGGTTACCGATTGGTTGACACCTCATGAAGATTAGGCTGTGGGGAAGGTCACACGGTTTCATACATTTCGCTACGTTCCAAAGTGGTAACTCTCGATAACCAAGTGTTTATCCATTTCAGAACTCGCGTCACCAACAGGCAACTCGGCTGGGACTGGGTGGGACTAGGCTCGAGTTGAGAGTGTTGGGGTTGGGGGAGTCTGGTTCTGGAGTGATCGGTAATCTCTTGATCACATCAAAAACCTGGCAACGGCATTAGTTGAAGCTCCCCGCTTGCCTTTCTCCTCTCATCAGTCTCTCTGATAACTCAGCTCCTTGCGAGCTGTGAGGAGATATTCTCAGTTTCTGTCAGGGGATTTGCCTTGACATCTGTTGGTTGCCGGTCTCCTCCTGTGCAACCATGTCGCACGCAGTCACGATCCGCAGCGCGCCCGTCGACGCTGCTCTGCTCGAGTCCGCCGTGGCTCGTCCTGCCGCCTCTTCCCAGCGGAGTGTGCGGTTAAATGGACTCAAGACCTTCCGTGGAGGACATGTAAGAATGTGATGAACAAACATTGCAAATGATAGCAATCAGGGGTCGATGGCGTATGTTGAGTCCGTATCTCAAGAAGGCTCACCTCATGGGCTAGTTGTTGCAGTGAAATGCAACAAGCCTATCTGCCCATTTCTCAAGTACCCTCAATATGAATCCAAACACGATATATAGCCCTAGGCCACAAGGGTTTGGGCCACGCCTAACACTGCATGATCACGTCACGTCAATTGGAATAATCTTCCGGGTTTATGCTTTCTCTCTTGCCCATTTCTTCATCTGTCCGAACCAGCCGTATTATACTGGCAACGAAGGTTCAAGGCACAGCCGTTGCTAGGCGACAACATAATTGTGGACTTACTGCTATTTTCTTGTATTCTTTCTGTCACTGTTTCCAATAGCTGGGTCAAAGCTTCGCCGCAACAACTCAAAGCGCACCTATCGATCGGCTTCAATCCAAGCAGAGGATCCATGGCCGCTCCGCAGTGCGCGCCGCCGTCGCCGTTGAGGCTCCTGGTATGTGAACACACATAACACGCTTCAGTTAATGGCATCCGCTTATCGCTAACCTTTATACAGTGTCGTGACTCTCTTTAGCTTTCGATAGTCGGAGCCCCAAGCACTGACACGTCATCATTCCCTCTGGTTTAGTTGCTCCTGTGGCAGATGACTCAGCTCTGGTAACCCGCTCAGACATTCGCAACATCGCCATCATCGCGCACGTCGACCACGGCAAGACGACGCTCGTCGACGCCATGCTCAGACAAGCCAAGGTGCGTCTGGCGACACCCCGTGCGAGCACCCATGAAACACTCGGAAACCACCACCTCTTGCGAAAGTGTGGAAACCGCGTTCGGTATCAAAGGTAACCGTTCTGGCTAAATTTACTTGGAAATTTGCGAAAGTCTTTGAATTCACTGGAGCTGTTGCTGATGCTCTAACCTGTTACTCCCTCGCTCCCGTGTACGCGTTATCAGGTGTTCCGCGACAACCAGCAGATGCAAGAGCGCATCATGGACAGCAACGACCTGGAGCGCGAGCGAGGCATCACGATTCTGAGCAAGAACACGGCCATCCGGTTTCGCGGCACCAAGATCAACATCATCGACACGCCCGGCCACTCCGACTTCGGCGGCGAGGTGGAGCGCGTGCTCAACATGGTCGATGGCGTGCTGCTGCTGGTGAGTCTTGTTGTCTTATACTGGTGATTGTTGGTGGGTTCAGTGCGGCTGGTTGTGTTCGGACATGGGTGGTTATGAAACGTCCATCAGGTTACCACAGAAAAGCGGGCATTTCATTTTTTTCATTTTTTTTTTTTTTTTTTTTTTTTTTCATTGCACTTGGAGCTGGAGCTGGGGCACCGCGTGATAGTGGTGGTGAACAAGTTTTGAGGCGCCTCAAAAAATCACCGCGTGATGGTGGTGGTGAACAATCTCAGAGCGCCCTCTCTTTCCCCCTCCTACCCCAGGTGGACTCGGTCGAAGGTCCCATGCCGCAGACGCGGTTCGTGCTGAAGAAGGCGTTGGAGCTGGGGCACCGCGTGGTGGTGGTGGTGAACAAGGTGGACCGCCCAGCGGCGCGCGTGCAGCACGTCATCAACGCCACCTTCGAGCTCTTCTGCGAGCTCGAAGCCACGGACGAGCAGTGCGACTTCACAACCGTCTACGCCAGCGGGATTCAAGGGAAGGCTGGTATGGAGCCCGATGCGCTTGCTGATGATCTCGAGCCGCTGTTTGAATCGATTATCAAGTGCGTTCCGGGCCCGAAGGTCCAGCCGAACGCGGCGCTGCAGATGCTGGTGACGAATCTGGATTATGACGAGCATAAGGGGAGGATTGCGATTGGCCGCGTGCACGCGGGGAAGCTCGCGCGCGGGCAGGTGGCGAAGATTTGTACTCCCGATGGCGCCTGCCGCGTGGCGAAGGTCGTGGAGCTGTTCGTGTACGACAATTTCGCGCGCGTCCCCGTTGATGACGTGGAGGCGGGAGATATCTGCGCGTTGTCCGGCCTGCCGGACGTGCAGATTGGCGAGACGATCGCGGACCGCGACGGCGACGCGCTGCCGACGATCTCGGTGGAGGAACCGACGGTCAAGATGAGCTTCTCCGTGAACGTGTCGCCGTTCGCGGGGCGCGAGGGGAAATTCGTGACCTCGCGGAACCTGAGGGACCGGCTGATGCGGGAGCTGGAGAGAAATCTGGCGATGAAGGTGGAGGACGGGGAGAGCGCTGATACGTTCCTGGTCAGCGGTCGTGGTACCCTGCACATCACCATCCTCATTGAAAACATGTGCGTGTGCCAGAAAGCGTCTTGTGAAAGCGCTGGCTCTTCTCCCTCCTGAAAGCGCCGTCACGCTCCAGCGAAAACGTCCTGTGGCTCCAGTGGGTTCAGATTGTTAGTTGCTGGCTCTGCTGTTCCGTCCGTCCCTTCCCCCGCCACCTTCTCAATCCTCCCCACCCCTTCGCTCTCCTCCCCACCCCTTCTCTCTCCTTCACGCACTCCTTTGGCCTTTGAGTCGACTCTCAAGTAAACCGTACCACCTCCCACTCCCATCACGTGCGGGTTTGCCCTGGCAGGCGGAGGGAGGGGTACGAGTTCATGGTTGGGCCACCACGGGTCATCAACAAAGTGGAAAACGGCAAGACGCTAGAGCCGTATGAGGTGAGCAGCTGTTGTAGGATGGTGGAGGTCTTAGGAGGGGAAGGTATGGGACAAATACTCTGGACTGGACTTGGAAGGAACGAATTCGACAGAGCTGGTGAAGGCAGAAGGCATGGTTTCAGGGAGATTAGTTAGCACGATTCAGTATCAGTCTAAGTTCTGTAATAGGTTGGAACACCTGGAACACCTGCAACACCTGGTTGTGTCCCTGTTGCTCCGTGCTGTGTGCACTGCATTCCTTCCTAAGTCCTCGCCGAGTTTCCCTGTACTCGTTATTGAATGTTGCAGGAAGCGGTGGTGGAGGTACCAGAGGAGTATGTGGGGGCTGTGGTGGACATGCTCGGTACACGCAAGGGGCAAATGCTCGACCTGCAGGCCTCCAGGTGAGACGCCAGTGCGTTTAACGACTCCTCAGTGTTTAACAACTCCTCAGGGCGTTCAGGGTGTTTTTGAGTATTCCCTGAACAACCTCACCTCAGTATGAAGTTTAATGTAAAAACTCTTAATCCCCCTCCGATTTGATTGAAGACCCTTCCATTCTTTCCAACTGCTCTACACCCGTGTCCACCCCCCCACCACTTCCGGGACCACAGTGGTGAAGTACTGTGTACCGACCCGCGGCCTGCTGGGGCTATTGTATAGGCACATGCAACATTATCGCCCTCCACCCCTCTCCACTTTTCTCCACCCCCCGCCAGTTCCGGGACCACAGTGGTGAAGTACCGTGTACCAACCCGTGGCCTGCTGGGGCTGCGCAATGCCATGCTGACTGCCACGCGAGGCACGGCCGTCATCAACACCATCTTTGACAGCTATGGCGAGTGGGCAGGCGACATGAGCACTCGCGAGCAGGGCTCCCTGGTGAGTACCCCTGGCCTGGGGGAAGAGGCCCTAGCTGATTGGATGTATGGATTCGCCTGCTGGGGCTGAGCAACGCCGTGCTGACTGCCACGCGTGACATGGCCGTCATCAATACCGTTTTTGACAGCTATGGGGAGTGGGCGGGCGACATGAGCACTCGGGAGCAGGGCTCCCTGGTGAGTGCTGTCACGTGCCATGGGAGCAGATCTGCTCCTTTGGTTGAGGTTAGCATGTTCAGTGTCTTCTGGTTTCTTCTGGTTCTGTGCCTTCTGGGTCAGTTCCTCTGCCCTTACCCTGCGTTGTCTTCTTTTTCTCTCCATCACCCTCGCCCGTCCCACCCTTCCTACATCGTTTCCACGCAGGTATCCTTCGACACGGGCCCAACCACGTCGTATGCGCTCTTCAGCTGTCAGGAGAGGGGGCAGCTGCTGCTGGGGCCGGGAGTGGAGGTGTACAAGGGGCAGATCATCGGCCTCCACCAGAGGCCCGGGGACCTGGACTTGAATGCGTGCAAGAGGAAAGCTGCCACCAACGTGCGATCCAACAAGGATGCCACAGGTACGTGTGTTTTATGTTTCATGCTGTATGTGAGGGCGGAAGGGAGTTCGAGTGGGGGGGTGGGAGCAGGACGAGGTGGAATCGCAAGGAGTTTTTTTTTTTGTGCGTTCTCTTGTTTTGTGTGTCTCTTCTTGCAGTGGTGTTGGCGGCGCCCCTTGAGTTCAGCTTGGATGACTGTGTGGAATACATTCAAGAGGATGAGCTCGTGGAGGTCACGCCCCTTTCAGTCCGCATGCTTAAGAACCCCAGGATGGGCAAGAAGGGGAAGAAGTGATATGAATTGGCTGTAATTCATAATATGTTCTAGTTTCTTTCTTAATATATTGCCCATTTCCAAAAGCAATTGTATAGCAGATCAGCCCATGTTTTGTAGCTAGAAAGTAGCTACAGCTGGAGTAAGCCTGAACTCCAAAGCGAGGATTAGTCGCCAAATCAAGCAAGCTGTTTCTTGGGATTGCCGTAGGCACACCGCACACATCCCTGGAACAGGCCGAAATCAAGTTCTGGTAAAAAGCGTAGTCCAGGATGCTTTGAAATGTTCGCCCTTCTTGCATGTTATGGATTTACGACGCGCATCAAGGCACGTGGCGCTAACCAGTCTAGTGCATCGCTGTCTCATCGTCAGCTGCAGTCTGGAATGTGGCGGATAGCACTATGTGCACCCCTTAATTCGTGCCTTTCAAGGAAATTCGTTCCATGGCCTGAAAGCTGAAGCCCACGGTGGACGGAGGCTGAACTGAAGCCTGAGGTGAGGCTTTCGAAGCACGACACGCGAGCCATCGCGCTCCCGAGCTTGCATCTGCTCTGCACTCGGGGCACTGTAGCTTAATTTTCTTCCTGTCCCTGTCGTTTTGGTCTCTTTTTCTGATTCTTTCGTCAGGGTCCCTTCCCGTTTGTTGCTTGCCTGCGGTTGAGCTAGAGATGAGGATTCCGCGTGCTGCTGTCGTACTGCCTGCTGTTTTTCTGATTCTTCAGAGTAAGCGACACATGACGTTCAGTAGTAAAATTTTCTTAGCACAAATTTTGCATGCGAAGTGTTTTTTTACATGTGTCACGGATAGACTGTCTTACCTTGTCTGTCTTACCACCCTTGTTTCCTAAATAAATTATGTGAATCCCCAGTTGTGGAGGGCAGGCTTGAACCGCCATGGACGCTTGGCCTGGAGCAGGCGACATCAGAGCGACTCGGAGGAGGCGAAATCGCGTCCTACTCGTTCGGCGTCCTCAAGGAGGCAGCTGACGTGGCGGTGGAGAGACTTGTGATTCGCCAGTGCGGATTGCTGCTACCTCGAGTGTCTATTGGTTCTCCGTCCCTGCTGTTCATTCAGCAAGGTAAGCTGTGTTAACTTACTTCCGTGGGTTCCTTGAGCCGTGTTATTGCTATCATGGTCGTGCATCTTCATGGCTTTCTTCTAGTTGTTGTCCCTTGTTTATTCTTTCCATTTATTCTGTCACTGATCATACCCGGTTTCTTTTTTTTTTCCCCTTCTCATTCCTCTCGTACCCTTTTTTTTTTCTGCTGTGTGCTGTCTGTTGAACCCACAATCTCAGGGTCTGGTGTGGTGGAGCTGATAGATGACAACGGCCAGGCACCTTCTGACGTGTCACCAATCACTGTGAACCACGGTGATGCGGTGGTGGTTCCCAAGGGGTGGACGTACAGCATCGGGAACTACCTCAACCAATCGCCAGAGCTCATTATCACAGCCGTCCGATTCAACCATCACAAGCAGGTGACTGCTCTCGAGGTGTCTTGGTCATTTTGCATACATTTTTGTTTTGTTTTGTTTTCTCCCCTCCTCTGCCAAGTCCCTAATCCCTTGCTTGTTTGTCTGTCCTGCCTTTCCTCCCTTTGCAGAAATCGTACCTTGCAGGCAGCAACCCCCACTCGGTGTTGTCTGGCTTCAGTCTGCACATGCTGGAGACGGCATTCAACCAGCAGCACGATGTGGTCAGAGCGCTGCTTGACCAGGCCACCGGGGGAGGGATCATCGTGTCCCGCTGCGTACCACCCTCGCCTCCTGAGCCTCCCGAGCCTGCTGCACAGGAGGATGCGGCAGAGGAGGATGGGTCAGAGGAGGATGGGTCCGAGCGTGATGTGTCAGGGCTGGATGTTTCAGGGGATTTGGAGGAGTTAGGAACGGGTAGGGGTGCTGCTGCGATGAGGAGGATGGGTTTGGCTGAGGATGGAATGGAGTTCGGTTTAGAGGGCAAGAAGGGTAAGGGGAAGGAGGGGGAGAAGAGCAAGAAGGGCAACAAGGAGAAGAAGGAGAAGAAGGAGAAGGAGAAGAAAGAGAAGAAGAAGGAGAAGAAAGATAAGAAGGGAAAGAAAGAGAAGAAGAAGAAGATTGTTCTGGTGGATCATGTGGCAGCACGGCAGCCTTGCCACAGAGGGTGGCAGCATGGTCCGTGTGTCGTACCGAGACTTCAAGGCGCTCAGGCACGCAGGCATTCAGGGCGAAATTGTGCTGCTCACCCTCTACCCGGTACGTGTACTTCTGAGTTTTTTTTAAGTTTTGAATCAGTTTCTTGAAACCTCCTCCTCCCTATTCTTGCCTCCATACCCCCCCTCTCTCAAACCCTTAGCTGACCCCCCGCCTCACCCACACCCCGCCACACCCTCCTCTTTCTTGAATCATCCCCCCTTGCAGCATGCGGTGGTGGCGCCCTCACATCCACGGCAGTGCAGCAGAGTTGTTCACGGTGCTCAAGTGTTCTGCTTGTGAACTCAACTGCTTCTGCCCTTCTGTTGAAACCTCCTTTCTTGAATCCGCCTGTGCAGCATGCGGTGGTTGCTCCGCACATCCACGGCAATGCAGCAGTGGTCTTCACGGTTCTCAAGGGTTCAGGCCACTTTGAGTCGGTGCTCCCCAATGGCACCACCGCCGCCAGCGATGCCGTTCAGGCAGGCCACGTGGGGGTGGTTCCCATGGGGTGTGCCCATGCTCTGCAGGCGGGAGAGCAGGGCGTGAAGATTCTCGGCATTCGAATTGGTTCTTATCATCCATCCATCAAATTTCTTGCAGGTAATGAGCAGAATGCTTCCCAAGGCAGCCAGGTTACTATTCTTATGCTGTTACCCTTCTGGTTCACGCCCCTTTGGTTTGATTGCTAAGCCTTTGCATCTGCTGTTGTGAGCAGGGAGCATGAGTGTGTACAATGCAATGAGGCCGGCACTTGGTGCTGAAGCTTTCAATATCACTGAAGAAGATTTCTTGAATTTCTTTGGCGCACAGGATAGCCCTGGGATAGTTCCTTGGAAAGGCCCCTTTCCTGGGGTTGCTGCTTTCTAGCTTGTTGATCCATTCATTGACCATACTTGGCGGAGCTTGGGGAATGTAATGCCCGTTTTGGTAGACCATAGACTCATAAATTTGCGTGTTCAACAAATCGTGGTGTGCTCAGATCCTGTAATGAAATGGCATGGTTGAAAGTACCTCTTTGCTGCATCAGCACATTGGAGCTAGATTGTTGAAGAGAAACTGGCTTCGCCTGTTATAGAAGTTCGCTGTCATGGTCAATTGTGGAGTCTCGGCGAAACATGACTATAACTTGTACCCTATTCGTGTCACTGACCAAGCCAAGCAATGTTTCGGATTCCACGTGCCCTGGCACGCCACGTGTGAGTCAGGCCTGGGCTATTGGGGAAGGCAATTGCGTCAGCTTGTCCCACATTCCCGCCAATATGCCTTGCCGCATCAGCCAGTCCCGATTCCTCGCGAGAGTTCGAATCTCGACCATCTGAAAAGTTTTCGCGAAATTCGCCAGATCAACCAGCCGCGAGATTGCCTCCTTCACACTCCATGGATAACTCCCGAATCCTCGGGTTTCCCGCAGCATCAGGGATTATCCATGCTTCTCGCATTCATCATTGAAGTTATCTTCCTTGAACAACTCTGTATCTCTAGGTAGTGTCTCTGTGATTCCGCAGTCAATCCTCGTTGTCCATTGTTGGTGCTTCTGGCCAGTTAGATTCGTGCAAACACCAGCCGAAGGCGATGTCGTTGGGTTTGTGCCAAGGAGCGACCATGGCTGCTTGTCAGATTCCGTCAGCGTCAGTTAGGCTAGCAGCTACCGGCCAACTTCAGTCATCCACCGGAACCAGAAACTCGTCCTTCACGCCATCTAGCTTCGCGTTTTCGTCTAGAGACGAGTTTTTCCGACCAGGACAAACGGCGCTGCTCAGATGTAAGGTATCGAGTTCGCGTGGCTCGGGATCACGGGGTGCAAGACTAACGGTCAGGGCAGCTGCGGATTATTACACCACGCTAGGAGTTCCCAAGAACGCGTCGAAGCAAGACATCAAGAGCGCGTACCGACGACTCGCTCGGCAGGTACGCGAAGAGCCGTTTGTTACTGCTGCTGCGAAGTACATCCGTTTCGCAGAACCGTGACACTTACCAAGAAGTTCACGGTCGTTCTTGTAGCTTCATCCTTGTGCCACATTCGAAGGATCCTGTCATCATGTCTCTTGACTGAATTTCACCTATCGGTCTCATCTCTCACCTATCGGTCTCGTCGCGTTTCCTTGTGCTCGAACTCCTTGCAGTTCCATCCCGATGTCAACAAGGATCCCGGTGCGGAGGACAAGTTCAAGGAGATTAGTACCGCGTACGAGGTAGCCACTGCCAACCACATGTCCCTTCCTAGCATGTCTCCTTTTAGCGGTGACGTACCACTTTATGACCAGCATCGGACTTTCGTCGGCAAGAAACGCTTTCGTGCTCTTCCCCTCTTTCGTCATTTAGATCCTCACGTATCTAGCCACGCTTCTTGCGGCCATTCTCCCTCGTGCCAGGTTCTTTCGGACGATGAGAAGCGGCCACTATACGACCGGTTTGGGGAGGCGGGCGTGTCTGGTTCTGGTGGCATGGGAGGAGCGGGAGCCTACACGGTGAGTATGGGCTGCATTCACGTGTGAGTTGAGAGAAAGTCGTTGTAATCTAAAGCCTAGTCAATACGCGCTCACGGAACGAAAGGAACACATTGCAGGAGCATGAATATCTTTTCTGTACACTAAGTCCAGCGCCCATCAGCGTGCAGGACAGGCTCTAAAACAATCAGTGAAACCATTCCAACAATCAAACGTACCCATCTGGCTTACCCTTGTTGACACGTGTGGCCGGGCAGTCGAACCCTGTCGACCAGCTCAAAATCATATCTAAGTCGGATATGGGCGTTGCTGCGAGGGGAGGCAGGCGGCGTGGGCGGGAAACAACGGTCTATTTAGAAGTCTTAAACTCATGACGCTTTTCTGTCTGCTCTGGCTCCACCTCTGCCTGTGGCCGTGCAGTCGAACCCGTTCGACCTGTTCGAGTCCATATTCGGGCCGGGTATGGGCGCGGCCGCGAGGGGAGGCATGGGCGGAATGGGCGGAATGGGCGGCATGGGCGGCGCTGGGCCGCGGACGCGACAACCTGTTCCTGGCGACGATGTCAAGTGAGTGGCGCAGGGTGGGGTGGCTAGCGGGGGAAGTACGGAGAGAGAGTGTAGGCAGTGACAGACTGATGAAGGACGGAAATCATCCCCGCTTTTCCCTACCCGCTCCTGCCCATCCCCGACCATCCTCGCCCATCCTTACCATCCCCGCCCATCCCCGCCCACTCCCGCCCATTTCCACCCATTCCCGCCCATTCCCGCTCATTTCCGCCCATTCCCGACCATCTTCCTGCCCCCACCCATCAGAATGGAGATGCCGTTGGAGTTCCGCGAGGTGATATTCGATGCCGAGAAGACCATCAACGTGGCGCACCTGGACGGCTGATCCCACTTCTGCCCTGCCAACTCCTGCCCACCCCTGCCCACTCCTGCCCACCCCCGCCCACCCCACCACTTACAGAATGGAGATGCCGTTGGAGTTCCGCGAGGTGATATTCGGCGCGGAAAAGACCATCAACGTGGCGCACCTGGACGGCTGCAACGAGTGTGGGGGCTCGGGCGCCAAGGCAGGCACGTCCCCCCGCACGTGCCCCACGTGCCGGGGCATGGGGCAGGTCATGCAGACAAGGCAGACAGCTTTTGGGATGTTCTCCTCGGTGCGTGAGTGGGAGGGGTGCGTTTATACGGAGTGGGATGATGAGGGGCGATGATGAAAGGCCCACACGTTGGGGCATGGGGAAGGTCATGCAGACTCCGTGTTGGGCGAACGGCCTTGGTGCGTGTACTCATTAGTGCATGGATGAGTGTGTGTGAGGGAGGGAGCCGCGATGGTGTGGAAGTTAAGGTGTCTCCCCGCGTGGGCATGAGGCATGTCCTAAAATCGTCCCCACTTTCACTTTTATACGCAGCTGTCCACGTGCTCGACATGTATAGGAGTGGGGGAGGTGATATATGAGCTCTTCTTCCGAGGCACCTACTTACTCCTCCCTTGTCCCTTTGTCCGCAGGTGTCCACGTGCTCGACGTGTATGGGAGTGGGGGAGGTGATATCTGAGTTCTGCCGCAAGTGTGGGGGCGAGGGGCGGGTGCGGACGCGCAAGCCAGTGGTGATCAACGTGCCGGCAGGGGTGGACTCGGGCACGGTGCTTCGAGTTAAAGGGGAGGGCGACGCTGGCATGCGCGGGTGAGTGGCTTCAATTGTCTCTTTTGTGCTTGCACCTGCCGCTATGCCACCGGCATCAGCACCACCAGCACTTTACAAGTACTCATCCTCCTTCCCCCTTCTCCTGGCGGTTTTTCCCTTCCACCACTCCACCAGCAGCAACCAGTGCCATCTGTACGTACTTGTTGAGGTGAAGGAGTCACTTTCCCCTTTCCTTTTTTTTCCCATATCCCCTTTTCATCCTCCTTTCTCTTTCCCTTCTCCTTCTCTACTATCCTCCCACCAGGGGCAAGCGGGGCGACCTGTATGTATTTGTGAAGGTGAAGGAGACGATGGGCATTCGCAGGGACGGCATCAACCTCTACTCCAATGTCAGCATCGACTACACTGATGCCATTCTGGGCACTGTGGCTAAGGTGCGTGTTTTCACCAGTTGGGTGCTGTGACCAAGGTGGGTGTTTCTGCTAGTATGCACGAGAGCCATCTGGGGCTGTGGCAAGCAGCAATACGTGGCATTCCACTGCTGCCACTGGTGGCATTCCCTTTCTTCAATTCCCCTCCTCTAATCTGTCATTGCTCATCCTCCCACGTTCCTCTTTCAACCCAGGTGGCCACGGTGGATGGGGCAGCGGAGCTGAGAGTGCCAGCAGGCACGCAGCCAGGCGACACACTGGTGTTGGAGCGCAAGGGCGTGCCCAAGGTGGGCAAGAGCAACATTCGCGGAGACCACTTCTTCCAAGTCAACGTCTCCATCCCTAAACGAGTCAGGTGCTTATAAGGGGTACAAAGGGAGGGGGGGGGGGCTGCACTATAATGGAGCGCAAGGGCGTGCCCAAGGTGGGCAAGAGCAACATTCGCGGCGACCACTTCTTCCAAGTCAACGTCTCCATCCCCAAACGAGTCAGGTACTTATAACGGGTACAAGGCAGCACTCCCCTTGCTTTGTGGTGTAGATGTTTAGAGAGGGCTTCAGGGACGTTCTTCACCTCTGCCCGAACGTGAGGTCCCACGGGTCCTCTTGAGTCGACTCAATGGTCACCTCGGGTCCTCACTCACTCATGGGGCTCCATGGACGTTCAGGTGTATTTTGAGTCGACTCAAAATACACCTCAAAGGTCACCTCGGGTCCTCACTAACCGGGCTCCATAGACTTTCTTCACCTCTGCCTTCCGTTTTGACGCCCTCCGATGATAACCTGCCACTTAGCACCTTTCTTCCACAGCATCCCAACCTGCATCCCACCCTGTCTCCCACCCTGTCCCCCACCCTGCCCCCAACCTGCCTGCGTCGTGCCTTGTGGTTGTTGTGAGCAGCCCCGCGGAGCGGGACCTAGTGGAGGAGCTTGCAGGGCCAGGCTTGCTGTGATCGCCCAAGAAACGCCAACACTCATACACTCTTTCACTCCCCTCCCATGACCCCTGCCATGCATATCATGTGTGTGTGCTGTAAGCAGTCCCACGGAGCGGGACCTGGTAGAGGAGCTGGCGTCGATTCACAAGACGGGCAAGACGCGCACCGGCATCACTGTGGAGGGCGCCAGTGAGTGTGCCTTGCCTGCTCGCTTGCTTGCTTGCTTGCGTGATTGCTTGTTGGTCTGCTTGCTTGCCTGCCTGAGAGGTGACGTTTGAGTCGACTCAGTCAAGACGGGCAAGACGCGCACCGGCATCACTGTGGAGGGCGCCAGTGAGTATGCCTTGCCTGCTTTTGAGAATTCTCAAAAGTGCCTTGCCTGCTCGCTTGCTTGCCTGATTGCCAGTGTGTGTGCATGCATGCGCGTGGCTGTGCATGCGTGTGGCTGTGCATGCGTGTGGCTGTGCATGCGTGTGGCTGTGCATGCGTCTGTGTATCTGTGTGCGAGCATGTTGAGAACTCTTAGCACCAGGGTTGCTAATACTTCCTCAAGGTTGCTAATGCTTCCTCAATTGCTCTCCTCTCTCCCCTCTTTTCACCTATCTCTCCTCTCTCCCCTCTTTTCACCTATCTCTCCTCTCTCCCCTCTTTTCACCTATCTCTCCTCTCTCCCCTCTTTTCACCTATCTCTCCTCTCTCTCGCTCTCTCTTCCCTCTCTCTCCCCCTTCAGGGCCTCGGGGTTCCTCATCCAGTTCGGGCATGGATGGGGAGGGCATCGTCGACACTGTCAAGTGAGCCCCTCTGCCCCTCTACCCTTTCTTCAGCCGCTCTATACCTCGCATCGCCCCTTCACACCTCTACCCCTAGTGTTGCCTCTTCGGGCCCGAAACAACATCCGCTTGAGAATCAGGCAGGGCTCTTCTGGCGCACAAGCACCTTGCTATCGTGGTCTGACTTTTGGTTCGACTTAAAGGAAGAAGCAGTCAAGCCAACCAGCAAAGTGGCTTTTGAGACATCTCAAAGGCCAGACCCTCCCAACTGTGATATTTGAAATGCCCCGCCTGCTCTGCACACACGTGGCGTGCGCTCATTGGTTCCACTGGTTGATCCTGCAGAGGGTCAAAACGGGTGATTCAGACCATCCAATCTGAGGCCAGGAGATTCACAGAGGAGACCATCCAGCCGATCGTTTCCCCCGCCACGCCAATCACATGGCGCCATGTGGCAAACGCAACACTGCTGGCTGCAGTGTTAGCCCTGACCATGGCTTTTGCATCAGCAGGGGCAAAAGCGGCTTGGGCCTGGTGGAAGAGTCGCTTCCGGTTAACCCCTTAGCTCCTAGTAAGCGTGCCATTTGCCTTTTTTCTGGCTGTCCTCATCACTACAGCTCACCACTGTTTTCCTTGGCGTTTTTTCCTCTTCTCCCTCCCAATCCGTGCCCTTTCTTGATTGTCTGGGATCTTCCAACTCCTTCCTGCAGGAATGTTGTTTCGGGCATCAAAAACTTCTTCAGCAAGTGAAACATGGAAGGTTACAATCAAGTGGTTACCACTCGCTAAAACGTTATGAAATGGGCAGTATCCGCAGTTGGATGTTGGTGGTGTGATGTTACTAGGCATCCATCCTGTAATTTTACTGTGAGATGAAATGATTTTCAGATATGATCAGTAACAGTAAAGCAGATTTCAGCTGCTTTCTCACTCTCAAGGTAAGACCTCACCAAGCAAGGTGTACCCTAAACCCTAAACCCTAAGTTGGATTGCGGTGACAGCTGTAGGAAGCTTTGGTGGTGTGATGTTACTAGGCATCCATCCTGTAATTTTACTGTGAGATGGAATGATTTTCAGATATGATCAGTAATAGTAAAGCAGAATTCAGCTGCTTTCTCACTCTCAAGGTAAGACCTTACCAAGCAAGGTGTATCCTCAAAGCCCCATGTTTTCTACAATGTCTTACTGACTGGAAACTCCCTAAACGCACCACCAGATCCCTTGCGCATCCGAATCACCGCTAGCTGGCAAACGGGGGGTACCTTATAAGTATGGAATGTTTGGGGCCAGCAGCCTTCTCATACACACCCAAGCCAGCCCCATGCCTTCTACAACACAGTGTCTTGAGTGACAGCAACATCAAAGCCCGAGAGTTTTCTTCACGAGTTTGGCATGCGTGGGACCAACAGCCTTCTCATACATCCATGCCAACTCCTCCCGCTCTCGCTGCGACAGCATCTCACGCAAAAGGTTGGCCGAAGATGCCAGTTCGGGCTGATGGTAATGTAAGAAAAGGGATCGTATGGAACCAGGGCACATTAAGGGTAAGCAAATGCATGTGCATGCATGTGATGCATGGATGGCTGTGGACGGATGCGCATGCATGCCCATGCATAGCTAGAATCACATTCTCGTGAACGAGGGCATAGCCATGTGCTAGACACAAAGGCTTTTTTGTTAACTGACAAAATAAAATAAAATAAAAAAACATAGCCATGTGGAAGATGCAAAGGACACGCACGCACCGCGACTGAAGCAGGCGTGAACTCAGAGAGAAGCTTTAAAATCTGCCGTAGCTTCACCTCTGCTTCACCCCTTTTACTCTCCTCTAACATCTCCTGCTTCAGAAAAGAGAAGGAAAGAAAGGAGAATACTTGGGAACAAAACAAAACGTGGAAGGGTAAAAAATGCCAATGATGGCAGGGCAGCCTACACTACTAGCCAATGTTTTGATTACAAACAACACAACATCATAAACGTGCACACCAGCACTCACATTGCATGCCACGAGCTCTGCTGCAACGCTGCTCGCCACCCCTCGCGGCGCTGCTGCCAGAGCTGCAGGGGCTGAAAGGCCCACCGCTGCTGCTCCGTTTGGAGTCGACTCACACGAGAACACACAACAGAAAACGCAAGGCACTCACATTGCATGCCACGAGCTCTGCTGCAACTCTGCTCGCACCCCTCGCGGCGCTGCTGCCAGAGCTGCAGGAGGGGCCAGCCCACAGCTACTGCCATGGCTACAACAAAAGATGGGCCCGATGCAGGGAGTTTGGACGGCTGGTGCGAGCTGCATGGGGGGCGGGGAGCAGAGGGGGATCGGGAGATGGTGGGACCAACTGCTGCTGCCAGCACTGCAGGCAGGGCCGGGCGCACAGCTTCTGCCATGGCGACTAGGAATGACGGGCCTGAGGTGGGGAGTTTGGACTGCGAGCTGCATGGACGGAAGCGGAATGGGGAGAGAGGAAAAGGAACGCAGGGAAGGGGGAAGGGGAAAGGTGGAACGGCATGCATGCCCATGCTCCCAACAAAACCTCCCACACCCCTACTGATGGATGGATAAATCTGTCCCTCCCATTCCCCTAATCAAAATCTCCCATACCCCTTCTTCCCTCATCCATTCCTCCCTCGCCACATCCCCAACCCCTCACACACCATACCTTTCAAACCCGACCTCCTACCCGATGCATTCATCCAGTGCCAGCTGGACGGCGGCGTTGAACACTATCAGCCGCACAGAGTCCCTCTGAGTGTGCCACGTGTCACCAGATGATCGCCACGCCGCCCAGATCTGACGGCTCAACAACAAAGGTGGATGGGGATGGGTTTGGAAGGTAGATGGGTGGATGAGAATGGGTATGAAAGGTAGATGGGTTTCAAAGGTAGATGGGTGGATGGGGATGGGTTTCTCATCTGCCCGAGTGATGCGAAACGCTTCTAGTAGGCCAGTGTGGTGCAGTGCAATGGGGTGCGGGGCAATGCGGCCAGGTGTGGCACACCTGAATGAGAGCCTCTGCAGGGATGTGCCCATGCGTGTTGAACTGCTCCAAAGCCCCTGAGATGGAAATTGCACGTCATTGCAGCAAAACACAATCATTCAGACAAGTAGAGATTGCGTCGTCGACGCCTCCAATAACCCGATCTATGAAGATTTTCAAAGACCAACTAGTCTCATAGCCATGCAATCCTACCCAATCCAAGCAGCCCCAGCCCCTTCCAACTCATGACATCTCAATACAAAGCCAAACTCACACCACATCCCATCACATCCCACCGCATCCCATCACATCCCACATCATCCCGGCCTGCTTTACCCATCACAGCGACCCGTGTGTCCTTCACCGAAGTGCCTCCCGAACCAGCCACCCCGGCTCGGCCACTCTCCGGGCCTGCACCCAAGCCTGCACCCGAGCCTGTAACCAACCGCTGCGTCTGCTGCAAGGCCAACTCGCCCCAGGCATCGCTCCACCAATCAGGAATAAGATCCGATTTTAATCCCTTGGCATTCTTTCGATTCTCGACAGCTGTACGATCAAATCTGCTGCCTGTGTTGATTTGATTGCGCTGGGCATTAGATTTTTTCCCAGATTGACTACTGGCTCCACCCATGCCCTTCTGTGCATTACCTGGTCTCCCTGCGGGTTCACCTGAACTTTCACCTGAGCGCTCTGTTGTATACACCTGGCTCATTTCAAGAGCCAGCATCGTCCGATGAATGTCTTCTGCCTCTTTCCCTACGATTCCCGCTCTGTCATCAGCACCATCAGCCCCATCACCACCAGCATCGGCATAACCACCACTGAACCCAAACGCAGTTTTCATTACGAAGGCAGAACTACCAGTTTCACCAATCCTGCTACTGCCTGTCTGCTGCTGCGTCTGCTTGTGCTGCTGCTTCTGTTCCTGCTGCTGCTGTTGCTGCTGCTGCTGCTGCTGTTGCTGCTGCTGCTGCTGCTGCTGCTGCTGCTGCTGCTGCTCGCTGCTGCAATGCCTTTTGCTCTGCCTTCTCCTCCTGCGGCTGCAAAACCTCGTCAGGACCCACAGCCCACAGTACAGGTGCAAAGAATGTGCGCACAGCACTGGCAGCTGCAGTTAACCTGGAATTCTCAGCAGATACCTTCCGTTTAGCTTTCTCTTCCTGTTGTACCGGTCCCTTCCGCTCAGCCTTCTCCTTCTCCTGCTGCTGCAAAACCTCTTCAGGACTCACAGCCCACAGCACAGGCGCAAAGAATGAGCGCACAGCAGAAGCTGACGTTTCTTTAAATTTCTCAACGGATACCTCCTGTTCAGCCTTCTTCTTCTTCTTCTTCTTCTTCTCCTCCTCCTCCTGCTGCTGCTGCTGCTGCTCCAAGTGCCTTTTGCTCAGCCTTCTGCTCCTGCTGCTGCAATGCCTTCCGCGCAGCCTTCTCCTGCTCCTGCTGCTGCTGCTGCTGCTGCCTTCCGTTCAGCCTCCTCCTCCTGCTGCAGCAAAACCTCCTCGGGACTCACAGCCCACAGCACAGGCGCAAAGAATGACCGCACAGCAGCGGACGCTGCTTTGAAGCTGCGTGCGACGAGGGAGCTGCGGAGCAGAAGGCAGGAGAGGAGTAGGGAGGTGGAGAGGAGGAGGGCGAGGCGGAGGGGGAGAGGGGAGGAGTGGGGAGGTATGATCTCGTGCAGGCGGGCAGGGAGGGCTGCGACCTGGGTGGTGAGAACAAGCCTGTCAGTGGAGGGGTGGGTGGAGTGATTGATGGATAGCGGGCAAATGAGAGAACAAGCCTGTCAGTGGAGGGGTGGGTGGAGTAATTGATGGTTTTTGAGACGTCTCAAAAATCATCTTTTTACACGTGGGTGGAGTAATTGATGGATAGCGGGCAAATGAGAGAACAAGCCTGTCAGTGGGCGGAAACGGGATTAGAGTGGCAGGAAGATGGGTGGTTGGCGAGTGGGTATCGCAAAAGTGACAAACAACTGGGGGTTGGTTGAGAAGGGAAATTAGTGAGTGGGAAAGCGTGGAGCGGGTGGGTGCTAAGGTGTGTGCCACACACACCATATGTGTGAAGGTGCGGTGAGGGACACACACACACACACACCTAGCCTTATCCATTGTTGGTGGAACTGACTCAACCACTGACGCTGATACGTCAGCAACCCAGTCAGACACCGAATCCATAGCCTTCTCTAGAGGAGACTTCAACAAGTCACGCCCTCCCCCTCTCCACATCCGCATTCGTCTAGCTTTCCATAACCTTGAGAGTTCATCGTCCCTGTTGTTGCTAATCCAGTTGCGCTGTACTGTAACATTGTAACCAGCTGACTCTGAAACTTCAACCTCCCTGCTGCTACTGCTACTGTCGATGTTGCTACTGCTGCTACTGCCACTGTGCGACGTGCTGAATGCAATAAGACGCCTAAAGAAGTTCTCCTGCCAGGGGTCATCCTCCCTGCTGCTGTGAGTGGAATCAGTAGCACTCTGCAACGCACTCAACCGCACAGCATTGTTCTGCAGAGCAGCGACTCGTAGACCACTACCCTGCAAGGGGTTACTAACCGGAATACCCCTCCGCTTTGGTAAACTGGCTAACGTTTCTGCTCTCGCCTGGCTCCTGGATTCTACTACTCGGCTCAGACGATCATCATAATGATTTTTTAGTGGACTCGAAAGTACGACTACTCGGCTCATACGATTATCAGTCGAAGTCCGGTTACCACTAAATATGCGAGCAGAACTGGGGTTACCACCAGAACGAAAGCCGGGCGTAGATTCATGGTAGGCTTCAAGCTTCGCACCTCGGCATGCTTGGAGCTGCATAGCCATGAGAGTCACCTTCTGGAAAAGGACTGTACGTGGTCCGGTGGTGAGCTAGCAGGGCCTTTTCATGTTTCAACTCAACGGATCCGAGAGTAATTTGGTATGGGAGTCACGTATGGGATGCAGCACTGCTGGCTCGTCTGACAATTCGGGGGTGGTTCCGGAACTGAAAGGATGTCTTCCTGCTTCGCCAGGGTTCCCAGGGGTGGCGGACCGAGAGCACATGAAACGCCAGCTGCGGTGGCTGGATTATGGACTTTTTTGCCACTCGTCACCACTGAGCTTGCGGAGTGAGAAATTCCGACCGGTGCCTGGCAGGTGCTGGCGCTTAGCCTCTGAGCAAGAGGATCACCGAGAGCAGGCGGATGTCACCGTGAATGTGGGCAAACTTGACGGTACCCGGGGCAGTAAAGAAACCTTTCAGCGTTGTGGACCCGAGTTTTGGACTGAAACCCTCGCCATGCCCCCCAGGCGAGCGGGAAGCTCATTTTACCCCTCAGGGTTTCGACATTGTACTGTATCTCTCAACGGAACCGGGGGTGACGCTCCGTTTTGCCTGGGTTCCAACGAGTAAGAGTTGCCAAACCTCTCGTTCCGTTAGGGTCCCACACCTGAGGGAGCTGGAGCCATCATCATCCTTCATCACGGATAATGGCGCCGCCCGACGCACCCGATACCCCTTTGTAGGCACCTTCAGTGTCATGTCACCGTGTCTGCCGTGTCATGTGTGTCGAACACTGTTACAGCTCGCCACTATGATGAACCATCACCCATCGTACGGAAGCGCGGGTAACATGCCACGTTTTGCTTCGCATCCAGTAGCAAGCCAGTGCGAAATCAGTTGAAGTGAAGCGTGCGCCATCAACCCACCCAACCGCCTCGAAAGTGGGCGGCCAAAAGCAGCTCGCCAGCTAGTGTCAGGGGAAGATTTCGGGATTACTCGTCCCGCTAAGGAGCCACAACGGCATTTGATGGAAACTAGCATGTGTACTCCAGATGCCAAGTTTGTAATGAAACCTCTATTGCTGAGGAGTGATGTGTGTGAAGCGCGCAAAGGAATGATGGAGGTGCGATGCATGATGCGAAGATTGCAGGCGTGGAGAAGGCGTGAAGTGAAGAAAGAAACATCACAACAGACTGACTCGGCACGAAACTGTCGCTGTTCCAAGGCCTGTAACAAGAAGCTCGACGTACACAGATATCAGAACACTTGTTGCCAAAAAACACTTGTTTGCCATACCCCTTATTGAGATTTGAAGGACAGAGCGTTGTAGAATCTAAAAATCACACTACAGAAAATTTTCCTAAAGTAGCGAGTGACTAAATGCAACCAGCAAGAGAAAACACTCCACTATACCCCAAGTGCTATCCTCACGAGCACCACATGCTCGGGACCAGCAGCCCTCTCATACATCCATGCCAGCTCCTCTCGCTGCCAGCGAGTCAGCATGACACCCAGACGATGGGCTGTCGACACTAGCTCAGGCTGGAGGGGATGGATGGGGATGGGGGCAACAGAGGAATATGGGGGAGAAGGGGAGAAAAAAGAGTTAGCAGCAACTCTAGACGGGTACTAAGGGTGGTGTAGCACAGGGTAGAGGGAATGAATGAAATGAAAAAAGGGGGGTAGGGGAATAGATGCCGCATGAATACTGCAGTTGGTGCGGATGGATGAAAAGAAGAGGGGGGTGGAGGGGCAAGGGGGGAAGATGAGGGGGGGAAGAAACGTGTGGATGCGTGAAAAATGTCCAACATCAAAGCGTGTGTACGTGTGTCTTGATGATTCAGCTGCATAAACCACGTACCAAGATGGCAGGGGGAGTGAATTCAGAGAGCAGATTCGCTATCTGGCGCAGCTTGACGTTTGCATGGCGCCACATAAAAGCTTCGATCAAGTCCTGCTTTCCACACAGCCATACCGCCACACACCACGCATACACACACCACAAAGCATGGCATGGAGCAACATTTGAAGGCGCTTATATATATATATTATATATATAAAAGAGCATGGCACATGAAAATTCCACATATTCACAATGGGGGGAACAGAGTGGATGGCATGGCAGCTTCAGCATACGGCTGCTTAAATCATGTGCAAACACCTACGCCTCGCTGTAATGACACACGCTGAGAGACTCACATAGCAAGCGATAAGATGCTTATATCATATTTCCAGCGTAGTAACCACGGCCTTGAGCGTCGTTGCGAGGGCCACGGATGGCGAGAGGCCAACATCGGCTGCCAGTGTGGTGTGCCTTTCAAGTATCCCCACAAACACCACACTGGCAGCCGAGTTTTGAGTCGACTCAAAACTCGACTCATTACACGTGGTGTACCTTTTAAGTATCCCCACAAACACCACACGGGCAGCCGATGCAGCGATGCCAGTGTGATGTAAGTAAACTCACATTGCAAGCGACGAGCTCTGCTTCCAGCCTAGCAACCACTCCCTTGAGTGTTGCTGCGAGGGCCACGCATGGCGAAAGGCCGACAGCTGCTGCCATCGAAGTGAGGAATGATGGGCCCGAGGCGGCGGGGAGGCGAGACGACCTGCTGCGAGGCAGGGGAGGGAGGCAGGAAAGAGCAGGTTCGTGTGATCCCAAATGAATGTCAACATCAATTGCATGAGGAATCTCAGTAACGGACTACTGCTCCCATAGACGACTCGTCCAGCTCACCCATCTCTCTCTCACCCATCTCTCTCTCTCACCCATCTCTCTCTCTCACCCATCTCTCTCACCCATCACGCTCCCACCGTCCTCCTAAACCCAACCCTCTTACCCAATGCACTCGTCCAGTGCCAGCTGGACAGCGGCGTTGAAAACTATAAGCCGCACAGAGTCCCTGTGGGTGTGCCACGTGTCACCAGATGCTTGCCATGCCGCCCAGATCTGACGGCTCACGGGGGGTTGTGGACAGTAAGTGGTAAAAGGAAGGTTTCGCACGTGAATATGCTTGATCCATTTAAGCGAACCAGTGTAAGCAACGAAATGGGGTAAGATTAACAAGCAGAATACTTTAGTCTGATGTGGTGTCACGCGGCTTGGTGCGGTGTGATGCGGTGTGATGCGGTGTGATGCGGTGTGACAGGGTGAAGTGTGGTGCGTGCACCTGCTTGAGAGCCTCTGGTGGGATGTGGCCGTGCGAGTTGAAATGTTCCAACGCATCTGACAATCACAATGAAAAAAAGAAAGAGAATGAGAATGACAATGAGCAATCACAATGCCCCTGTACAACATGACTCAAGGCTAGCAACAAGACATGCTAATACTAAGAAGCACATTTTGGCCCCTGCTTCCCCCGCACCCACCACCACCCCCTTCCACATACTTGCACATTGTTCCATCCCATATCGAGCCGTACAGCTCATGGTAGCTTCCCTCCCTCCCCCACCAATCCACATACCCATCACAGCCAGTCGTGTGCCTTTCCCACGCGCTCCTCCCAAGCCTGTCGGTTTGGCTCGGCCCGAACCTCCATCCAACCCCTGGGCCCGATGCAGGGCCACCTCATCCCAGGCCTTCTGCCACCAATCAGGAACAAGATCCGATCTGATTCTTTCCTCCTCAACTTCACCCCTTCCCTTCCTGTAGACGCTCCCTTGGGATTTGTTCTCCCCCGAAATTGCTGCTGATCCCAGCGTTTCATTGTTTTCTAAAGCAGCAAGAGCATTCTTGTCATGTGCGGTGAAGTCGATGCTCTTTCCTGATTGGTTCTCCTGGTCGCCATCTATCCCCCCCTCCTCATGTTCCCCCCTTGCTTCCTCTGCGCCCATCCCTTCCCCTGCCTTGACCGTTTTCCCTGAAGCTGCACCTGCTGAATCCTCTGCTACTCGCTCTGCTGCTTTCTCTGTTACTTCTAACCCCTTCCTCTGCTCCCCCTTCTGCCGCTCCCTGTGGTGCTTCCTCTGCTGCTCCCTCTGCTGCCTCCTCTGCCACCTCTGCTGCCTTTTCTGCTACCTCTGCTGCTGCCTCTGCTGCTCCCTCTGTTGGTTCCCCTGCTATTGCTGCTCCTGCTACTACCTCTGCTGCCTCCTCTGCTGCCTCTTCTGTTTCCCCTGTTGCTTCCTCTGCTGATTCCCCTGCTGCTACTCCTGCTGCCATCTCTGCTGCGGCATCTCCTCCATCGTCTGCTTCTTCAACCGTTGCCCCCTCAGCTGCCTCTTCCGCTTCTTCCTCCGCTGCTTCCCCTGCTGCCGCTGGTTCCTCCGCTGCCTCAAGAAATAAACCACCAGCAAAATCGCCAGAATATTCGCCTGAACCTTCTGTTGCATCCACCCAACGCACATCAAGTGCCAGCATCATTGAAAAAATGTCATCTGCCGCATTCAGTGACTCAAACACTACATCAACATCAACACCACCACCACCTATGCTGCTGCTACCACTGGAACCATCATCACCACCAGCAGCGTTACGAACAGCAGCAACAATAGTAGCTTCCTGCGCCTCCCCGTCACCAAACAGTTGCTTCAGAGACTGCTGAACCTGCTGTTGCTCTTGCTCCGTTATCCCCTCAGTGCTCAACTCCTCCTCCTCCTCATCCTTCTGCTTCTCATCCTCCTCCTCCTCCTCCTCCTCCTCCTCCTCCTCCTCCTCCTCCTCCTCCTCCTCCTCCTCCTCCTCCTCCTCCTCCTCCTCCTCCTCCTCCTCCCCCCAATCCTCCCCCCACTCCTCCTCCTCTTCCTCCTCACCCCACTCCTCCTCCTCCTCCTCCTCCTCCTCCTCCTCCTCCTCCTCCTCCTCCTCCTCCTCCTCCTCCTCCTCCTCCTCCTCCTCCTCCTCCTCCTCCCCCCAATCCTCCCCCCAATCCTCCCCCCACTCCTCCTCCTCTTCCCTCCTCCCCCCACTCCTCCTCCTCCTCCTCCTCCTCCTCCTCCTCCTCCTCCTCCTCCTCCTCCTCCTCCTCCTCCTCCTCCTCCTCCTCCTCATCCTGCTGCTCCTGTCCAACGACAAGCTGTGCCCTCTGCCGCAGCTCCAAGCCAAGGTCTCGCTCCCCTACATGGGGCAAAGTCTTATGAGGCGCTAGGGGCGTAAAACATGCCCCCCCAAGACGGGATAACTGGGTGAAAAAACGACGCGCAGCCGAGGAAGCTGCAAGGAACGTGCGAGCTATGGTGCGGCGCAGGAGGAGGAGGAAGAGGAGCAGCAGGGAGGAGGAGGCGAGGAGGAGGGCTAGGTGTCGCGAGTGAGGGAAGGAAAGGGGAGGTATCATCTGGTGCAGGCGAGCAGGGAGGGCTGCGACCTGGGTGGTAACCACCCTTACAATCCCACCGTCATCTTTTATCACCTCCATATAGTCACAGCGACCCGTCTTCACGTGGTCCGCTCTTCGCTTCAGCTTCTCCGCACCCTGCTCGATATTTTCACTCTCGCGCTTGATATTGTCACTGTCTCGCGTATTACTGTCACCTCCTCGTTTCTCACCAGTTTTTGTCCTGTCTGGCGCACCCCACAGCTTCCCGCCTTCTCCTCCTCTTCCCCCTCGCCCCCCTAGTCTCCTCCTCTCCACGCGTCTGGCAGTCCAGGAAAATCCGTCGCCCCTGCCACTGCTGCTGATGCTACAGGTGATGCTACTGTTGATGCTGTTGCTGGTCCTGCCGCCACCGCTGCCGCCGCCGCCGCCGATACTTATTCGGCTTCGGCTGCTGCCACAGCGACTGCTCCGCCATGGATTTGTCAGGCGACACTTTCCCTTTACAACAGTTGATGGCCTATCCCCGTGGGAATGCCCTAACGCAAGACGTGTGTCGTGGACGGCTGAGGAGAGTTGGACGGTTGAGGCAGCAACCGTAGCAGCCATGGTCGTAGCTGCCGCGTTTCAAGTTCAAATGGCGCGCCTAAACAACCACAACAACAACGACAAAAAAAAAAAAAAGGAAAACGCCTTGGACGGCGCTGGACGGTGGGTGATGAATCCAAGCGTGACGCCGTGAGGCGCTGCAGAGGGAGCAAACAAACGGATCCAACCACGTCCAGATCTTTATTGAACCCGTCTGGAGAAGCAGCAAGTGTGGTTTGATCATCTCGCACCATAGCATCCCACCGCACCATAGCATCCCACCCCATCACATCGCCTCGCATCTCATCTCACACCCCGCAACCTCATGTCATCACTACGTTGGTCGCCTGGGCCGTTTTGGAAATCCGCAGAACGCCGATGAAAGCTGTAATCCTGCGGTCCGCGTGCAGGTTCCTTCGCCTGCCCCTGCGCTGCGCCTCCACGCTAACTGCGCGGATGCGCTCCGTTTTGTGTTCCGCTCCGCCTCCATGCTTTCCGCGCGGATGCGTTCCGCTAGTGATTTTCTCTCTCCGCCCCCGCAGGAATGCGATTCCCGCCGCTTCGAAGGTTACCATTCTTCGCGCAAACCGCGACGAGGAAGGGGGGGAGGCGCGGTGCAGGGGGACGACGGTGCGCCACGTCCTGAAAGAGCGCGCGCGCCACGTGGCTCGCATGAGATTCGAAGTGCTAGTTGTTCCTACACGCAGGCGACAGAGGTGTTGCGCGTGGCGGGTCGCAGGGATCTGCCAGCGGGAATAGACATGCATGCCTCAAGAGACAAATGAAGCTGGACAGTCTTCAGAGAATTGGAGGGGCAAATTCTGACGCAATACGCGTTTGAAGAGGTGTGTAACTCTTTGAGACTCGATAAGATATTGTTGCGTAATTTCACCGAACACCTTGTGCCTCTTTCCCTCTGTTTCGTCCGTTGTGAAGGCTGCCTGCTCTTGTAAACAAAGAACAATAAAATCTCATTACGTGAGCCCATTGCGGTTAGCAGCAAATTTATAGCGAACGGCAACAGCTAGATTCGAAACGGAGTAATCTTGAGTCAAGTTGGCATCAATGGTACCATCAGCATTCGGCATGATAATCTCGCAAGTGCTGCGCTCTCGTTCCGAAAGCCCTTTGAAGTAATTTATACGCACACTCCCCGTGGGCGCTATGTACCCTCCAGGCTCCGCATTCAAAATTCTGCACCACAACCACAGCACCGCATAAACGTTAGAATAAAATAACTGGGAGGCTGCAATGCATTGTGTGCACCATCTGGTGGTCTGGTGAAGCATTGGACAGCCTTGGAACTTGTAAGGTTGAGCTGAGCAATCCACAGCTTGCTTGCCACACTCACCGGTTGCTCTGAACCACGAGGGTTTTGCGCGAGTTGATGGCGTACTTGCAGAGGCCATCAACGTATTGGCACACAGTCTAACCACTGTGGCTACTGTTCTCCTTGCAAAAGGGCCGGTAGGTATGACTTGCTATACTCACCGGTTGCTCTGAACCACGAGGGTTTTCCGCGGGTTGATGGCGTATTTGCGGAGGCCATCAGCCTTTTGGCACACGGTCTTATCACTGTAGCTGCTGTTCTCCCTGCAGTAGGGCTCAGGGTCCCGATACACCATGCGCTCCACCGCCCACTCGTCCCCTTCACTGCATGGGTTGTGAGAGCACCGAGTGGTGATGGGAATTTGTAAAGACAGGAGCAGAGTTAGAGGCATTGGTATTTCTGCTGTAGCTGCTGCTCCCCCTGCAGCATGGTCAGGGTCCCGATACACCATACACTCCACTGCCCACTCCACTGTAAACAAGATGGGAGCGCAACTTCAGTGCTGCTCCAAGCTCGTTTACAATAACACCATACACCAAAGAAAAGAAAGTAAAGAAAAATCCGTTTATAAAGATAACGGGAAGGAGTAAAAAGAGAGGGAGCAAGCATCACCTAATGTCGGGCAAAGGAGCGCAGCGATCGACGGAGAAGACAAAGCAGCCAAAGCTCACCCACGTCCACCCCTCCTCGCCCTCCCCCTGCCCCTGCCCTCTCGCGTCAAGACTCTGGCCTCTTCCGTCAAGGAACGCCAGCAGAGAGAGCGCCCTGCTGTTGCTCGGGTCAGCCAGGAGCGCCTTGGGAAGGGCAGTAGCAGCAGTGGTGGCAGTGGTGGCGGTGGTGGGAGTGGTAGTGGTAGTGGTTATGATGGCGGCAGTGGAAGTGGTGGTGGGGGGATAGATTTTGGAGATGAGCGCGTTGGGGAGGGTGATGTAGTGATCGAAGTCGAGAAAGAGCGTCCAGCGGGAGAGGTAGCGCGTGCGGAATATGCAGTCATTCATTGCTAGGAGCTGGGGTGGGGTAGGAGGATGGGAGGAAGGGTGGGGAGGGGAGGGAAGGAAGGGAAGGGAGAGAAGGAAGGAAGGGTGGGAGAGAGAAGGGCCTAAGATGTGGAGAGGGAAAGGTGACGGGAAAAAAGGGAGGCACGGGAGAGAAGCGAGAGAAAGGAGGGAACAGTACGGGAGGAACTGGTGTGGAGGGACAGTAAGGGGAGAATGGCAGGGGAGGGAGAACAGAGGGAAAGAAATGGAGAGAAGCAGGTGGAGGGAAAACGAGGAAGGGGAAAGGAGGACAGGATATAAGTGCAATGGTTTGATCACCCCCTTATACACACACATTCACACATAGAGACAAAACATGCTCACCTGTGCATGGTGGTAGCTCTCGAACCGGGCGGCATCTCTGAGATCCGCGACCTGCACTGTGCCGCCCGCCAGCAGCGGATGCAGAGCGTGCCGAACCGCGCCGTCCACGCCGCCCGCATCGTAGAGCAGGAAGAGGTCGACGCGGTGAACAGCGCGGTGGAAATCCATCCACTCTCGCAGCCGGCCGGCGTGCATCGGCTTGTACAGCGGCGAGGAGCAGTGTGTCAGGGCGTGGCTGGGGGTGGGCATGGGCGGGGGGGGAGGGGACGGAATAGGGGGGCTCATGGGGTGGTGAAGAGTGGAGTGCGGTTCATTCAAAATGACTTAAGCGCCTTCAGGGAGCACCACTGTGGGCGCCTGCAGGGAGCATGGCATGTGGCAGGTCATGTGGTTCGTTCAAAATGCCCTGGCTGCTTCTCCACCACCACGGCCGTGTCTTACAGCAACTCATTTGTGCTAAAAAGCCCACCCAATAAGCAGCCAGGTCACGGAAAATCGTGCCCTTGCTCACGTCCCCACTCACGGAAAGTCATGTGTGCGCATGGCATGTGGCAAATCGTGCCCTTGCTCCTCCTCCTCCACCACCACTGCCTCACGCCCATCCACCGCCATCACCACCCGCCCGCCCGATATCGGCCCCGTGGCCGCCTGCAGGGTTTTGCGGCGCCTCAAAACCCAATATCGACTGCAGGGGGCACTGCCGTGGGAATTGCAGGCACTGCAGAATCACTGCCTCATGTGTTTCAAGAACCCCAACAAAGTAAAACCCTATCCAGACTTACGGAAAGTCATGTGTGCGCATGGCATGTGGCAAATCGTGCCCTTGCTCCTCCTCCACCACCACTGCCTCACGCCCATCCACCGCCATCACCAGCCGCCCGCCCGATATCGGCCCCGTGGCTGCCTGCAATGTGCACTGCAGGATCACTGCCTCGTACCGCATCTTAAAGCCCTCCCCCGGGTAGTGTGCTGTTACTGTGCCTTGGATTGACCCTGGCGGGTGCTTGGTCTTTGACCCTCCTCCTCCTCCTCCTCCTCCTCCTCCTCCTGCTGCTGCTGCTCCTGCTGCTCCTGCTGATATTGACGCGCCTTCTGCTCCTGCTGCTGCTGATGCGCCTGCTGCTTTTCCTTGTGCTACTGCTGCAGTACCATTTGCTGTGGTTGCCCCTCCGCCTCCTCCTTTTCCTACTGTTTTCCCTGCTCCTGTTTCTGCTGCTGCTACTGCTGCAGTAGTTGCTTTGGCTGTCGCTGCTGCTGCTGATGCTGCTGCTGCTGCTGCTGCTGTTTGGAAGCCCCTGAGGCTGTTTTATGCTACCCCCTTCCACAGTCCTACTCCCTCCCTCTGCCGGACCTACCACTCCCCCGCCTCCTGTGCCCACTGTTGTTCCCTTTGCGCCTGTACCACCCTTGCCAGAACCACCACCATTCCCCTCTTTCTCTTGTGCACCAATTCCCACCACCTTCTTCTTCTCCTCCGGCCTCTCCCTTCCCCCTTTCTCTCCTCCTTTCCCTCCCCCCTTCTCTTTCCCCATCACTCCATCCTCCTCTCCTCCCTTCCCTCCTCCCTTCCCTCCTCCCTTCCCTCCTCCCTTCCCTCCGCCTTCGTCTCCTTCTTTCACGCCTCCCTTGCTTCCTCCCTTTACTCCACCCTTTTCCCCTGCCGTCTCCCCTCCCTTCCCTCCTTCCCTTTCCCGACCGACACCCCCAACCTCCTTGCCTGCCTGCCGCAGTGCCTGCTGCTGCTCCTTCAACCCCACTGCACCACTTTTCACCACATTGATCCCCTCCGTCTTCCCCACCTCGCCCTTCTTCCCACTCTCTCTTCTCCCCTCCGCACTCTCAGCCCCACTCCTCCCTTTATGAGCAGCATGCGCCCACTTTACCGCACCCTTCCCCCCATGCCTTGCCCTTCCCCCATCCCCCGCTCCATTGCCCCGTCCATCCCCCTTACCCCTTCCTGCCCCTGTACCCTGTATCACCGCTTTATTTCCCCCATCCCCTCCCCTGTTGCCCCGTCCATCCCCCTTACCCTGTACCACCCCTTTATTCCCCCCATCCCCTTTCCCTCGAACCCCCCCTTTACCTCCCTCACCCCCCTTCCCCCGTGGCCCCTCTTTGCCACCTCCCTTGACTTCCAGAAGATGCCGCGCGAATCCTGCATGTGCTGACGTGGCTGAGCCACGTGTATCATCCCTGCCACGTGTACCATCGGTGCCACGTGTCTCATCAGCATGTGATGCTGGCATCGTCGGCTCCCATCTGCCTAAACACGGGGAATGGGCGCATGCGGTTTGGGTGGGAGTGTAGGGAGAGGAGAGGTAAGGGAGAGGAGAGGTAAGGGAGAGGAGAGGTAAGGGAGAGGAGAGGTTAGGGAGAGGAGAGGTAAGGGAGAGGAGAGGTAAGGGAGAGGAGAGGTAAGGGAGAGGAGAGGTAAGGGAGAGGAGAGGTTAGGGAGAGGAGAGGTAAGGGAGAGGAGAGGTAAGGGAGAGGTGAGGTAAGGGAGAGGAGAGGTAAGGGAGAGGAGAGGTTAGGGAGAGGAGAGGTAAGGGAGAGGAGAGGTAAGGGAGAGGTGAGTAGAGCGCGAATAAAGAGAGGCGGGTGGGGTGGAGTGGAGAGAGGTGAGGTAAAGTGAGGTAAGGTGGATGGGGGACAATGGGAAGAGACAAGAGAGCAGGTGTGGGAGGTTTTTGGGGGAACAGAGAGGGCCTCTCTCCCCCTCCCTCCCTTGTGCATCTCACAGTCTCACTCCCCCTTTTTCTTCTACCCCTCGCTTCACCACACAAGCACCGCCAGCGATGCCACTGCCACGTCACCTCCCCATCACGCCACGTCACCTGCACGAGTTGACACGTGGCAGCGAGTGAAGCGCCATGGGGGAGAGCCCGAGCACCACAAAGGACGACAGGTTCAGCCGGTAGCTGCTGTAGAGGACGAATCCCTGCAGCCCGTGCCCCGTGCTGACGTGGCGCCGCTTGATTGGCAGGGAGAACCGCTCCGCGTCCTCGTTTAAGAGCTTTCCGATGGTCTGGTTAGGGTTGTGGTGGATGAAACGGGCAGTGGGTTGGAGTGTGGAGGGAGGAAGTGGGGTTGGTCGTACCTCATCCCGGACTTACATCATCCCGGCCGTACCTCATCCCGGACTTACATCATCCCGGCCGTACCTCATCCCGGACTTACCTCACCCGGCCGTACCTCATCCCGGACTTACCTCATCCCGGTCGCACCTATCTGGGTCGTACCTCATCCCGGTCGTACCTCATCCCAGACGCTCCTATCTAGGTTGTACCTCTGCCTGAATGCCGTCCGCTCCGCGCCATCGTTGCGTAGCCGCGATCCACAAACCCCTTCTTTTCTGCCTCGATCGCCATGCCACGTCAGCAGCGGCTCTCGAGAAAGGATCCTGATCATCATAATCGTCGTTGATACCGGAACCCGGTGACCTAAATGTCAATAGTGGGTGGAGGAAGAGCAACGCGAGGTTTGTTACGGCTAAGATAAGAACGAGATGCCGGCTGCAGTCCCGTTTATGCTCGGATCGCGTCGTCGAGCCGCGGCTTCCCAACGGCACCGTCTTCGGCGGCGCATTGGCGCGCCATCGGCTGACATTTCCTCGGAGTCCGGAATTTCGCGTCACATGAGCGAACATGTGACTCTAACGACAGTTCCTCCGAGCTTGATAGAGGGAATGTTTAGCGGGTAATAATCGTTGAACTCAATAACCAATTTTAGAACAGATGAACCCAACGGATTGGTTCAGCCAGTGATCAGGAAAATGAGGAATTGCTCAAGCACATGGCCTCCTAGTGTGCGGCGACTGGACGAGTAAGGTGGCAGGGGAAGCGTGTGGGACGGGCCCATTTGTGGCGGAAGTAACGCATCAGCGTCGCTACGTTTTCTCTGTGCGCCGCTACGCGCAGAATACATTTCTCACGAACATTGGCGAAGCTATTTTATCAACAAAACAGCAGCCAACCACCTGGGGTAAGGGTCCCCGGTCCAATGGATCACAACGCGGCCCAATTTTGAATCGATACGATCTAGAGCAGTCCTTTTGAGATTCAGAATGGTTGGCTAGGTATTTTGCAAGAACGTCCACCGAACTGAACCGCGTGCAGCAAAAAGGAAATGAACAGGCTAAACCCGCTCGCAGGACGAAGTGTGCCGGTGGGGTCGCGCAGCGGAGAACTCTGGCCAGTGTGGTGTGGGAATGAAACCTTGGGCCCAGTTTGGCAGGCATTGTGGGCATTTTCGGCATTATGGCCATTTTTAACGGGCCCCCAAGAAATGGGGCCTCGAAACTGCCGCGAAATCAAACCGTAGTTGCATTCAGCCTTCGGAATAACGGCCCGGAGTGTTTGGCTGGCATACCATCGCGCAAAATTAATGGCATCAACCGAAAATCCAACTTCGCTGAAACCGGAGAGCACCTCCGCGCCAGGATCGCAAATCACTGTGCTGGCAGGTCGGGCCTGCCCTGCAAACAAGTGGTCCCCTGGAAAAAAAAAAAAAAAAGGAAAGTATGTGCTGGCTACTATGGTTTTAGGATTCGCTCATATTTAGTAACAGGGTTAACTTAATCAGTGCGACTCAATCGGATTTCGTTCACGAGACCTCCCACATTATGTTCAAAGTTGGTACTGCAGGCAAAAATTTTTACGCGTGTCAATTTTTAGCAATAGATTCAAAGGTTCATACAGGCGTGAACAGTAAAACGCGGGCGAATGCGGGATCGCTTCCGCGTGCTCGCGGAAGCGATCTGCCTGCGGGCAGGAAAAAAACTAAAACCCAATGCGACCGGCATGCGGCTCGGGAGCCTCAACCCTAAAATCTTAGGGTTGAGGCTCCCGAGCCGCATGCCAGTCGCGTTGGGGTTTATTTTTTTTGCCCCGGGCAGCACGCTTCCGCCGGCTCCGCGTCTTGGTGGAAACGAGTTTCCACCTGGGGTCCACCTGGTGGGTTTGCGCCCACCAGGGCTCGTATGGACTCTGCTTTTCCGAGCTCGATCTAATAGGGCAGCCCGAAAAAAATAAAACCCCTAGGGAAGCTGGACGCATTTTTGGGAGGGATCAACCCTAAACAAGGAACCCGCCTGGAGTTTAGGGTTGATGCCTCCCCGAGTCGCATCCCTTTTCGATTTAATCTTAGTTTCTGTCTGCGTAAAAAATGAACACGTGTCGAAACTTGGGCCTGGCAGTATGAGTCGTGAACATAATATGGTATGCGTTTTGAGCGATTTTTCTGAAAGCAGTAGTGTTCGAGTAAACCCATGAATGAAATTTGAAAAACTTTCAATAACCTTGTAGCCAGCACATACTTTCCAAAAAAAAAAAAAAAAACGAAAGGGGAAACTGAGCCCTCCTACCTCTCCCTTGGGGAGTTTTTTTGCTTGCTGCTGGCAGGAAGAGGGGTCAGAAAGGGGCGGGATATGTTTTTATCTGGGCAAGCATTGATTGCCCCGAACCACTGACCCCCCGCACCATGCGGGACCTCGAGGCCGCATGGTGCGGGGTGTCCCAAAATGGGCTCTTTGCTAGGGAAAATGGGGTCGTTGAAGATGCTACGATCAGAGAATGATCGCTTACCAGGATCTACTCGGGAAGGTTCGCACACAGGGAAATGTAGTTGGTGGGCCCGTGACCTCAATAGCAGAGTGAATGTAAAATGCTTGAGATGATTAAAACATGCAAATACAGCAAGTATAAATATGAGTACAGGGAAGACGAAACGACCTAGCTAGCCATGTCGTCTAAGGGGTACATTCCCTTATTCAAACGCATTCTCAACCGTGCGGCGCGTACAGTTTCGTAACTGTTCCCGCCAAAAACATCCTGCCTGCAGCTGTCCGATGCCGTCTGCTTCCGACGGTCCAGATGCGCCCCAACTGTCTGACACTTGAGTCAAACTCCAACCGTCTGACGGTTCGCTTTCTTGCTTCGATACTGCGTGCTTCTCTTTGCTGCGGTGAGGAGTGCTCAGTAACAATTAAATGTTACTATTCGTAACACCCCCCTTCACTCCTGGCCGTAGCTCGATTTGACCTGCTTGACCACGCCGCTGAGTTCGGAGCAGTGCTGATACTGCTGGCGTGGCAGTCGCTTCGTGAGGAAGTCCGCTGCCATGTCACCGGTCGGGCAATAGGTCAAGTTGACCTTGCCCTTGTCCACTTCGTCCTTCACGAAGAAATATCGCAGCGCAATGTGCTTGGTGCGATTGACGAAACCAGGTTTGTTCGCGATGCGAATCGCGCTCTGGTTGTCGCAGTGAAGTCGAAAAGTTGGCGAAGCTGGAATTTTCGCCTCCTGCAGGAGTTCCTGTAGGTAGAGACCTTCGCGAACTGCTGCGGTTGCTGCGATGAATTCTGCTTCGGCTGACGACAGGGCAACCAGCTCCTGCTTCTGTGAGTTCCAGGAGATTGGCCCCGTTGGTTCGAGTCGGAACAGGAAGCCGGTCCTGGACCGTCGATTGTCGGGATCTGCTGCATGATCGGCATCCACATAGCCGACGAGATTGAAGGATGGGGTTGGTGCAGTTGAGTAGCACAGCCCAATCTTGGGCGTTGAGACGAAAAATTGCAAAGCGCGCTGCAGGTCCAGGTGATTTTCAGCCGTTGGTTTCCGTGAGTGCTGGGCAAGCTGACTTGCGATGTAGGAGAGGTCTGGCCTGCAGGTGACAGAGGCGAAGAGGAGGCATCCCAGCTGCTGCTGGTAAGTCTGAATTCCAGCAGGGGATAGGGCTTTGTTGTCAGGTTTGTGGTTCGGTCCGGGAGTTCGGTAGGGAGTCGAGAGAGGTGCGGGTGAAATCTTGAACCGCTTCCCTAACTCCTCTGCGTACTTAGCTGCTGACAGATGAATGGCTTCAGGCGCGTAGGAGATGTTGAGGCCTAGGAACTGCTTCACCTCGTAGTTGCACGTGATGTCGACGCGCCCCGCCAAAGCCTTCTCGAACTGTTCGAGCAGCTCGTTGTTTGAGCCCGTGTAGAGCAAGTCGTCGACGTAGACCGTGAGGAGGATGTATTCCCCGCGGAAATCGCGGCGGTACATCCCTAGGTCGTGGGGCATCTGCTTGAACCCGATTTCAAGCAGGATGTTGTGCAAGTACTGCTGCCACAGCCTTGGAGCCTGCTTGATGCCGTACAGTGACTTGCGCAGCTGACATACGCGCGAGTCACCTTCGCCATAGGTGTGTGGCTGCTCCACGTAAATCACAGCGTCCACTAACGCGTATAGGAACGCGTTTTTAACATCGATCTGGCGGAGTGGCAGGTGCCTTGCAGCTGCGATAGCGAGCAAGATGCGGACGGAGGTGTGGCGACTGACGGGGGCGAATGTCTGGTCGAAATCGATCCCATGCCTCTGGTCATAGCCGCGAACCACCCAGCGCGCTTTAAAGCGCTCAATCGTTCCGTCAGCTGCGGTCTTCACGCGGAAGACCCACTTCCCCGAAAGGATTCTTGCACCTTTGATTGCTGCGCGGTCAACGAGCACCCAGGTGTCGCGTGACTCCAGTGCCTTGATTTCCGCGTCCATTGCCTCACGCCATTCCTTGCTGTGTGGTCCAGAGAGGGCTTCGCGCGGGTTTCGGGGCTCGATGACGCGCGGCGCTTTCGAGGTTGCGGTGTGAAGTCCGAGCAGTTGTAGTCCTGAGACGGTACTGTCGTGGTGACGCTGCGGGACGACTTCCTGCACGTCATCATCGTCGCTCTCAGGTTCAGGTGGTGCTGATGGTGTTGCGCCTCCGCCGCTTCCGCCCGTTCCGCCTATTCCTCCTCCTGAGGAATCATCGTCGTTGTCGCTGCTGCGCCGATCTTCCCAAGTGAATTCGGCCCTGGTGTCCTGCTCTAGAAGTGCTGCAGCGGCTTCGTCTTCGGGCGTTGCGTAGCTGTGGCCGTTGTTCGCGTAAACGCGATCTGCATTCCTCTGCTCGTCGTCGCGGAACTGGTCGAGGAAGAGACGCTCGTAGAAAATTACGTCGCGAGCGTGAGTGGTTTTTTGACTGAGGAGGTCCAGCACGATCCATGCCTTGTACTCGTGACTGATGCCGAGGTGGATCCCCCAACGCGCGCGGCTGGCGAACTTGCCGATGGTTGAGGTCGGTGGGCGGTATTGGACCATACACCCCCATACGCGCAGCATCGATGTGTCCCCCTTTGTCCCAGTCCACTTGACGTGCGGGGACAGGTTGCCGGTAATTGCGGTGGTTGAAAGCAGGTTGTGCACCCGTACAGCGTGGTGCATTGCGTAGGTCCAGTAGATCGGCGGCAGCTTCGACTGCTTCATCAGCGCCCGCACCTTCGTCATCAGTGTGCGATTCGTTCGCTCCGCTACGCCTTGCTGCTGATGTGCGTAGGGGAGAGAGATGTGATGCTCGATCCCCTTTTGCGCCAGGTAAGTTTGCATCTGGTTGCTCCTGAACTCTGCTGCGCCGTCAGATTGCCAGATCTTTAGCTTCTTTCCAGATTGCCGCTCCGCATGCGCTAGCCAGAGCCGAAACACCTCGTAGGCTCTGTCGCGCGTCTCCACGTTCACGACCCACACGTAGCGTGTTCCAGCGTCAATGAAGGTAAGAGTGTATAGCTCGTCCTCGACTCCGCAATGCCCTACGTTCAGGAAATCGCTGTACACCTTGTGCAGTTTGGGGTAGCGGTTC